GCTGACGCTCTGTCTTGCCTTGTCTGCTCTGTTCCTTGTCTGGTCGGAGATAAACCGGAACTACTCGCAAGTTGACCGGTGCTGGAGTCTCTTGCCAGCTGTCTATAATGTGCATTATGCAGTTTGGGCGCGTTTGGCGGGGGTGCGTACACTGAGCTTGGATACTATTGCTGTTGTTTCGGTGATCTGGAGCGTCAGTCCACACCCTCTTCTCTTAGCCTGGCATGACGACTGACCCGCGCAGCTCCGCTTGACCTTTAACTACTGGCGCAAAGGCGGCTACAAAATCGGCTCGCAAGACTACCGCTGGGAGATTGTCCAGTCCAAAGTCAACAACCGCTTCCTCTTCTTCATCTTCAACATCGTCTTTATCTCCCTTGCCCAATCCCTGCTCCTCCTCTTCATCACCGCCCCGACCTACAACTTCGTCATCCTGTCGCAACTGCCAGATGCGCAGGTTTTCGAACTCCCCGACCTAATTTTCTCCCGCGTCGCCTTCTCCCTGATCATCATCGAGTACTTTGCCGACCAGCAGCAATGGAACTTCCACCAGGCCAAGCACGAGTACCACAAGAACGCGCGCATCCCCGAGCCTTACAAGAGTCAGTTCACCCCGGAGGACCTGGAGCGTGGATTCGTCGTCTCCGGCCTCTGGTCCCTGTCGCGCCACCCCAACTTCGCCGCTGAACAGGCTTTCTGGCTCACAATGTATCTGTGGAACGCCTACCGCACCGAGAGCTACCTCCAATGGACTGGTCTTGGTATCTTGGGCTACCTGCTGATCTTCCAGGGTAGCACTCCTCTTACTGAATCAATCAGCGGGAGTAAGTATCCCGAGTACAGTGAATACCAGGCTCGTGTGGGGCGGTTTATTCCGCGGTTCTCGGTTGAGCCTAGGTACAAGGGTAGCAATAAGAAGAAGGCTCGCAAGGCGAAGGCTGAGCAGGCGGGTGAGGGTGTTGCCGCTGAAGAGAGAAAGAGTAAGTAAAGGCGTTATTATATGGTGCTAGTTGGTTGTTGAGTATTTTGTTTTTTTTTTTTTTTTTTTTTTTTTTTTTTTTTTTTGGTTATTCGTTTTCCTTTTGATTCTGGTTATATATTTTGAATCGTAGTCTTCTCTTCAGGTACTTCGTTACGATGGGTGTTGATTTGATCCAATTGCTTGTTTGCAGTTTTACGATTGTACTTAAATTCATGGGCAATTCGCGATATATATTTACGTGGTAAAACCAATACTACTATTCAAAGCCAGGCACCCAGAAGCAGGAATCGATTACATTATTCAATCATTTAATAGTCTTGATAAGAACTGCCTACTATACAATAGAATACATGAGAATGTCCACATAGGCAAATGAAATCGGTGATTAGAAAGAACGAGGAATGGAAACCAAGACGGGAATCGGAGGGGAGAAAGCAACGATGCCAAAAAGTGAAAAAAAAAAAAAGATTCTAATATTTATGACACGGCGAGGAAATCAACAAGAGAGGACATAATAGGGTAGATAAAGAGGAGAAAAAGAACAAGGAAATGCACCGTCTCAAATAAATACAACACAGAATAAGCCCAAATGACATCTCAAACCATACGTATTCCATTCATGATGGCGGAATAGGAGTCTGGTCTCTCCCATCTTTCCCTTCAAGCTCCTCCGTCGGCATCTGCGGAGACTCCGGTGGCTGCACGGTGCGTCCATCGAAATACTTCGCGAACTCACCAGTCTCAGGCCAGGGTCTGGGACCCAGGAGACGGATCAGATCATCACGCGAGAGAACCTCCTTGGAGAGGAGGTCCTCCGCAACCATACCGACTTCCTTCTTCTTCTCGACGAGCATATTGTGGCACTTCTTGTAGGCTTCATCGACGATGCGGCGGACTTCCATGTCGATGTCCTTGGCTGTTTCCTCGGAGAAGGGCTTCTGGAATTGCTGCTGGTCTTCTTCGTAGTGGATGTAGCGGAGCTTGGGGGACATGCCGAATTTTGTTACCATGGCGGTTGCCATGCGAGTGACCTTGTTGAAGTCGTCGCTGGCGCCGCTGGTGACGGTGTCGAAGTGGAGTTCTTCGCTGACGCGGCCGCCCAAGGTCATGGCCATGCGGTCCATGAGCTGGTTGACGTTCAGGAGGTAGGTGTCTCCGCCGGCAGGCAGGTATTGGGCGTATCCCAGAGCGCCTTGGCCTCGGGGAATGATGGAGACCTTGAGCAGGGGATCGGCGTGGCGGAAGTACCAGCCGCAGATGGCGTGTCCGGCTTCGTGGTAGGCGACGGTGCGCTTCTCCTCGGGCGAGAGCACCACGGACTTCTTCTCGAGACCACCGATGACACGCTCGATGGCTTGCTCGAAGTGCTTCATGACCACCTTGTCGGCGTTTTCACGGGCCGCTGCAAACTGTTAGCACTGTGCATTCAAAATAAGAGAAAGAAGGGTAACATACCAACAAGGGCTGCCTCGTTGACACAGTTTCCGATATCAGCACCAGCAAAGCCCGGTGTCAAAGCAGCCAATCTACCACACAAGTATTCCATATCCTCGCTAGTAACGATCTTGCTCAAGTGAACGCGGAAGATCTGCTTGCGGCCATCCATAGTCGGACGGTCGATAGAGATGTGTCTGTCAAAACGACCAGGACGCATCAGAGCCTTGTCAAGAACATCCGGTCGGTTGGTACCAGCCAGGACAACGACCTGGTCGGAGGTGTTGAAACCGTCCATCTCCGTAAGGATTTGGTTCAGGGTACTTTCACGCTCGTCGTTGCCGCCACCGAACCCCTGCTTGGCCCTCGACTTACCGATGGCGTCGATTTCATCAATGAAAATGATACAGGGCGTGTTCTTCCGAGCGTTGGCGAAAAGGTCACGGACACGAGAGGGACCGACACCGACGAACATCTCGACGAATTCTGAACCGCTGACACTGAAGAAGGGAACACCGGATTCACCAGCGGTCGCCTTGGCAAGCAGCGTCTTACCAGTACCAGGAGGGCCAGAAAGGATAGCACCACGGGGGATCTTGGCACCCAGCTTCTGGAACCTCTCTGGCTGCTTAAGGAAGCTGACGAATTCCATAATCTCAACCTTTGCCTCGTCCATGCCAGCCACATCTGAGAACTTGGTCTTGATATCGGTCTCATGGTTGAAGCGCTTAGCACGGCTCTTCCCAATACCGAAGATTCCACTTTGACCGCCTCCACTACCAGCACGTTTCGATAACCAGAAGAAAGTACCGATCAGCAAAAGAGTAGGACCAAAAGATGCAACGGTTGCAAGCCAAGAAACTTCATCCTGGTAGGCGACGGGAACCCGTTCGACGCTGGGAACACCCAATTCGTTCTGAGCCTCATCCAGTCTGCGCTCGAAACTCTCAACCGATCCGATGGTGAAGTAGTAATGGAAGGATTGCTCGCTTGCTGGGGAATCGGGGTAGACATTGGCCACGGCATCACGATGGAGATCAACCCGGACACGAGCACCGTTGATGACGGTCAACTTCTCCACAAGACCCTTGTCGAAGAAATTCGCTCTGAACTCTTGCCATGTGATCTCCTTCCGGCCTTCACCGGGGAAGAAGCTCTGGTAGACATAGTATGCCAACATCGTGCTGATCAAAGTCGTAACGGGGTCGAATCGGAACTCGAGGGTCCTAAAGTTCGGCGACTTATTCCACTGGTCCTTGCCCTTCTGCTGCTTCTGCTGTTGCTGTTCTCCCTCCTGCTCCTTCTCCTTCTTCTGCTCCTCCTCAGCCTCCTCCGGTTTCATTCCCTGCTCCCGTTTCCTCTCCAACTCCTCCATCCTCGCAGCATAAGTCTTCATATTCTTCGACACATACCGCGTAAACTTAACATAATCCATAAGCGATGGCACCCGTCCAGACCGAACATGCTCCGCAATATAATCCCTCACCTCCTCCGGTAACCCTTCACTCATCAACACTGTCCGGATATCATCCAGCAACTGATGCTGCGATGGCGGCACCCCCTCCTTCAAATTCGATATCAACTTATCCAATCCCTCCTGCTCTTCCTTGCTCAGTTTCGATGGAGGTCCCTCGGGCCCTTTGCTATTCCGGTCCGAATCACCTCCATTCTCGGGCTTTTGCCCAGGGGTGTTCTGTCCGTTCTGGTCGTTGCGTTGCGGGCCTCCGGGGCCTCCGGTGGTATAGCACCTTGTGCTCCGGTGCGCGGTGATGAGGGCTGATAGTCTCGATTGGCGGGTGTATGTGGGGATTGGGTGTGCGCGGGGGATGCATTGTGCGGCGGTTCTCGAGTATCGGGCGAGGTTGCCTGGCCGTCGGAGTATTGAGGTGGCCATGATGAGAGGAAAGGTGAGCCCGGGTGGGCGTTGGTGGGAAACGGCTTGGCCTGTGCGGGGACAGTTAGGGCAATTAGTTCAACAGTAATAAATATTCCAAAGCCCCATGGGTATCTCAGTAGGAGATTTGAAGGAAAAGAGGTGAAGGTACACGACTGAAGCTTATGAAGAAAGCTGCTGGTGGTCTGTCTAATCGAATCGAGTTCGGAGTGACGCCTTCACGTCGGCCGGGATTTTTCGCGGTTCCGCCGCCGGCTGAGTCATCCGCCTGGTTTTCGAGGCCAGAATCGCGGAATCGCAGCGAAGGCAATGGACGTTTTGGCGGATTTCTAATGAGAAAGGAAATAGAGGTAGGATTGAATTGAGATATCATCATTATATGGCATACAGTGTAGTTTTAAAGCACTTTTGTGGTAATTACATTGTGCCTGTCCGTCAAGAGGTGAATTCGGCCTCAGACATGCCTAAGCGAAATCAATATTATTTACCAAGACATATCTTCACGAAGTGGAGTGGTCGGTAGAGTGTAGAGATAGAGCACAGTGCGCTTCGTGTCTCATAGATTTCAAGTGCCAGCAAGAAAATGATCAAAGAAACAGAAGCGCCTTTCCCAACACCGTAAACTCCATTCAATCAAAACCTAGTCTGTGAGATCTTCGGCCCAATCATCAGTTTATTCATGTCTCATAATCAAGATTCGCTCGGGGGCGGTGGGCCATTAGAGTCCATTCCCGAGTCGAACACCGGGAAATTGCTCGACATGTCGGCCCAGTCCCATTCAATGGTCATTGGCATCTGCCATAGATCTTGTGGGACAAACGGTTGTTGAAACGAGGACATTGGATTGCTTCCAGCTCCCCCAAAAGGTTGATCGAACCCGACGTTTCCGAGATTGTTGGGACTCAACATCTCCTGGAAGTCTTGTCCTAACCCGGGCATGGTGTTGACGTTTCTGGGGAGGTCACCAGGTAGACCAGTGTCCGTTGGCATTGCTGTACTAGGGGAAAAGGCAGTTTGGCCATTATATTGACCATCAGTTTGTCCATTAGGCGCCGCATCGTTAGAAAAGAGCGGCGAGGATAACGGTGTTGTCGTAGACGGTGCACCAGCAGGATTCCGGGAAGACGAAGGTGGCGGGGCGTTTCGTTGTTGGGGTTGACTCGGAGCAGTATCGTCTGGGGCTGTTTTGCGCTTCTTCTTGGAATGAGACTCTCGTTCGGCTTTATCGAGCACCACCTTGGCTATCCGCTCGAACTCTCCGCATAGACCAAGCATGCGCTTGATGCTCCCGTTGGATTCATCCGATACAAGCGTGGACAAGAAGTTGACGACGACATTCATCAACTTCACATCTGAACGAGCTCGGGCATCGTTTGGATTTTGGAGGATGTTGGCAAATAATGTAACCAGTGCGGAGACGGGATAGTAGAGGATCAACCTGATTGATTAGCTAGGAACGTTTCCTATAATTCTATTCATCACGAAACTCACCAAACACAAGCAAAGTCACCTTGCGGAATATACTTTATTAGGTTGATCGAGGCTCTCGCAGCTGTGACGCACAGAACTGCAGATAAGAAAACCCTGGGATTCAACGGCCTTGCATTAAGACCCTGGATAGCGTAATTTGACAGACGGCTTGTCCAATAACCATGATGGACCGACATCCGATGAATGGTGGTCAAGCAATTGTAGTAAGCGAAATGGAGGACAACGACGTGCAGGATCAAAGGCGTATGTGCGGCCTTGATATCGTGTTCCGGCCTGAAGTCGACTGGGATGCTGTCTTTCCATTCCTCCAGTTCCTTGTCGAGATCACCAATGGTGTTTAGCAGCTCTCCGTCAGATTGCTTCGACGCTTTGGCGGAATAAAGTCGCTTGTACACACGGCTTTCAATGGTTGCGAATCGACATAATGTTCGGAACAAGTTAAATTTCCCTTTCCCATCCGCCAATGGGACATTGCCGATATTATCCGGGGGATCTTCGCTAGGTAGCTCGACATTCATATCATCGTCATCTTGTACAGGAGGTCGACCTGAGCGGAGGCAGATACTAGAGAAGTCAGAATTGCTAATGGACACGGGATGATGCTAGTCGCCTTACTCTTTGTCAAGCATATATGAAATCCAAAATACTCTCTTTCGCTGCTCTACCTCAACTGGATTCAAACCAAAACCAGAACCTCGTTTATGGAGACCGATGCTGTGAGACAAACGAATTGCTGCAGCGACCAAAAAGAATGAAGGTTGCGGGTTAGGCGTTCCTTGCAAGAAGAGAGACTGTATGCATGTTAGAATAATACAGCAAGAAACAATGGGAGTAGGTTTAAAAAATCCTACCATTCCGAGAAGCGCTTGAACGCTCAAAAGATCCGTATTTCGCATAGTCAGCTCTGTCAGAACGCCCATAGCATTCTTGAGATATAGCCAAGCTTTCTTGTCCTCATCCTGAGGAACCAAGTTGCTCATGACTCGTAACCTGTGCGCAATAGCCAGGACCACGTTGATACTGGCCCACCAGCCGGAACCCTCGTACGGATCTCGCGAGTATTGCCGTTCAACCAGATGCATAAACGTCGGTTCATGATATAATGGAAACATACAATTGAAGTTCGCAAAGAAATCCCGGAACAGCGATATTGCTTCTTCTTTTGGCGGCAGTGGTTTGAAAACACGACGAGCGAAAATATCGCTGAAAACCTCGGGCTTCCAGTACATCCATTTATTGTCATCGACGTAGGCGGAAGATATCATTTCTTGAAACGAAGTATCGCCTGTCTTCTCGTTGACCCATTGAATACCCTTGGGAGAGAATATTGAAAACCCCGATGACGACCCTAGACATAGAATGATCAGCCCACACTTGCTTAGCCCCAGACGCTAACTAAACAGGGCTTACCAATGTATCGAGTCTCCCCGCAGTTGTTTGTAACCAAAGAACACATCATATCTGACAGCGCCTCCACTTCTGTCTCGTCCTTTTGCGACCCGGGGGATGTAACGGCCGTGCGCGGGCTCATTGAATGGGTTTCGATACGAGGAGACGGTTGGTGGCTTTGAGGTGCAGTATTCGGTTGGGTCTGAGTGCCGGACGCATTTGGGGTATTGCTCGTGTTCTGGTTTTGCGATGGCGGGGGGTTCGCGGCGTTCAGTCCGTTGGTAAACGATCGGTCCGCCAGACGCTTCTCCAGTGTCCCAAGATCTGTCTTTCCTCCATCCTCTTGTGATAGAAGGCCGGAAAGTCGTAGCAGCGACTCCATTCGTCCCAACCGATTTTCTAATCCCTCGATGTACTTGGCACTATACGAATATAAAGCGTCAGCGTCATGGAGGCAAACATGCACGTCCGTCATCCTTCGTTATGGACATACCCTTTTGGCGGATTCCGTTTCTTTTCCACTTGTGTGAAAACACAATCGGTCTTGTAGTTGATACAATGCGAACACTTGGGCATCTTGCCGTCACATTTGATCTTCTTCTTCCGGCACATGTCGCAAGCCTGTAACAAAGACGAACAATTCGTCAGTCCCAGTCATTAGCAGCCATATATCGCAGAGAGAAGAGCATCCTCACCCTTGCGATCCGCCTTCTTTTGGCATCATTCTGATCCTCCCCTGTGCTCATCGAAGGCTCGTCCTGAAACGCCGGGAGAACGGACTGCACAGGCGAACCATCTTGACCATATGTGCCGAAAAGATGGGATTGCTGGTTCATGAGCATTGGCATATCAAAGCCCAGCCCCTCAGTACCATCCCCCATGCCCTCCATTATGCACAGCGACCGTTGTCCGACTCGTCTTCGTTGCTCGTTGAGATTCCAAGAGCTCTGTCGCAAAGTGGAGTAGGAAGTATGAGCGTGGCGGGTACTAATGTCTCGAGAACGTGAATGCGGGGTCGTCTGACAGGTTAAAAAGTGATGTAAAATTGAAGAGTGACAGATGAGAGACCTGTCTGCTAGCAGTCGATGTCGTAGAGCTGCGCAAGGACCACAACCGGGATCATTCGACGACGGATCCAGCAACGGCGAGAATTCGGGGAGAGGCAAAATGGAGAAGACGTCGTGGTAGTAGAAGATTACTCAACCAGAACCACGGCACGTGAACGCTCCAAGGTATGTTTATAAAATACCTCTGGTCCAGGAACCAACAAGATTAACTCAGAGACGGCGGAATGAATCATAAGCCGTTTCCCGTCTCAAGATTCAAAGATGGACGGACGGAGATGGTCAAGGAATCGATGCTGCTGCCTTTTGAACGGAACCTGTCGTCCCCGAGCTCCGACGAGAGACGTGAGAAACTCACCCACAAGACGGATACTTACACTGAGTGTTCCCGAGTAGATCTGACTGCTTTGCGGCCTCTGCTTGTTCTACAAATGCGAGACGAAAAATGGTTATTCTGCATGCTGTGATAAGATTATCGCATTTTCCTCACTGACAGCTCCCTTCCCCCTTTGCGAATGCGAATACGAGTGCGAGTACGACTGGCAACGAACTCAGGAAAGCAATGGTACTAAAAATACAGAATAATCCATTGTTTCTCATAAATCAAGAGTGGCGATCTCGTCAGGATATAGACACATAATATAATGGTAAAATACAAACACTCCCATACAGGAGTACATCCGGGTTATATCCCATCTTTAAAAATCCAACCAACGCCTCGCTATGCACCCAAACAAGAAATATCTCTTGTTACAATCGTCGATACCCAGGTATCAGTCCCTGATTTCCTATTTGTGCCGTCTTGTTGGTTGATCGTTGCATTCAACGTTTCCCCTCACTTGACGGGGCGGGACTCCGTGGTGCTCGTGTCCGAACTTCGGTCGCATGATACGGGTCGGCTAAGTGTGTTTGTCGAGGAATTCCTTCGCTTCGTTGATCTTCGTAGCCAGGTAGGGGCTGCCGCCGCGATCCGGGTGGTTGAGGAGCATGAGCTGGCGGTGCTTCTTGCGGACCTTGTCCTTGTTGAGGGTGCGCTCTCTGTACAATGTTAGATCGGAACCCTATTATTAAAATTGTGTTAGGTCACTGTATAACATACGGAAGTTCGAGAATCAAAGAGGCTTCGCGACGGGTCATCCGAGGATCAAATCCACTGTATTCCAGTTAGCCGAGGCCTAATACGGTATATCCAACGCTGAAACCTGGAAAAACCCACCCCTTGTAGAATGCCTTGCCTGCAGCACCAATACCTCCCTTAGAGCGACGGTAGGCGACAAGACCAGCCCGACCCTGTAGACAGAGGGGTCAGTCAGCTCCGATGGTGGCCCCGAAATGTCCTATGTTCCCTTACCAAAAAGGCGGCCGTAGCAACGCCCAGTCCCATAACTAACGTAGAAGCCATTGTAAAGCGTAGTTCAACTGATAGTATGCAGTAACTGTGGTCTCTCTCTTCTCGAGGCGGCGGACGAGGGACAAGTCTAAGCCGGCGGAAGTCGAGATAAAAATCGGACCGCCGCCGCAAGCTCCCAATCAGGTTTAGCGCCAGCCGCTCCGCAAAAGTTTCAGTTGATGATTTCGAATGTTTCTTTTCTACCTTCAACCATCCACCTTCTGTACATAAACATCGTGCAAAATGAGGTTTGTTCTATCCTATTTTCTTGCATTGGAAGAATTTGCTTTCTAACTGTCGCAGGGTTGAGACGTGTCATTTCTGCGTAAGTGACGGGGTCGCAAGAGGTGATTTTTTTTTTTTTTTTTTGGCGGCATTGCTAACGGAGGAATTGTTGTATAACAGTCACGGCCGACCTACCCTAGCAAGGGTATTACATTCGTCCGGTACGTCGCTTCTGCTGAGATTGTCTTTTGAAATAAAGAAGCAGGGATTGAGGACAAATCTAACGGTAACAGGAACGACTCCCGTCAGTTTCGATTCTGCCGTTCGAAATGCCATAAGAACTTTAAGATGAAGCGCCAGCCTCGCAAGCTCAAGTGGACCAAGACTCACCGTGCCACTCGCGGCAAGGAAATGATTGTCGACTCGTCGCTTGTCCTGTCGCAGTTTGCCAAGAAGAGAAACGCTCCCGTCAAGTACGACCGCAACCTCGTCAACGCTACCGTCAAGGCTATGGAGAGAGTCGAGGAGATCCGCCAACGCAGAGAGCACCAGTTCACCAAGAGACGTCTGGCAGGCAAACTGGCTCGCGACCGCAAGCGCGAGGAAGACCGCAAGGTGGTGGCCGAGGGCGAGCACCTCATTCGCAAGGAGCTCCGGGAGAGAGAAGAGGGCCAGCCTCTGGCCGCCGAATCGACCAAGACGTCCAGATTGCATGGCGAGGAGAGACTCAGGCAGCAGAAGAAGACCAGATTATTGGTGGATGGTACTACCCAGGAGGAGATGGATGTCGATTAAAGGGTCACTTTCCGTTGAGCTTCGTTTCTACTTTTCTCGTTTCCCTCTTTTCAGATACGATTGGAGCTTATGAGGAGTTCGGTTGTCTTTCTTTGAGTTATCTAGATTCCTTAAAAAGTAATGCATTGGGTTTGGGATACAATCATGTTTGCACGTTTGCATTCGTTGGCTTGGCCATCGAGCATTCACTGCTCGAGTAGTGCCTATTTATATATTCTCGTCTTCGCGTTTTCCCTTCTTCTCTTCTTCTTCGCTTCTTCTCTTCCTCTTCCTCTTCATCTTTCCTAATCGCGCCTTTCGTACGTCGACTACCACCATCATCAATTCCAAAATCCCATCATCTCATCACCAAATCAAACCTACCATTGCACACAGCAAGACACGGAATAACATGCTCTTCCCCTTTATCGGCCTCGTGATCACCCTCTCCTTATGGAGTACTATCCTTAATCTCCAGCCCAACGACCCTCGAGAAGACTACGTTCGACGTCTGACCAGCACCGTTGGCATAACAGCAGTCATTACGGGATGCCTTGACCTGACAAATGGTATTATCAATGCCTATGGCCCTGGAAAAGGTAGCGATGAGATTACTTGGATGTATGATCTTGTGAACAGCGGAGATCTTCATGCTACGGCGACGAGCACGGTCAACATACCCTCGAAAACAGCAAAATCAGACTCGAGCAGAGTTGCAGGGCCCTTGCCTCTATCTACACGCGCGCAACTCATCATTGTTGGAAGTGTGCTAGTCATATCCTTTCTTCCTCGAAAAAATATCATCTCTATGGATGATTCTACGCTGGAAGAACATCACGCAGAATCCGATCAATCTTCACTTGAGATGCTGTACCTCTCACCCGAGGCTGAACCATCCCTTTATGAGCAGATAGACTCCCTACTCTCCAGTTCGCTTCAACTCGATTCCGGTAGTTCTGAGTGAGTACCCCACGTCTTTCCAAGGACAATCTGTCAAATAGATGCTAACATAGATAGGGCATCCACGAAACCGAGTCAAACCCCTGATTCTTTGGACTCTGTGTCTCAGGCTACTTCTTCAACAGTGAGCTCAGTCATAAACTCTCCGACTACGTCTAGATCTACGACCCCTGCGTCTTCTAGCTTCACCACACCTAATTGCAGCACACCACCCTCTCCCATCGATTACAATCATCGATTTGTTTCTCAAACGGTCATGCCGTACTATGCTAGTGATAATGATCTCAACTATGTCGAAGCCGATGTTGTCTTTCATCATCAATTCGAGTTACAAGCCAACCACGATAAGGACAAAACTAGCCAGGGAGGCCCTATATCCGATAAAATTACCCCAACGCCTAAAGTCACCACTTCGCAGCTTGAACAGCCATCGACTCTCGAGCAGAACTCTGCCACGACTACTCCAAAGAAGCGCCGACATCCTCGACCCAGCCAGGCTAAGAGACGCCGTTTTGCAAGGCGGAATGAGCAGGCTTTTAGACTGTCAGCATCGGGTCAGGATGATCAGGTCAGCTAATTTTGGAGGTTAGTGACGGTACAGTGTTCTCGATTTATGTTTGGGATAGTCATGTTTTTTTTTTTTTTTTTTTTTTTTTTTTTTTTTTTTTTTTTTTTTTTTTTTTTTTGGATTTACATTATGGATAGGGGCATCTCTTTCTGTTTTAAATTTCATTTTACGTCTTTCTTTGCAGCATTTAATGTATGTATTATATGAAGGAGTTGAATAACCGGGTTAGCGCTGGACCCTTACTGATGTCAACATAGTGTTCAAATGAAGTACGCTACCGCATAGAAATTTCCACTCGCAAATCCTCCAGTTTCTTCTTAAATCAAACTATTGAATGGCATACTGCTGACACGAGCGTCAAAAGCAGTGAAGATGGTGTATCCAAGTAGACTGGCCCTGTAATATACACCATCTTCTCTTCTCCCTCTTTTTACCCATCATACATCTAGAATAGTTAGCCATATTATCAAGTATATGGCTTGCTCATGCTTTCTCAAATCCGTGCCTCCCTGGTACCCTCGAAACAAATGGTCTGAATACAGATACTGTCCAGGCTTACTGTGCCTATCACTTTAGTCCCTTGGTTCTGAACAGAATTCGGCTCAATTAAGCCATCAAGATGGTCTAATAGGGCCTAAAAGTCCCGGAGAAGATATTGCCGCTTCTACAAGGAGATCACGACAAGCCTGGTACCACTGAGATAACATCAAGTCAATTGCGCTGCCACAGTTCACTATCCTGGAGAAAAAAAGATCTCTGTCGCAAACAACCCCACTTCCAATCTGGGAAAATGCGTCCTAAGGCCTGAGACGTTACTAAAGCAATCACCATCTTCTTGTATCACTCTGCCTCGACAGCTATATCGGGACCATCTTCAGAAGGCCTAAAATTTTGGTCCTTGGGCTTAGTATTGGCAGGTGATGACCAGACCAACGAGGATCTTTGCGTTCGAGGGCCATTGATTTCTTACATTCTGGCATCAGTGATGCCAACTAGTCGTACAGCACTGGAGCTTAGCCGACTTTGCAGTCTCGAAAACTTTAGAGCTATTTGAAAAAGTTCGAGGTCGAATCCAATTAAGGAAATAAAGCAATAAAATAAGCCTGATACAGCCTTTTGCTAGCTACATAGGTTTATACAATATGCATTGGCTCGTCCGACGAAGCAGCTCTAAATCCATCAAGACGCATCTAATCCGCAAATGAATATCCAGCTTGAAACTACATTTTCATTACTCCAAAAAACCCTATCTATAACCATACATCGTACATGAAGCACCCGGCTAATACACACACGAAAAGATCCCAGAAAGCACGTTTGTGAGCCAATCCCTCAAATGAAACTCCCTACCACATTCCACTTTCCAAGCTCCTAAATCCACTGATCCAGTTCCGTGATAGCCCTACGAGTCAAAAGTCAAGTCAACAACTCGAAGCAGTGATCACAACCGCACAATTCCCATATTCACCCCCATCCCCACTCCTATTCCCCAGGTACTTCTCCCTTGCAACCTCCCACTCCTCTCTGTAGCTCCTTTCTGTCCGATTCGGCCTTTCAGCTACCCACACTCCCCAGAAAGTCCATGGGTCCTGGCTGGATAACAAGACTCCGCTGGTTATACTGCTGTCACTGTATCCCATCCTGATATATCCATCCTTCTAGCTATCATCCTCCTCCTTTTTGACAATGATCTCCGTAAAGTCAGAGCTCTCGGTAATTATCTCCGTCGATCTAGTTAGCATCAATCCGCGAAGACGGTGGCTGCTGCAGTACGTATGTTGACCGGAAACTTGAAAATGCAGTCACTGCTTGACCTGATAGGCTTCCAGGCTGCTGGAAAGAACTGCTGATTCCGTGCTCGACTTTGTAATTATCGACAAGGCATCGGATGTTTGCGCCAGATCCTTATAGGATTACTCGTGTCTAGGTCTTGGATGGCGGGAAGCTCGCTCAAAAGGTAAAGTGGGGGAGTAAGTCAACGAGAGATCGAATGGGTGGGAGGAGCAAAAGGGGCTCATATTAAACCCGTTAGTAGTCTTTACTTTTATAGCAAGCCTAAAATTGAAGAGACCCCTGACCCTGTGAAATCAAGGCCTTTCGTGGAGTGGCAAACGATAATGCATATCTCGAGTATCAGGGTTGATTTCTTCCATCTGCAGCAGGCCATCTACGGGATATGTCCACATATTTAGATTCACATAGTCTGATTTTAGCTTCGACAGGCCGTAGAATGAATGGAAAGGGGATAGGTCTATCCCCATGTTAATGATCTTGGATTGGAAATAGCCTCGTTTGCTGGCGATATTAGCCCTAATTTAGTCGCATATCTCTCAGACTGCTATTGTGAGAGGCTTAATTACTTAATGCAACATTATGTAAAAGATATTTATACTCCTTACATTCCAAAAGCTGTTTAGGTATCTCTGTGGATCAGGCGAAGGGCATCGTATCAGAGTGAGGTTGACTTAGCCTATATATAGTGCACCATCTGATTGGTTTGCTTAGACTCGTATGTTTTCATGGTTGGGCCATGGGGCCCCTCCCCATACTTCGCCCTTTGTGCGTGTAGCTAGATATTCGCTCTTTTCTACAATCATCTATCGACTACCCATGTTACCGTTATCGGCATTCGTTTCTATACATCGATGTACTGCTGTATACGGGTTAATAGGGCTCTCCAGCATAAAATTCGCGGTTTGTCCAGTGCTTGACACTCCAGCATCTGATGTAATAAGAGCGATTGTGGCGGCCCTGACGTGAGACAGAGTGACCACTATCGTGAAAAGATGGGATAAAGCAGTCATGGCATGGCCATTCATGGCAACGTATGCATCACCGTAATAGAGGTACACATCCCTTGCGGTCAACAGTTTCACGGCGAAATCTTGTCCATTTTCCACAGCTACAGAAAGTTGACTCTGGCCAAGAGTTTGTCTAATCAGCGTGTGCCATTATTATACAGTACTGCAATAGTCTATTGGATTCCTCACAATCACCTTCAAAAGCAAGTGGCATGATGTGCAGGTACCTTGGGCGGCATATTCTGATCTAGTGCATTGACATCAGCGAGCTTCAAGGTGGTTAAAATATCATCGATGCCACAATATATCTAAAGCTCATTGTGTACAGATTTTGAAGAGCTCACACCCTAAGACCTGGAGTGCATATACGAACCCACCAAGCGAAAAGGAGAATACACCAAAGTCAATCAATTCCGCGAGCAAGCAGCTCGTGATGGGTATCCATACGCTTGAGTGGACACATGTTGCATCAATAAAGCAGCGCCGAGCTGTCCAAAGCCATCGATTCAACTTTTATATGGTATCAAGACACAGGACCCAGTAGCATGGGGGAAAGCTTTATTGTCCAGCAATCTGCACGCAAGCAAATTCAGGCCGGACTACGTACAGCCCGGCTGGTTGAAACATCGGATTCATTCGCGCCGTTTAATCGACAGCAGACACAATGCCCAGGGAGTGCGTTCAGGGTGGATGCAATGGTGTCTTGGAGCATTAAGTGATGGCGGATCCGGCATCGTGGCCGCAGATGCAGTTTCAAGGCCGAACAGGAGGACGGGGGGCTTGAGCATGTACGGGTTCATCGGGAACATCACTAGAATATACTTATTCACGATCACCTTGGAGTTGACCACTTACCATAATCCATTTCTACCATGAGCAGCAGCAATAGTGCAACCTACATGATTTAAATACTCTATCCTCATTCCTTATTCCAGACCAACACAAACACAATGTCTGTCTGCTAGCAGCAAGATGGTTTAAACCCTCTCTCCACCAAGGAACAGCCATGATCATGATCATTTTAGTGCTGAAACTAATGATTCCTTGGCTGGTGTCACCCTAGTGGGACAATTTTAGGCTTGTGCTGCTTGCAGTATTGCTTGTTGCTTTCTCATCTGGATATAGTCTATAATTGAACATAATTGAATACAGGGGGTTATGGCGGTGGTCATTGCCAGGAACCTTGTCCCTAAACCGTCGCCGATCTAGCTCTGCCGGCTATAAATATAGCAATGTCGCCCGTCTGTATTCTAGTTCTCTACATCAATATGTTATCTTTTCTTCCCATCATCCAGCTATTGGTTAACCCCTGACATTGTATCTTCGTACATCCCGTCTTTTCTTTTTATACACAGCCCTCAGAGACCTCCTTATCATGGCAGTCCAGTAGTGTAGATATGCTAGTACCTCCATCTAAATTTGCAGTGGCAGAAACCGTTCCATACATGCCATCGATGCCGAGGCTCACTTTAATCAAGTGTCAGGCAGCCGGGTGCCTCCTTGTACATCGAGTACAATCGAGTACATAGTCCAGGTCAAAACGAGATCTAAGATAACATGGAAAAATCTCGGAACATAAACGCTCTCCGGTTAGACGTTGTGCAACGCCAGAATAAACCGAAATGCTTATATTACCCAAGAAATAGGGCTGAGTAGCACTGCACTACATGTATATATCCGTGCAACAATTAATGCAATATCTCCATTGCTATCAAGCAAGTACAGAGACCAGAGGTACATGCAACGCATGTATACAAGGTCAGGGTGTATATATCAATATCAAACGCTGGCCATGATGGTTATGTAGAAATTCAAATGATACATGGTGGCTGGAAACAAAGGAAACAGAAGGAAGGACTAATAATAATATACTTGGATGGACCGTATAATTCCAAGCTAGTCCATCTTGTAATATGTAAAGGCAAAGTCCCAGAATGATACCAACGTCAACGGCTGGGTAGTTCATCTGGGACTGCAATGATGCAACCAAATACGCATCAATGGGGATAAAACAGAAAGGAAAGCAAGAGGCTAGCTCGTAGAGTCATTATGCAGCTGGCTGTTGCAGCTGTTGGAAAGGGCAAGGGGAAGGGGTAGGTTACTCCTCCATCAGACCAAAAACGCCGTCGTCATCGTCGTCCTGCGTCGGACGGTTCCCAAAGTCGACATCCGCGTTGCGGTTCTGCCGCGATGTGCGGTCTGTATCGCCCGTCCGGACTTCCCGTTCATCGGATACCTTGTAGGAAAGAGATGGGTTGTAGGATACCGACAGGAAGTTCGGGATGGATCCGGGGATAGATCCAGGGATGGCAGTGTCGGCTGCGGGCACTCGGGACTGGTCCAAGCTCTGACTCTGATTGCTAGGATCCAGGAATCGTCCTGGCAGCGAAGGCACCGGGGGAATGCTGGGCGACATGGCCACAGGACGTGTCCGTGGGGTGCCAAAGTTGCAGAGACCAATTGCCGCGGCCAAGTCTGCCTCATCGTCGTCATGCAGCCTCGTGTTTGCCGTCGAAGGTCGCGTCTCGATGCTGGAGTGGCGGAAGTTGGCAAATGACGGTGAGTGCAATGGAGCACTCCCATTGAACGAGCTCGACGGAATGGATTGGTAGGAGTGGGAGAAAAGTCCAGAGGGATTCCGGCTGGCACGGGGAACGTCGTATCGCTTGTCTGCGGTGGTCGACACGCCAGACATCTCCAGATCATCCTCGTCGTCTTCGCTTTCCTCATTCTCTTCCATGTCTTGCTCCATGGGAGGGGGCGTGGTGTCTGCGGAACTGAGACCTTCACGACGCTCCGAAGACGCGTCGGGCGAGGCGGAAGATAACTCCGATTCCTCCGGGCCATCATTCATAGTGACGAGAACACTAGCGGCTTCCAAGAGTTGAACTTGCTGATGCTTGGAGATCAATAGCTTCGAGGTAACAGCCCAAGCCGGGTCATGTTCCCACCTAATGTGTTTCAACCAACGTCAACCGGGGGTCCAGGAGGGTAGGATACGAGGGAAAGGGGGGAAAGGTATCTAAAGGAGGAGCTGGACCACGAGGGCGACCTAACAGAGCCAACATGGCGCAATGCTCCGAGAACCGGCAGGACAGCGTGGGTTGATTGTGGGAAGGGGATACACACATATGCTTGGACAAGCAGCTGCCATGCTTGTACCCTTTCCCGCAACGTTCACAGCGAAGTTCGACCAAAGAACGCTTTCCTTCTCTGGTCGGGGGAGCACCTTCACTGACACGGCGGCTTCGATTCTTAGAAGAAGAGGAAGCAGAGAGGTTCGATGGATTTGGCCGAGTGTTTGTAGCGGCGGAGCCAGTGTTCGGAGCAAGGGGGGATTGGTTCGGGACCGAGAGCTTGCCAGCGACCGAAGGATCTTGATAACCAGGGCTGTTCATGCTCCGGGAGAAAAACGAGGGCGAGGAAGTGGCCGCGGTGAAACCGGAGGGTACTCCGACCGAGGAGGATTCCATGGGAGGCTTGCGGCTGGAGGGTCGACGGTTGACAGAGGCAGGCATGGGAACACCCGCGGAATCACCACCGCTGGGATCTTTGACGGTAGCAGCAGCCACGGCGGCAGCAGCAGTACTGGTGACAGCGGCTGTGGTGACACTCTTGCGACGAGTAACGCGGTGGTTTGGATTCACGGCCCCGAGAGACATGGAATGCGAGTGGTGGTGTCGTTGGGAGGACTGCGGAAGAGGACGCGAGAGAGAGAGTTCCTGGCAGTAGAGATAATGCATTAGACCTGGGGGGAGATAATAATGGGTTGCTGAATATTGACGGTACCTTGAAAGAAGCCATGGTGACTCGGGCAGCCCTGCCGGGAGTTGTCTAGGCTATAGACTGTCCAGAGATAGTAAACGAAAGCAAGAGATTCAGAATAGGAGGAGAATTGCTGTTCCGGAGCGTGAAATAGCGGTAAATAGGGCGTAGAGAGGGTCGAAAGTGCGGTGGTGTAATACGTAGGAAAAAGTGTCCAGTGGAAAAAAGTGTCGGGAGTTCAGCAGGAGAGAGTTTCCAAGGAGGATTTGCGGGGGGGACCGCTGAGTGATTAAATTGAGTGTGCGGGGATTAACTGCGACCAGAGTGTTTCTGAGAGATGTCTGTATTAGAGGGAATAAGAAGTATGAGAGAAAAGAGAGAGAAAGAGAGGGAAAAAAAAGTTGAAAAAGAATAAAGACAAAAGAAAGAAGGTGACCAACAATAATGATGCCATCTGGCCCACTCAGCAGTCGTAGCCCAAGTATAGGTTCCTTATTTGCTATATACTTGTAGATACTATGCTACAACGCTCTTCTCAGTGTCCTATTCTCTCTGTTCTCTGCTATTGCTTGTATGCCGACGAGTATGTCTGTACAAGGACTCTGTACAAGGACTCTGTATCGTGCACGTTTGTCAAGGCAGACAGACAGGGGTCAGATCACGAGCCCTGCAGCTGGCTGTGCCTGTATCATGTATGTTTCTTTTTTACGTACGGGTATGTATCGTTTTATTCTCTTTCTTTCTCTACAATATAATACATGTTTATCTATTCTTCCTACAGAGCACATCCATACTTGCACTCTTCTTTATTCTCGTATTCTGTTCTCTAAATTCCGGTTATCGACCGGTCTAGGTCGATGATGTCATTAATACACGTCGCTATTTATTACCATACCGTAACTTCTTTTTCGGGAACACACGACAGCAAGTATTTGTGCAATGACTTGTTCCAGTAAATACTTGAGTAGAAACCAGAGTATAGTTTCATTCTTCTATGTATAGTGCTATCGGTACTAAATACAGCAGATAACAAGAGATCAAACAAGATAGTCAGGGCACATCTACCCCATTGACCCGTAAATATATTATGAATCAGTAAGAGAATTTAATTCATCTCGTAAGTAAATCATGGATGCTTTTTCCCTTCAATTGTGATCCATTGATCTTATCTAATCTGGAAACCAAACAGTGCAAACTATTCATCTGCATAAAATAAGTTCGATGCTCCTCCACACTAAACATAAATCAATCGACGAATAAGCTTAAAAGCTTTCTCGAAGGCGGCTTGCCTAATTGGTAGATATCAAACGAGTGCGAATCCGTGCGAACGCCCTACATGCACAGCTAGACTGGAGAGCAGAGTCCTCGCTCTCTGTACAGCCAGCGAAGCCCGAGGTCTACACCTCCTCACCCTCGGACCGACGTTTCAACTTCAAGGGTCTTATAACGAGTTTGAGGATGTTCGATGATTCTCAGAAAGGCCGTTCCATGGCATTATGGTCCTCGAATACCAGTCTCAAATAAGCTGCACGCCATCAATAATCATTGGCAGATGTACTCGTCTCTCCCTGTTGGCCAAGCCTGTAGAAGGCGTAATCGTATGAATCCGATGAAACGCCATAGAAGGGGATATAGATATACTTCCTAGACGCTTACACTTCTTCCGGATCATGCCTATAGCGTATACGTAACTTATCAGTACGTGACCCATGTGTCTGATAGCATGTCCACGAACCGAGATAGCTCAAGGTCCTTGTCTCTTGCCTTTGCCTTAGTAACTAGAACATTGTTCTTAGGTTTACCTGACTGAGCATGCCAGATGTCGTAACCGGTCTTCTGGTAATCGGCTGGTTGATAGGCATTTTCCCAGGCAAATTGCTTGGTTATTTTGACATCAAGTGATGGTTGGTAGAGCAATGCAGCAAAACCAGGGCAGTGGTACATGAAATTGTGAAATATGTTCGTTTATAAATACCCCGGGCACCTGGCTCTAATGACTGTGGATAGACTTGCTAGTATCGTTCGAGCTTAAGTGAATCAACAAACCAAAATAATGGATAGGGTGGAGAAGAGAAGAGAAAATACATCCAAAGTCTATAATTTCATTGGTACAGACGATGGAAATGCAGCAGCAGCAGAGAGTACATTGCTCTAAAAAGATGTTCGACTACCGTAGCGATATGATCTACGACACCCCGATAGTGCTATCAACCCAATCTAATCAGCGCAAACAATGCAAACTTTTTTCTCTCTGTTTGTCCACTGCCCCTCCAAACTGAAGATAAACACTTTTTAAGTACATACTCTCGATTCATATTCAATCCTCAGATCCTACAGACTGCAACCCAACACCCAACACACCCCCAAGATGCTCCACTCTCGCCTCCGTCCCCTCCCTCGCCCACCCACCACCACAACCACAACAACAGAAACAACAGCATCAACAGCCCCACCCCCCGACTTCTCAGGCCAAGACCCAGACACCACAACCGAAGACCCCGAAGACCTCTTCACCTCCTTTCTCCCGCACCTCTTTCCTGACGATGCGCTCTCTTTCCACGGTGACCCCGGCCAGTGCCTCCTCTACAGCTCCCCGCGCTATGGCCCGCTAACGATCATGGTGCCTTCGTACCCCGAGCAGAGCGAGAAGCGGAGTAAGGAGGTTGCGGCGAGTGAAAAGGGGTCTGTGGATGAGGGGAGGAAGTTGTTTGCGCATTTCCTGTGGAGTGCGGCGATTGTCGTTGCGGAGGGAGTTGAGAGTGCTGACGGTGAGTTGAATGAGGGTGGAGATGGGGGGGTATGGAGGGTAAAGGGGGAGAAGGTTTTGGAGTTGGGTGCTGGTATGTCCCTTCAATACCGATTCGAGATTGATATATGTACTAACAAAGATGCAGGAGCCGGTCTCCCCTCTCTAGTCAGCGCGCTCGCACACGCTTCCTCCGTCACGATAACAGACCATCCCTCCTCGCCAGCCTTCGGCGGTGCAATCCCCTTCAACATATCCACCGTCAACATCCCCGCCACAAACCCATGCGAGATCACAATCCAACCACATGAATGGGGTACCCTCACAACGGACCCCTGGGCCGTCGCAAACAAAGCCACCTACACGCGCATCATCGCAGCAGACTGCTTCTGGATGCGCAGTCAACATGAGAACCTCGTTCGCACGATGCGCTGGTTCCTGGCTCCTGGAGGGAAGGTCTGGGTTGTTGCTGGGTTTCATACTGGGCGGGCGATTGTCACGGGATTCTTTGAGACGGCGTTGGAGAATGGATTCGGGATTGAGAGTATCTATGAGAGGGATTTGAACGGTCAAAGTGAAGATGGCGGGGAAGTTCGCCGGGAATGGATGCCCGAGCGCGAAGGCGAAGGACCGGAAAATAGAAAGAGATGGTGTGTCGTTGCTGTCCTGACTGCCAGTACATAACCGTTCTACATTGTAAATAGTATCAAGAACGCTGAAAACAAACCGTACAAACTCCCTGCCCTTCTTTCCCCCCAAACCTAAACCGCGGATACTCAACCCTACCCCAAATGCTCAACTCTCCCCTCGTCCCATCAACAAACCACCGAACAATCTCCTCCTCGGTCCAATTACAACTCGTGACAACCAAGAACCCACCCCTGCGCACTAACCCCACCACAACAGGAGGATACCGTTCGCAGACCCGCTTCTCGGCAACGGTCTCTTCGGATAGCGAGATCGCGTCGAAAGTACCCTTGTCGAGGACAATATCGAAACCCCCGTTAGCCTGCGGGAACCAATTCAGTCTCTCTTGCGGGGGTGGGCTGAGGATGTCGTATTCTTCGAAGCGGATTTGCGTGCCTCCCTCTTTCTCTGTCTGAGATTCCGATTGAGGGGCATTGCCATCCTCATCCTCAGACTCGTCAGAGTCTGTTCGGTAGGCAGAATGCCCCCTAGCCTTCTGCAACTCCCTCGCCAACTCAACACTCTGTCGCGAATAATCAACCCCAACCATTTCCCCCGTATACCCTCCTTTCTTTCGTAGAAGTGCTAACATACTCCCATTCCCGGTCCCCAGATCGAGTAATTTAGGTTGATCGTCCAGCACCTTGCCATTCCATTTTGCTCCTGTTGATGTAGAGGTAGAGGAGGGGAGAGTCTTGGCAGGCGCAAGCGGAAAGTCGTCAGAAGTCAAGAAATCGAGGACCTTTTCGGGGGCGTTGTGTTCAGAGAACCACGATGTGCCGGGGTCGGAGTCGTCATCTGCGTCTGAGTCTGCGTCTGAGTCTGCGTCTTCTTCGCCTGAGTTTTCATTTTCTCGATTCGAAGCTTGGTGGGCGGGTTTGGAGGTTTCGGAGGCTCTGGTGGAGAGGTGCGAGAGGGTGCGCGCGTAGAAGGTTTCCCAGCTATATCATTAGTAACTATTGTTTCAAGAAGGACAAATAGCTTACTATTCCTTGGTTCCCAATTCACTGGGAGGAAGATGGGTTGGTTGGTCTGCCATTGCTGAAGTCTGGATTTATGTAAAAATGGAGGGGTTGTAGAAAAGTCTGGAGCGGACCCACTTGATATCGGACTAGATAAACCTACGATTACGGAGTACTACGACTGTATGCGCTTCCATAGATCGATTGCAATTGGGTATTCTATCTATGCACAAACGAGAGATCCAAAACAGAGCTTCAATCGAAGCAGACAGAGTCCCACTAATATTACAGTTACCATGCACGGGTTCATCGCTGCCCGTCTTTTTGACCCATGACGCCATTCAACACTGAAAAACGAAACAAAAAAAAAAAAAAAAAAAAAGCGGAAGATGCAAAGAAATAGTATGCTGGTTCTCCAGACATGCAACGAAAGTAGCTGAATAGATAAAATGATAATCAACGACCGCAAGCCCGCTTTGGTCATGAGTTCATCAAGATTAACGAGAGATAATAATATATGTCATCACTGATGTCGAGAATCCAATAAGAAGAATGTGGGTAAATAATAAAAGAAGCGAAAGTCACCTCATGTGAGGCAATTCATAGAATCGTTGCTCAGGTTTGACGCCCGGCTATAGAAATTCATCAATACTTCTCATGATCACGCGCTCATTGCCCGGTGGTGGTGATCGTGGGTCTGCCGCATCTCCTGACAGAACACCTCCAATACCTCCCATCTGCCGGGGTAGTGGTGCAACCATGAACTCGGTGGTGCGAGGCGAAAAGATCGAAGACAAGTCTGGTTGCTCGCGCACAAACGATCCCTTCTTGACCGGTTGCACATAGCTGGTGCGCGGCCGTTGAGATCGCTCCGCTGGCTCCGCCGTATGGTACATCTGCCGAAGCGGCAAGGGCCGCGGAGGCAGACTTCGTTTGTGTGAAAGAGTCTTGGAAAAGCCCGGGCTGCTAGGACGAAGCGCCGTCTGATCACTTGGAACGGAAAGAGAAGGCACGGAAAGAGAAGGCACTGGCGGGAGAGAGGGACCATGGTTTGTGGGATGGCTATCCGGAAGGACCGGCGAAGCCGCAAGGCTAGGAGCTGGGACCTCGCTCTTGGGCGTTGATGCCAGAGACCACTCCTCCGGGGACTTCTTCGAGAGTGTACCACGAATCAATCGGGAACGGAAGTCCGTCAACTGGTAGATGAGGCTCATGTTGGGACCCACCCAACGACTGCGCGCCTTGACCATCTCATACATCGAGTTGAAGTCCATGTCGCGGTTTTTGAACAGACCGTAGGCAATCACCAAAGAGGCCGAACGGCTGGCTCCCAGTTGGCAATGAATGAGCACCTTCTTGCCCTCGGAGATGCGCGAGTCAATGAGCTCGCATAGTGGGTACAAATCGTCGAGGATTTCCGAGTTGTGATCCCAGGAAACGTGGATGTATTCTGGTTTGGATGACTGGGTGTGGCTACTCTCGTTTTGAACATTCTGTTCTCCTGTCGGGGGCAAAATGTTGTTGCGCCATGCGCTCATGACCGTGTCGCTGTCTGAGCTCTTGGTGAACGGATTGACAACCTCCTTGGCCACGTTCACGATCACATCGAATTGTGACGCTTCCTGAGCGGTCGGCTCCAGATACAAGTACAGACCAGAGTCATAAATGCGAATAGGCCCATCCGGGTAGCTCCGCTCGTTCCGTTGAAGCGACTCTCTCGAGTCGAGAGGGTCGTCCTCTTCCTGCAGATCATGCAGGGCCCCACCAGTCTGCGAATTCTCATCTGGCACCGTCTGGAGGGGAGTGAAGCCACCTTCAGAGGGTCGTCGGACGCCATGGTGGGTAACAGGTCGAGGTAATTGCATGCCACCTTTGGGGCCAAATGAGGGGGAGAAAACGGAATGCAGAGAAGGCGACGATTCAGCGTGTCGCAAGGAGGGTGTCGGAGGAACAACTTCGGTGACGTTTTCAGAAAAGGACTTGTCGAATCCCGGAGTGCGAATGGTGAGGCCCGCCGGCTTGCGTCGACCAGTCTTGGGAGGGATAACGGGCGAGGGAGGGGCAGAGAAGTGGTGCGAAGTTGTCTCTACAATAGGTGCCGTTGCAATATGCGGGCGCGACGAGTCCAAAGGCGGGGGCATTCTCAGCGACAAGTTTTTGAGGTTGCGCGCTCGTCGATTGGGCGACTCCGGTTGCACTGGCTTGGAGATTTCCGACGGTTTTAACAATTCATTCTGTTGCTGCGACTGTGGCCGTGCCGGCTGCGCAGGTTTCTGCTCGCCAAAGTGTGCGGGCTGCATGAATTGAGGATAGGGCATGGAAGACGGCGACTCTGGAGAGGAGCTTGGAGAAGTATCGGGAGCAGAAGGAGAATCAAAGGTGGAGACAGTGGTGGTAGGAGAAGAGTCGGTTGAGCCGGAGGTCATGGACGAGACACTTTCGCGGTGACGGAAGGGAAGTGGACGTCGAGAAAGATGAGGAGCGGATCCATGAGAGGAGGGCACCCGCAATGGTTGAAGAGGCGCGGGGTTTTCGTCTTTTTCAGGTGTGAAACGAGAAGAGATGCCACCAAAGACCGACATGAAGGAAGGGAAAGATTCAGGATGCGACGGAGCGCTGGTCTGGATAGGCATGGTGGTGGAAGGTGTTGGTAGAGGAGCGGAAGGAGATTTTCGAATAGTCCTGCGCTTGAACGGCGACAACAAGACCCGTTCAGTATCACAACCGTCGTGATGGAACGCGGGAGCCAGGATGGATGCGTTATTGTTGCATCGAGAAGAAAGGTGAAGACAAGACAGAGTCGCACTTGCTACCTGCGCAAATGACCTTTTGGACAGGGACGAAGGAAAAGCATCAGCGTCCATGTTCAACTATTTTTTTTTTTTTTTTCTCTATGTTTAACTTCTGCAAAGAGCAGCAAGGAGTGAGACTGAAGCAACCGGAGGTCTCATAGGAATCAAAACGATAGCAAAACAAAAAAAAAATAAAAATAAAAATAAAAGAGCAGCAAAGCAGACGGCATCAACAAGAGCCGAACATACCAAGCACTGCCAGAAGTCTCTTCTCTCTGAGAATCTGGATTTGTGGGCAGTCGTCCTCCAGGGACAGATAAGTTGGGGGAAAGAAGTTATACAGAAGAGGCGTGATATGATCAGAGGATAAAGAGGCAAATATAAGAACGACGACTGCCCACGAGAGGTTGGGGAGTAGCCGGGGTGAATGGAAAGTATCAAAACAAAAAATCACAAAAAGAACAGAGGAGGGAGTGAAGAAGAAGAGAAGAGAAGAAGGGGGGGGGAACAGCCAGTGAAGAGAGAGAAAAAGAAAAGATAAAGAGAGAGAGAGAGCGAAAGAGAGCGAAAGAGTGTGTGGAAGGAAGGAAGAGAGAGAGGCGAAGATACGAATGAGAAGAAAGAGAAGCAGATGCTGTTACAGAAAGAATACGGACCAGTTCGTTTGAGTCCATCCGTAATTGGCTGTCGAGCAGTGGGGGGGCTGTGGGGTGGAGACGGGAAAGAGAGGGGAGCCAATCAGAAAGCCACTACTACCGCCCAGGAGCCAATGGGAGTGGGGCGCAGTGAGCCATCCATGAGTGCGTGTGCTATATTTAGTTGTAATTCGTACGGTAAGTATGTATGCAAAAGTATTCCATGATATGGAAATATGGAATAGAATGCTGTCGGCTAGGACTATTACTATATGTACTCTAGAATAGAAAAGATAGTAGCAAAAGGGAGAAAAGTCTAGAAATACAGAAAATGCACATCATGATACTATTCTCCTATCTGGAGAACTTTGTTTGGCCTGTGCGATGCAACAAATGTGAGGTCCACCTAGCGCTGAAAGAGGCAACAGACTTTGATACGGTATTACAGTACTTGAGGTACAAGTACTCTGCACTTGTAGAGGTACTCCATAGTAACCATATTGAACACTCTACTCTGTGCTTGTACAAGTACACAAAAGACGCTCCTTCTTATATAGTACCCCTGCTCGTCCATGCTCCTGCTACGCAAGGACAAACTCAATTGAGTCGGGACCTGGATGCAATCCAAATCAGTGTCGACAGCAGTGCACGGTTCGTTGCAGCAATACCATACAGTACGATACAGCGTAAGTCCTCCTGAGGTCTGAAACCATAGTGTGTTTAGCGCCGACGCCAAGTGGAGTCGCTTTTTTTTTTTAGCCTGAAACAATCGAGTCACGTGAAATGGCGTCAGAGTCTTCACAGCGGCAGAAATAACGGTGAAATCATAGTCATCATAGTATCATCAGGAATATCCCTACGGAGCTTGGACCGAGGGTGGAGTTTGTATGGAGTTATGGAGTTGATGCGAGTAAGAAATTGAACCTGTTGGAACTATGGAGTGCTAATCAATGCGACGCTGTTGCCGCCGTGTTTCAGTTGAGGGGTAGTGACCTAGACCTAGCGACTTAGTGACTTAGTGCACCCTAGTGAAGTACCCTATGTACAGGGTACCGAGTGAGCTCGATGGTATTCTATCAAACCATGACTGATTTACGCATGTGAAACGACCAACTCAGCTCGTGGCAAGAGCCAACAGCAGAGATCAGCGTACGCACTTGAGTGCGCATACCGAGCACGAGTCTGGAGTACGATGTAGAGTTATATATATGAGTACAAGTGCTCCGTAGCAGTCGAGCAATACATAGTAGAGGCTATAAGACGTCTGACTAGTATTTGAATCACCTCAGATCATGTTCATGATCATATCCATGTCATGTCATTTGAGACACTGATACATATATACCTCCCGCTTATAATATCCACAACCGTGGGACTACCACTGACAACCATGGATCTTCTGTTTATATATATCTCTCTACTCTGTCCTGAGTATACACACACGGAGACTCTCGACTCGATCTTTCCAACCCTTAATCTAGTCTGACAAGTCACAGTCTGTGCGAGGCCCATGCTTAACCCTCCCAGCCACGTCTTTTTCTATTTTTTTCCTGCGCGAAACCCCGGAAGATTTCCTGCTTGATTTTTACCCGTAGTAGTCCACTGTTGGTAATTCGCTTCGCTTATTCGCGTTGTGCTTTTCTGTCAATTCTGTCAAATCTGCACTGTCGGATGCCCGATGTCCAATTACGACCCAGACAGTATTAGAGACATCCACAAACACGAATGCAAACGGTGTCATATTGACAACAACTACTACTATTACTACTACTACTTCCATATCATAACAAACCAACTACACGCGCCGCGACACAGACACGGCCCTAGTCCAACCCAACAGCCCGTCTATGACCAGCCGGCCGTTTCGCATGGGCTCACCCTGCTGCGTGGGCTACAACGATAAAAAGCGACGGCTGTTTCTCATCTCTCCCCTGAATCTGTGAAATTGTCTTCATTTCATTAAAACACCCGAATATCTCGTCCACAGTTGTAGAAGATTAACTTCTATGGCGGCCGATCCCCGTGACTCCGGCCCTGCGATGGAGCCGCCCGCCTCGACCTCTTCGTTTTCTCCTGCTCTTCGTCATCTTCACTCCTCATCTTCGTCCACCTCTTCGTCGCCAAACCGTCTTGCTCAGGGCCAGTTCAATTTCGAATATCGTATTCCTTTGCGCAAACGAGCCTTGACTGCTAGCGCCCAACAACACTCCCCCGCCGCCGCCGCTCATCATCCTGCTTCCCGGCGCACCATCAGCACCTCTAGCACCGCTGCCCCGGTCCATGTCCCTACGCACCGGAGATCCGTTCCCAACTTCAGCCTCCCCCACGTCGCTGAGCTTTCTCGAAAGTCGTCTTTCCCGTCTCCATTGTCCACGCTCAATCAGAACAGTCTTCATTCCCCCCGACCGCGCGAGGCCGAATCCCCTGGCGACGACGCGTTGAATCCCAATGCGTCCAAGCGACGAAGACAATCCGCCGTCATTTTCCAAGATCCAGCGAATCACACTATGCCCGCACCTACGCAGACCTATGTGCCGTATCGTCCTTCTTTTGCAGCCGACAAAAGTCGCGCCCTCAATGGCGTCGATAGACAGGCGCAAGACCCCGACGAGACCGTCACCAGCAACACTTCGCGCGAAGACATCTTTCTCAATATCGCCAGATCAGATTCAGACCGTCGCAATTCTTTAGCTCGTTCAGAATTCAGGCGGGTAGGTTGCGAAATCTCATGGAAGGAAACTCTGAATCGCTAACGAGGATCGCAATTCATAGTCCCGACTTGGTCTTTCTAGTGGCTCCTTGCGATCTCCAACCTCCCGTGCACATAGCAATGACAACACCCCTTCTCCCGAACAATTACGATCGAGCAATTCGCATGCGCCCTTGCGTTCTCCTCTTCATGCCACCTACGGTTCCGTGTCGTACCCGCATTCTTCAGCATCCGCTCACCCCCTCGAAGACCATTCCCGCACGCGCTATGCCGCTGTTGGTTCCAGCTCTCGATCCTCCATCGGTTTGCCACGAAGCAGATTGAGTCGAACCAGTCCAGATGCCTCCCCGCGTACCTCCTCCGGTACAGATAGGCGAGCCTCATGGCAGGACCCTCCTCGTATTTACCCCAACCCCGCACTATCGACTATCCGCAGCAGTCGTCTACCCAGTTCGTCGGAGACCACCGATCGTGTCCGCGTTGAATACCCAGAAAAGAACCGCCAAGATGGAACGGAGTCTACTCTCTCTACCAATGCGCCATCCACAGTCTGGGATGAGCTGGAGGATCTCAAGTCGCGCATCCGCAAACTCGAGTTGACCGGCAAATTACCGCCATCATCGCAAGCCGCCATATCTTCTGTTTCGAATTCGGGAGGCGAACGACCTCGAACAGCAGCAACCACGGCAACAACCCTATCCTCGTCGCCTAACCATCGTCGCAAGGAAAGTGGCCCCTCAGCCGAACCTGATACCGCGCCGGCCAATCCAGTCCATCCTCTTTTGCAATCAGCGCTGGCCAAATCCAAAACTGTGCTTAGCAATGATGTATACAGAACCCTGGAAGCAACTGCGACAGATGCGACAGCCTTATCTACCATTCTGGGCCCCGGTTCCGTTCCGTCAAGCAACGTTTCCGTGATCAACGGGTATAATCCATCCGACAGACAATCTCGACGGAAGGCGGACAGTGTATGTCGGGGACTGACAGAACTCTGTCTCGCATTATCAGATGATTACATCAAGCAACAAGAACCAACGGCCCTGGAAGAAACCGTTCGGGTACCCCAACAGAATGGTCACGCCAACCCTGAGCCATCGACTCCTACACTTCCATTCCAGCGGAGAGAGACATTCGAACCAGAAGGTATCATCCGGCGACGGAGCAGTGCTCGTGTTGTTAGTCGATTGGAATCTCGTCGCACGAGTATGGTAAATGGAAACAGTCCTAACTACCACCAAGACGACCCACCTCCACTTCCTGAGAAGCCGGTTCCACAGCAACAACCTCCACAAACACCAGCAGCACCACCGGCACCACCGGCGCAGCCGCAGCCGCAGCCACAATCGCAACCAGAACCTCAGCAAACAACCACCTCTACCCCTAAAAGCCGGCTCACTCGACTATCGACATCATTCCGGACACGGAGAGCACAACCAGAAGAAGAGAACACAGAGAAGGAAAGTTCCCACAACCGCACTCTCTCCCGAGCCATGACCATCGCGACACCAGCAACACAACCAAGCCGCCTAGCAGCACGACAACGCCTCTCACAAAGCTTCACCCCATCCCAATCCATCCCCAACTCACCCCGCGAACCACAAACCCCCCAACAACCACCACCAACCCACCAACAACTCCCAACACCCACCGCGCAGCAACAAGAGCCACAATCGGTTCCCCGCACCCCCAGCCTCTCTCAATCCGCCATCCCCCTCCGCAGAAGCTTCATCTCCCACACCCCCGCGACATCCCGCTCAAACATCCAATCCGGATCCCGTCGCTACGGCCTCTCCAGCTTCTCCTCAACGACACCAATCGAAGCTGATATCCCCGAAACACCCCAACAACCAACACCGGCGCAAACACAAGCACCAACGCCCTCACAAACAAGGATCGTCGCACCCTCGTCCAAAATTGCGGCTAGTTACACGCCCATCCAGCAGAACCAGAGCCGCTCGAGGGCTAATAGTCTGGGGACGAGACGGTTTGGGATCCGCCCACGGCCGATGGTGAATGTTGATAGCGTGGTGAATGAGTATAATAATGGCTGAGCATTCTCACTCTCTTACGTCTTATGCCCCGCTTCTTGTTTTATTTTTCTCGGCCGTCCGTCGAGTGTTACACTACGCCTTCTTTGTTTATATCTAACGCAGCGACTTTTGGATATTTCAGCCGGCGTTTTCTTTTTCTTTACATACATTCTGGGTTGCTTGTCCGTCATCCATATACCTATCTGTTATTTTTCATTTAACGAACGACGAATGTCATGCCACCTGAATTAATTTGGTCAAGTCAAGAGGCAATGCAATGCAATGCATGAATGCATACTTCACTTTAAATACATGCACACGGAGCACGGAGTATTACATATGGAGTCCACGCGGAGTACTGTTATTGTACATATGTACTTGATAATCTAGACAGGTCGAAGGCTTTCCCTTTCCATTTAGAGCTCATCTTTCGCCGCTTTTTGTTCACTGCGTAGAGCAAGCCTTGAGCAGCCTGAGCTGATTACCGAGTAGAAGCTGAGCAGACGGGTGTGTAGTCTAAGTAAGGTAGCCTCAATAAAACACACCGTGCTAGAGTTTCACCTGTCTCAATTTTCCCTCGTATCGCTTTTTGACTATCATTTTCTTGACACTGTCAAGAAAGCAATGCTCCTTACCATGCCAACTTCTGCCCAGAGATAGTGGGGTGAACTAAGCTCCCATGAAGATTCAATTCACTCTAGAGATTACTCTATGTCTTGGGAGCGTGCTCCTAGCTCTCAAGAGCAGGATCAGCTGTCTTAGTATCCAGTCCAGGCCAGGAATCCTAGGAGTTTGAAAATTCCCAGGAGCAAGCAAGACCATGCGGAAAATACTAATAGCATAGAATCAATCGGCATGAATGTGACAGCTCTGCTCCTCAAGGTCGCCTCAGTGGCTGATATCTGCAAACACCACCATGCAAACAAAGAAAGCACTTAGCGCGATCACAGAACCCATGATTAAATCCCCTTTCCCCTGTAGATAGATTTCCTCCTCTCTACTCTCCCTAGGGTTGAGATTTCTCGTCGATGGTTGCAATAGTTTGAATAGGAACTCAGCCCGTTAGTATCTACTATACTGAGCCCATGAAAACCGGTCTGTTCGGTCCAAACAAGGAAAGGGACTACTTGCCTAAACATCAGGGGGGGGGGGGGGGGGTTTCCAGCCAACTGAACTAAATGGGCAGTTCTAAAATACAGACAGCCGATTCAAACCCTAAGAGGCGTTATTGCTAGATCCATGCAACGCCCATATTCTCATTAAATTAGATATTGAGTGCCCTGTGCAGGGAAGCATCTGAACTTTGGATAATTTATCACTGATCACAGCCTCCAACATCCGCAGGGTTGTCACCCAGCTGGCAATCTCTATAAAAATTATGCATGAACGATGATCATTTACACCACTGTTGAGCCGCGCCAGCTCAGCTGTCTCAGCTCATTCACTCCACTGATGCTGTGCAGGTCGGCAGTATTTGACTTCACACATTTGCATCCAAGATTAATCTCTAACATCAATCTCAAGCCTTGAAGATATATGTTGATTATAGGTACCCAGGTTGCCAACCATGAGACAGTATCTTAAGAAAATACGACGCAAAATCAAAGGCAGCGACAAGCAGCCTATGCCAGTGAACTCCCAACCTTCACCTGACTTAAAGAAATGCAAGGAAAGCTCATCTGCTGTTGTGAAGACATTAAAACCCACCTACCCGCCAGACAAATCACTTGAACATAATCAGCAAAACGAATATTTTGGATCAAAAGACTTGTGGCAGGTTGCCTACGAGAGTGGAAAACCGAGTAATGAAGACCGACAAAATCTGTCACCAACCCAAGCCACTACTGAGTCAATTTGTGTTGATGGCCATGACCATCATGTCAAAGCACTGCAATTGATAGGTGAGGTTGTCCGATTGACTGAGATGCAATATGAGGACTATTGCAAGGGGGGATGGAACATAAGTCAAGGGGCGGGCAAGGAAGATGTAAAGCTTCGGGATATCGAACAGAGAATACTTAATGCTACGCTATCTTTCAAAGATGTCCTCAGCAAAGTGAGTGTTTGATGCTACCGGCCATGCATCAAGTGCTTGGGGAATTGTATCACTTGGATTGACGGTATGTTCACGAGGTTGTTAAAGGATCAGGCAAGCAAGCTTATCAAACGAATAAATAAACAGATGACTCAAAACCATATCAAAATACGAAATTCTCTATTCAAATCTTCTGGATCTCTCACTGATGTCCTTGCTCGCTGTGCCCTCATTGAAAAGGAACAATATTATGAAGGTCAATTTGAAACCAAAAGCGAATTGAAAAAGGCTATTATTCAAGCCTATGTTGGTATACTGAAGTACACAGCACAAGTACATGCATTGCAGAAAGCTGGAGCAGGGTTGAAAATGCTAGAGTGTGTTTCTGAAGCAACTGAACACCCAATTATACAATTACAATCTTATATTGAAAACGACGAACGGAAACTGCACCACTGGATCGATAGGGATCAGCACCTCAAGCAAAGCAAGCAAGCAGAAAATATACTTGCTGGAATTGAGAAAATCTTTATTTCAATCCGAGACCTCCACCAAAAACTTGATCTCCATAACCTACAGAATGCTGAGGGAGCTTCATTTGACTCCTAAAACGACCATCATGAAGATGAATGCCTACCTGGTACTAGGAAAGAGCTTCTTGGCAGATTGAGGAGTGGGGATGCTCCCCACAAGGCCAATGCATCTTTTGGTTGAATGGAATGGATACCAAGTCCAGTGATTGAGAACGACATATCCTTGTTCCTGAAGCACAACCTCGAAAAAACCAAGGAGCAAAGATCACTATCTGAAAACTGGATAGGAGATGCTGATGTCCAGACACTTGTTAAAATGTCTGTTCCATTGTTCATCTTTGCGGCCACTGTGTGCCGTGTGTTTGAGGACTATGACCTGGACCCTGTGAAAAGCCTTGCTAAGATCTTGGCGTATCAAAGTGAAGAATCTAAGCTTGATGGAACATATCTTCCAGTCTTAAATAGAATCTCTGCCAATTACGGGGAGAAAAGAAAAAGAGAACTGGTTAAAGAATTTCGAGATGTGGTTGGTACAATCATTATTTTGAATATCCGCTTTCAATTATTTCTCTCTCAAAGCTCCTTGGTATCCCCAAAGGATTGATCAACACCCAATTGGATCGACTACACTCAGTCCTCCAAATACCAGATTATGAGGCTATTCCTGTCAGGCTTTTCCACTTGTCATTCCAAGAGTTCCTCCTTGATGTGAACACACGTGAAAAGACTTCATTTTGGGTAGTCGAGAAAGAGATGCATCAAAAGATTGTAGTTCAATGCCTGACAGTCATGCGCCGCTGCCTGAAAAAGAAAATGTGCAAACTAGAAATTGAAGGTATGCAGCGAGCAGAGATTGATAGAGATCCTATCAATAGGTTCATATCACCAGAACTGCAATACTTTTATCGATATTGGGTACAGCATCCAGCACAGGGTAAGGATCTAATATCTAGGATGGATTATTTTTTATTTATTTATTTTTTTTCAATTCTGCAAGAGCATCTTCTTCACTGGGCCGAAGTGATGAGCATTCTAGGTTATGCATCTGAGATTATGCAAGGAATTGAGAGGTTGCAGTCACTCATATAAGTAAGTTCCCAATAAGAATTCTCGGTGTTTAGAGTATAAATACTAACAGATACGGAATAATGCAAGCTCTGAATTATCAGGATTCCTCCATGATACGAGACGATTCATGATGAAATATCGACACATAGCTGACAGTGCTCCCCTTCAACTATACTGTTCAGGGCTGATATTTGCTCCATCGAAATAAATTGTCAGAGAGACCTTCGGTACAAAGATGCCTAAATGGATATGTAAACTACCAAAAGTTAAAGAATTTTGGAATGCAGAATTAAAGACACTTGAGGGCCATGATAGCGGGGTCAACTCAGTGGCATTCTCACAGGGTGGGCGATGGCTGGCATCTGGCTCCAATGTTCGCAACATCAAGCTCTGGAACCCGGCGATCGGTGCCCTGCAGCAGACCCTTGAGGCACAAGAAACTATGTTTGAACTGAGCTTCGCTGACGATGGACCCTATCTGGAAACAAACTTGGAAAATTCAATATACAATCATTGAATGACACGCACACTGCTGTTCACGCCCAGGTTAGAATTGAGGTGTCTATCCTTGACAAGGACTGGGTTGCTCTACAGGGTAAGAAGGTTTTATGGCTACCACCTGCCTATCGACCAAGTTATGTAGCAACTGGAGATGGTAAACTAAATATGGGACATACATCTGGGCGCATTTCATTTTTTCGGTTTTGTTACTGAGTATTAATCAAGCATTTCATTCTCAACTCTACTTATTAATATCTTTTCAAAAGGAAGGCCTGGGAAGGGAAGTATTTCTTCCAATGATGAAGAGACATTTCTATCACAAAGTATGAGCACTTGCTCGGTATATGATATGCTTGATTCCTTTGTTCCGTTTTAGGACAAGATCCCCTCACACATTAAATAGTTCAGTGCTGGCAGACCCAGCGTTCTTTCTTTTTTCTCCTCATATTGTTAGTATTTCGCCAAATAGCCTACCAATAGATTCATATTGCTTGAGATCGCCACACGAAATGCTGACATGAGGAAGAAAAGAAAGAACGCTGGGCCTGCCAGTGCTGGACTATTTAAATAACAAGTTTCGTAATAAAGAGTTCTGAAAATAGATATATACCATTTTACCGGGGGGGTCTGGTATTTCTAGACCTCGCCCTCACCCGTGGGTGATAGAACAAGACAAACAGTACTATATTAGGATGGACCTTAGTTTTATGCATACAAATCAGGTAAAGCGTGGAAATTTTGTGAGATTTTATGGAATTTTATGATAATGAGGGTCGATGAGGGTCACCCACACAAGGCTCGGCAAGGATAGAAGGTTGGATGAGGGTTGGGTGGAAGGTCTCGGCGAGGTCTAAGCAGTCTCTTGAGTGATGCTTCTTTACCCACAAAGATTTCTTGGGCATCACATTGGTTTCTGGCGGGACGAAATCATTTTAAATCTCATGGTTTGAAATGTTAAGCCTGTTAAATATCTTTAGTCTGTGCACTGAGGATTGATGTGGTGGTCTCAAATTGAATAGGTGTTAGGGCACAAAGCCGCATAGCGGACTTATACATCTCCTTGTCATACTTGTGTCTGTATATAATGCGCATGTAACGTGACCACAACATGAAGTCTTACCTCTGCCGAGGTCCAGGAACTGGGCATCAGTGATTGAGTGCCGTGAATACTACGCAAAACCTTCCATAACGCTCACTATACTATCTATAGACCTTTCTTTCAGTCTGACGGCTCGATATTTTGACGTCGTGTATAAAACTTGATATCGCCCATACGGCTCGACGCTATATATAAGACTAATAATGACGGACAACACCGACATGGGTAAAATCCTGTCGTGCAGTAGTCACAAAACCCCTTCATTCTTTAGATAGGTTTCCTTTTCTTTTCTTTCCCTAGATTCGACATTCTCGCTGATAGCTAGAAATAGTTTGGGTAGGGATATCATTTCGGCAGTATCTACTATTTCCGAGCCCGTGACAGGTGAATGTCAACTACTATGGTTGGGACGATGTCATAGGCACTGTTCAAATCGAATAGACGAAGAACTGATTGAGAAAACTATCTGTCCTAAAGTCCCTTTTATGAACAATCTGGCGGCCGTTAAGTAAATGCAAAAGGGAGGGTCCCTGCAAAAGAAGTCCAAAGAGACAAAAGGAGTACAAAGCGCATAAAACATGCATGTAGTGGTCATTGTCAAAAGGACGCATCATCTTTGCATGTCGCTTATTACTTCCACTCGGCCACCTTTTCTCTGATGTGCAACTTGGTAGTGCCAGCTTTGAGATCACCCCGGTAGGTAGGTCGCTTCTGGAAGACAGTCACGATATCAGAGCCGCCGAATTGGAAGTACGAAATGTTTTGTCCCTTCTCCAAGAATTGTCCCTCTTCCACAGTGAGGACGACCGAAGAGACCTGGGCCATTCCAATGGGCAAAACCGCAACCAAGCCATGGTCCACGGATTTCTTATTGCCCTGGCTATCATAGCTAGTGTCAATCACAACAAGGCCACGAGTTTGACACCATTGATAACCAGCATGGTCGGGTGCAGTAATACCAACGTCAGGTTTTGGACCGTTGGAACTAGGCTGCTCAGACTGATTTTTTTCGAGGTTATTGTTCGACCTGTAGAGCGAGAGAAGATTCTCTTGGCTCTCGGAATTGGTTTTCTTCTCAAGATTCCTAGTGTTGTCGGATCGTCGTTGTAGTTCCTGGGGACTGATAACAATATCCCGCTCGGGGTAGATGGTAGTTTTGCCATCCTTGGTTATGGATTGGGCGACTTGAAGGTAAACTTGTTCTTGAATGTTCTTCGCTAGGACCACTTTTCCCTCCACAGGGGCGTGCTGACGGTGGTAATCGGTCGGCCCAAGGAAAGCGTGCGTGAAGCTCCCGTTGTCATACGTTGTATCCCCATCGATGGTTCGGACCAAGTCTTTGATGGGCCATTCGATACCCTTGATTTTGATAGACACCTCGGCGGATTTGGAATCAGCCGGATCAATTTGAACAATCCCATTTTTAATGTCCCAGTGGCCGTTAAATACCGAATCAGCGCCCTGGACAATGACTTTGTCATCACCCTCTCCATCAAGTGGGCGGGAGTAGTCGATATTGGCCCATTCTCGTGCGAACCATTGATTGAATGACTTCCAACCTCCTTTGGGAGTTTTCCACTGCTCGTAGCGATCTCCCTTGTCGTACTTGGTGCCTTTGTCTGCATCGCCAGGGCCTTGGCCATATTTGTGACTGGTGTAGAAACTCCAAATATTTCCAACTGATTCAGGCGTGGACATGTACTCCCCCAATCGTCGCGCATACGCAACAAGCCAATAGGAAAGCCATCTCAAATCGGTATCGGTGAAGGCGGGCGCTATTGGAGTCTGAAGGTCGCTGAGATCCTGCTGGTTGAACGGCCAGTAGAATACAAGGATCTTTCTCAGGACTTCATCTCCCTTGGAGCTGACTGTAGGAGTCCACTCAATTAGGTTGTCGGCAAATTTGAGATAGCTATCCAGATCTGTGATGGACTCGTCCGCCATTTCCTTTTCGCCCTGAGCAATTGCGGTTGCAATGGCCAAGTTGAATAAAACTAATCTATCGGCCTTGATTGGAAGCTCTTCATTCTTCGTTTTTTCATTATTTATAATCGGGGTCCGCCGATTGATAAAATCAATCAGGTCTTGAATGATGGCATGCTTGGGCTTGTAGGTAATGGGTTTCTTGGAGTCGACGCCTTCGGATGCAGTCATGAGGGGCAAATTCATGGAAAGATTTCTTGGACAAAGAGAAGTATAAATGTTATGGGGAAAGAACTTGGATGATGGACTGTAATGTTCAAGTCTGGATTGCAGAACAAGCCCGGAAGAGAGTAGGCTTTTATAGAAAAATACTGACTATCAAAAGCGTCTCTAGGTCTGTGGTCACGTCACAATTATGGGATCATCTCTTCCAGACGACGGTCTCATCCTCCGAGCGTCTTGCGCAGGCTGCCCATGAATGGTGAGAATCAAGGTAGCATCATCATCTGTTGAGTGATTGGCGTCTAGATCATTGTCTCCATCGATGAAGTGGTCATATGAACTTGCACGAACAACTAGCATATCATGGCTGTAATAGCCGTTGGGCCATGATACAGATGCTGATGACGACCACAGAGTGAGCCATTTTCCTTTCCTGCATGGACGGTGATAGATGCAATGGGGTAAGTCCAACACTGTCATTGTGGCTGGCTGGTTGCGATGCTAATGCGGCGTGCATCTCGCGACGACACACCCCCATATGCAGCTGGGCGGGAGGCTGCAGTGCTTTCAGCCCGCCGATGCCACCTCACAATTCACAATCGACTAAGGCAAAGATAGACATTAGGGTCGTTTGCAGGGATTTTCTTGTACTTTTGTACATCTTCCACAGCATGAGGGGTAGGAAATAGTGAGGAACCGTTGGCGGGCGTGTATGTATTGATGTGCATTTTGTGTAACAGTTCGAACAGCTGTAGTGTGGAGCATCTTGACCCTCGAGAATTATCGACAGCCTGTTCCATGGTACTAACAGTAAACAATAACCGGCTGGTTCTAGACAATGAAATGAACGCGAAGATCAGGAAAGAGAGGCGAAGGTTGACCAACGATGATCCAAAGGATGAGGTTTCCTCGCTTTCCAATTTCTCTTTTTGGCCAATGTCACTCACCTGAATTCACACTCACTGCTTCAGCTTCAGCATGCCCAATTACTCTAGTACGGTAGAACAACGAATGGGATTGAGAAGAGAATGAGGAGAAACATAGGAACTGTCAATATGCAGCCGTATTGGAACAGATATTCCCAAGTTTCTCGTCAATTCTCCCATGGAGCTGAAGGCTTGCATATCTCCGCCTCACCACTGTATGCAAAGCTGTCTTGGTAATTGCAGCTTCAGTGTCCAGACCAGCGACATCCTCGGCGTAGCGATTGATCTGCATGCTCTCCGCTGATAGATGAATGAATCTGTGAAGAACTGACGTGACGCTGACTTTGTTGATCGTCCGGTGTCTGAGGGACCCTGCTAGCAGACCTTCGAGTAGAATGACAATTCGAAAGGTAGGACTTGCAGTTGGAGAAGCTGAACTGTTGATCCAATGCACCGCGATAATTTTGATGGAGAATGTTCACCATGGTGACTTGCGCTGAATGAACTGAATCTCATTGACTCTCCGATTTCCGATGCCGGTTGTCGAATTGGACAATATTTGCAGTGCGAAACGAAGGGTATGCTGACATGTCCATGTCGATCTGAGAGAGAGTTTTACGGCTTTCTATGATGGTATTCGAGAAGCTCAATTGAGGATGAAGAATGGAACGCTCAACGGAGATTGTCTTCGTTGTCACCATCTCTACATTGTATCTCTACAAGACAAATTGCAGTGCCTTGAAATAACAATGGTTTCTACGCGAGAGCGAGATCCTTGAATCAAATATAGTCCTAACAGAGAAGTCATAGAAAGTCATGGTATCATGTATCCAAAAATCAATGGGTTTCCATTCGTCATCTCCTATCACCATCTGGCGCAAACCACCCATGGAAGGTGTTCAGGCTACAAGCCCAAGACCCAGACAGAAGACACTGTTCAAGTTTTATCAGCGAAGTAGTGCCGGTAGGCACCAAACAACTTGGTTCCCTCGATGTAGTTTCTTCTGTCGATTTTCTCGTTGGGCCCATGAGGTCCGTCATCCGATGCACCCACGGAGAGCAACAGAAGTCTCTTTTCCCCTAGAATTGTTTGGAGATACAACGCAACACCGTTACTATGACGCCAGTAAATTGTAGTCTCAATTGATCTTTCAGTAGAGAACTCACCTTCCACCCTCACGAGTGTAGTCTGGGTTAGTTTTGTAAACCGCCTTGGTGGCTTTGGCAGCAGCTTCGAAATTGGGGTCCTCGGTTTCCGTCCACCAGTATGAAGTGGTTTCAGGTGATAGTTCTATGCTTATTTCACATTTGCTTCCCAGTTTTTTGAATTCCTCTTGGCGATAGTCTGTCACCTTCTTGTTGACAGTGTCACTATCCATTCTTGGCACGGTTCTAATGGAGAACGCGCCTGTCACCTTGTTCAGGATTGTTGTGCCTGAGTCGTCGCTTGGATCCGCGCCATTGATCCCGTGGATCGAGAGCGACGGATATCTCCATCGGTGCATAATGATATCAGTTGGGTTCTCGTAGAGTGGCACTCTTGTATCGCCAATTGCGTTGGTGAAATCTTTCAACGCGAAACGAATTTTCTTGTACAGTTCCTGCTCTTTCTCGGTGAGCTCTTCTACCTGGTCATTGATTCCGGGTATCAGGATTTTGCCCTTGTTATCAACCAATTTCGGAAAAAGACTGAAAAGGTCCGTCATGGTCTCGACAATAGCACCCCCGTAGATGCCGCTATGGAGCTGCTTGGGGGAACCCGTGATGGTGACTCTGAAGTAGTTGATACCTCGAAGTCCATAGGTCAGACATGGATGTTTGGTGGTAATCCAGAAATTGTCGGCAATAACACCTTCAGCCACACTTTTGAAGATATCATTTCCATGTTCGTCAAGAAATTTAGTGAATCCCCTCAGACGAGCTTTCTTCCATGCCTTCAAAGCAAAAGATGAGATTGACAGGAATTTCAACTCCGGCCTTCTTGTGGGCCTCAATAACATTGAGCCATCCCAAAATCGGTCCCTTATCATCAGTAGAGCCCAGTCCATATAGCTGCTCCCCACTAAGGCCTTGGCCTTTGGTCAGCTTAAAGGCCGGGTGTTCGAGCGACCAACCGGTCAACTCTGGCTGGACATCATAGTGGCCGTAGATGAGAAGGGTTTTCTTGTCATTACGAATGCTCTTCCTTGGAGGGGTACCACGCAACAAGAATTGGGGGCAGATCGAGGTCTGGGTCTGTTGGTTTATTTTTCTGTTGCTTTCCCATGCGGAATGGTTCTACATTCGCACCGAATTTGCCCAGATCTTCTTCCAGGAACTTTTCCGTCTAGAAAGCATGTCAGCTTTTCATGCACTGCATATTTGTTTCAGGCACTTAAATACATACAGCTACTACATTTGGACGGTTTTCAGCTTCACTCGGAACTGACTGGTGGGAGATAGCCGTGCCCAGTCCTAGAGTCGAAATGAGATATGGATTCAATTTCCACGCAAATAGAACCACCTACTCTTTTTAATGAACCCGTCATCTGCTAGCTTATCGGCTCTGACACGTACATGTTAGTGAACAAGAAACATTTCATTTAAAATTGGCTTGGGCCACAAACTCATCATAAAACTTCTTCAAGTCTGCACACATGCTATTCTCTTGCTCCTTGCCGCGGAGACCCCCTCTCTATTTTTTTTTTCGTATGGCGCATTCAACCCCAAGAGCTGAGTACACGTAAGAGTCATAAATATTGTGGGTCTAATTGAATCAATACCTTCCCGCCCGTACATAGGAGATGGAAGCAAGGCCTGAGTTGGCTTTGCATGCTTAAAACTTAGGATAGAGAAAATGAGGAGGGCAAAGTATCAATACAGATGTGCTCGGTCTTTGTCTTTTGGAAATGCCAGACAGTAGAAACTGGATTGGCTGTCATTGTAGACGCGATCCACATGCTGGCTCAGCTGAGGTTGAGTTGTCATCACTGTGGATACAATCTGCGCGCCATGCATGTACTTTTTCATGAAGATTTCATTTTGTTTATCGCAAGCCCTGATTTCAGTCATTTTGTTGACTTCAATAACTAGTTATAACTATGCTGAATGATTTATAATGCTCGGACTGATCAATCAGGGCCTGACTATCCTGCCTATCCACGACGTACGACTTACCCGAGCATATGCATGAACGGATACGACTATCATGATAGGACCGGGGACTACGGCTATGCAGCCAGCATCCTTTGACTATGACCACCGCATACATGCATTATGCGCTTTATACTCGTCTGAGATGTGAGGCGCTGCATCATGGGGAGATGGTGTATTGTGCTTAGAATACCTTGGATATATATTTCATTCTGGTAAAGATATTTCTAGTGGTTGGGATTGAAAACTTTATGGTGTACATGGTGAGCCTTTGCACTGATATGCATACAAGCTTCGGCTGGTGGCCGTGCAGGGAGGTGATGTTTGGGAAGTGGCAAAGTGTTTGGAAGGGAAGCATAATAAGGCTTAGGGTGAGGGGATTTTTGGGTTCTTGGGGTGCATGTATTGGGTGATCTGTATGGTGAGAATGGCTTTCTGTAAGGGCAGGCCCACAGCTTGAAGTTGGTCAGGTGAAAGGTAGGGGGCATATTTTAGGAAATGGGAATATTTTGGATATATTATGGCAGATAGGTGATTGGAAAGAGTGCAGAGGAGAGGCATGGAAGCTAAAGGGGAGAGTGCAGGTTGTGGGAGAATTAAGTTGAGATTTTGCAACCTCCACAGGCTTAATTGTCCTTATACACGCTCTTAGTCTATCAAGTCTACCATTCCACCTTTCTCGTCAGCAGAAGCAATGAGGTAAATTTCCCTCATCCTCTCATTCAAGACTGCTAACATGTCTACCTTTATCTACTAGTGAGTCCTGGAGGTCGAGATCCAGTGCCCTGCACCAATTGCATCTGGGTGTTGCAGCTCCAAGCCTCGTATGTCGAACATGCTGAGATGAAAAGGGTAAAGCAACTTCACAATTGGCTAGCAAGCAGGGCGAGGGTACGTAAATGGATTGATCCTCGTGGGGTCGAAAGACGGCTATGGAAGGGAGAGGCGCAACCCGGTTCATAGTCAGACCTGGAAGGTGCCTGCCACAATCTGCACAATGCTCGTGCCCATTACAAAGTCTCAGCGACTGAGCTTGCGGATTCATATTCACCAATGACAGAAAGAATTGAAGAACATACAACAACAGCTGTTGAGGGCATTACAGCATCAAGTTCAGGACAACTTTGATGAAGAATAAGTGTTTGGTGTGACGGCCTGGTCACGTTGGCTGTTAGTGCTTGAAACGGATAAACCAATAAGGCGGTTAACTCCGAGTCGGGGAAGTCGGGGAGTCGATTATCCGGACTGCACGAGGCTATATATGAAGAAGAAACTTAGATTATACGGAGGGTGACAATGATATCTATAGACACTGTAGATGGTAGAATGAGTGCTTGGCTATCTAAACGAGTGTGTGTGTCCGTATATGAGGGATCTGCCGGCCTCGGTAATCGGACAAACTATTGATCCACCTCGACTTTCATCAGTGCTGAAACAGATAAACCGATGAGGCGGTTTAACTCCGAGTCGGGGAAGTTGGGGAGTCGGTTATCCGGACTGCACGAGGCTATATAGGAAGAGTAAATTTAGATTACACGGAGGGTGACATTGATATCTATAGATACCATAGATGGTAGAATGAGTGCTTGGCTATCTAAACGAGTGTGTGTGTCCGTATACGAGGGATCTGTCGGCCGAGGTAATCGGACCGACTATTGATCCATCTCGATATCAGGTACCCAGCGGGTCACGTGCCTAACCGCCCTCGCTTTCTACCCGGTAGTTATAGTTAGCCTTAGCCGATATGCCCCCAACCAATCAACCATCCAGATCACACCAAAATTTGGGGCCGCTCACATGCCGCCTCAACATATACGCTACGTCTATAAAAGCCCGACATCTCTCCCTCAAAGGACCACACATTCTCTCTTCCCTTCGCCTGTCTGTCTCGTCCGGTGCGCTGCCCTCTTACCAAGATGCTGCGTTACCCGACGATTTGCACTTTTTCAGTATGGCGCTTCCACTCCCCTCAGGGTGGCCGACGGGTCATTTAGATGATTGAGACATTGAGACCTTGTTACTGTTGCTTTATTGAAAACTGACCTATCCACTTCGTCCCCGACGCTGCTGCTTACTAGTGCAATTATGGGCCCCTTCAAGCGTCGTCTGCCAGCTGATCAGCGACTTTTGAGTTTCTGGTTATTGCTTCTAGCCATGCTATCCTATTTGGGCTTTCTCTCAGATATATATCTACTGTAAGTATGCTTTCGTGTAAACTACTGTTAGCTCGGAATGATGTTGGCGTCACTATTCGGAGTGAATAGAGGAAGAATTCTGATTGAGAAAACTATCTGTCATGAGGCTAATTTATAAACAATCTGTCGGCCATCAACTACTCAAGAAAATTTTTGCGAAAGAAGGTCAAAGAGTCAAAATGAGTGCGGAGTGCATAACATATGTATGTGCAGGCCATAGTCGAAAGACGCTGGCTGCATAGCCGTAGTCCTCCGATGCTCATTTTTCATCACGCCTATACATTTACATTTTCGGGCAGCAGTAAGTCGTACGTTTCGGGTAGATGGGGAATGAAGCTCTGATTGGTCAATTGGAGCGGCCGACATATCAAACGGCTTCATCCATATACTGAAGTCAACATTTCACCACACATATACACATACTTAAGTCGTTAAACTATTGGATATTATAAAATACAGCCTTTTGTGGATCCCACTTGAGGTCCATGCAACCCTTTGGGGCCGACTCGCCGGGCTGTTTGTCATGATTGGACTTTTCCTTCCCAAGTGGAACCACAGGAGGGATATGATATTTGACGGGCGTTGAATGCATTAGAACCTAGAGCCTGTCTCAAAATGTGCAGTTTAGTTCGGCTCTGCCCATGTCGATCACGTATTGGACGATCCCACCGATGAAATTATATCGCCTCGTATTCTGCCGAGCGTGGACTCTGTGGACCGAGTGCTGCTCCCAATTTCCATCCCCAAATCTTGCAGAGAACCGGGCGCTTAGATAACAACTAATAAACCGAATCGTCACTTCTCTCCTCTTTCTTTCAATTCATCACGCCATACACGTCAGTTCTGCAACCTAATGCATTCACAAACCCCCTCAAGATCTCGTTATGCTCGATCGCGAATCGTGACAGTCGCCCTCCTAGCACTCCTCTTCTCGGCAGCACCGTGCCATGCAACCTGTTACTACCCGGACGGCTCAGCCGCAACTAGCATGGAAACATGTCCTGGCAGCAAGTCGTGCTGTGGTAAAAACCAGGCGTGTCTTTCGAACGGGCTATGTTTTGGAGCTGACCTAGGCGTCATTTATCGCGGCAGCTGCTCAGATAAATCGTGGCCTATCGCAGACTGCCCGCGTGCATGCTACACCGGTTCGCTTTCTCTCAAATTGCTTGCATCCATTGTAAACCCGCATTGTTCTCGCTGACTGAATTTTGGCCGGACACAGAAATCCCAAAGTCATATGCTAATCTCTTTCAATGTCCCGGCAATGGCGATTGGAAGAATATGACATGTAGTAGCAGAGGCGATGCAGAAACCGCGTGCGGAGTCGATGCTGTAGGTTCGTGGGAATGGGTTTCCGGTGGCACCGTAACGTCAGGCCAGAACGGTGTCTCGACATGCAGCGATGTAGCCACACGGACGACGAACCTGACAAATTCAACAAACTCGACGCAGACAAGTTGCCCGGCTTGCACAGAACCCGCGAGCCAGTCGTCTAGCCACTCAGCAGTTGCACTTGGCGCTGGTCTAGGCGCTGGGCTAGGTGTACCTCTATTGATATCAACGGCGCTCTTGATTTATTGCATGGGCGCGCGGCGACGATTACTGTCCAGTCCACAGCGGCAGATGAGCATGAACCAGCCAATCACCGGACAGTCAAGAGATCCGCCTTCTGAGTTGAATGGGGGTACATACGTGGCTGAATTGGGCTCTAAAGACATTCGCTCTGAGCTGCAAGGATAGTGAGGCTTTTCAACTTAAATCATAACTTGGCGCCATACACAAAAAGTGCAGCAGAACGATATATATGTGTGTATAATTATTCAGTTGGTATCCCGAACTTAAAGTGCGTAACACGGTCGTTGTCGTGTACAATAGGAGGTAGATGAAGACGAACGCTACAATTGAGTAACCGCAAAGCTCACCTCACTTCACCCAGTTTTATCGGCTCCCTGATAATACAATAGGCCAAGTCCGCTATTCGGTCATTTTGAGAGTTGGTTGTGCACCTTGAGCTAGGCGCCGTTGTTAAGAACCTTAACATCATGACCACCAACTATGGTCAAACTCGACTGCTGAAAATAGCCAATATCTGGGATCACAAGCTTCCCCATGGTGTTCCGATTTTCAGCCGCGCAAGTGTGATCGAATTAACGGGCGAATAACCTGCATCGGTAATTAATGACTGCTAGACTCGCTTTTCCTCTTGCTGGAAAAAAAAAAAAAAAAAAAAAAAAAAAAAAAAAAAAAAAAAAAAAAAACAGTAGCTCCCACGCTCCCAAACCCACCCTGCGATTGATTCGCTTTGGAACTAAATTGCTAATTCCTAGTCTAAATTTATATATTTGCATCTTCGTCACGGGATTAACCCGTTTAAAACCCCTCAAAATTCTTCCTGAATCGCTCTGCTCGCTAGACACCATAACCTCAACTGCTTCCAAAATTGTTTCCGCAGAACTGTGCAGCCCAATTACATAGAACGATATCAAGCGTATTGATATTACCGTTTTAAATGCTGGGAAAATGCAACCGCTGAGGAGTTTTGGCCGAGAGCGACTTCCGACTTGATGACTCACTTTGGCGTGCATACGAGGGCCTTACTCCAACCCCAGCTGCTGAATGGTCATTCAATTTGTGCAATCCAATCGTAGATCTACTCCTAGTCGGTATATAGTAGCTTGAACTAGTGAGTCATAGACGAGGTGAGAATTGCGGTACCCAAAGCAACCGAGTACACTTTTGAACGGCGGCAGCAACCCAATACACGGCTTTCGACTCGTGACTTTCGATTTAGGGATCGATAATAGAAAATATGAAATGAAAAGCGACGCAATAAGCTACTGAATTATGCTTCATCAAAGGCATAAGAATGCCTTGCCGACTCTATTTGTCATATTTGTCATATAGGTCACGCAGGTGCTAAGGCCAGCCAGGGCCTAAACCGTCAGCATATACAGACTTTGGTTCAAAGTTGGCACCGAGCAATATACCTTCCATCCTGTAACTCCCTGTCTCTCCTGTTTGTGAAATCTCTTCGCAAAGAGTCGAGGTACGCGCGCACGTTTATGATGAAATCTTTTCAGACATCGTCACGTCCGCTCTAGTAGAGACTGGGGTTTACCTAGCGAAGCTGTGTTTAGAACCAGACTGTCGACGAAAATGCCATCAACTTCAAACCCAATCAGAGTGAAGCGGTGGAGTCCAAGTCCGCAACGTCAGAGACGTCCATCAGCCACAGTCGGCGAATCTTTCTGCTCGGCCACTTTGGCCAGCCGAGCTGCTGCAGTCTGGATTGAATCAGCACGTGAAAACACAACGATGATGCGCTTTGCTCTAGCAGCCACAAAGGCATAGGCAATAGAGTAGCCGATGCCGCTGTTTCAGCCAGTGATGAGGATCGTGCGGCCCCCCTGGCTGAGCTCTGGGCAAGTAGGCGAGATGTCCGGATAGGGCTTCTTGTGCAACGTCTGAAGTCCGGAAACAGTCATCATGTCGAAGTCAGATACATTCGTGGAGACTGAATTTTGGGTAGCTGGCGCTAAGTCAATTACTACGGCTCAACAAGGTCCCTGTTTGTACGTATCCGTGGCTCTTATAATGATACCACGGGCTTATTGCCGATGCGGTATTGCTGCATTGTCGGCCGTTATTTGCGGAGCGGCCAACGGTCTTGGACTGGGAGCTTTGCGCAACCACAGTTAGATGCCACGACATGATTCGTAATTGGTCAGATAAGCTTAATAAGGCGAATGGGGATGGTCCGATGGTCCCAGCGGGATTTCTTCCGCAGCCTGCAGGCTTGACAGCCATTCTTGTGGTGGCTCTCGCCGCCATTTCGTGACTCAACATTCCGCAAGACAACACATCCACCCATAGATCCGATTTTAGGATGGCATGCTTGGAAGCAACTCAAAAGTCGCTGATCAGCTGGCGGACGACGCGTGAAGGAGCCCATAGCTGCAATAGTAACCAGCAGCAGAGCATCAAGGATGGCATGGTTAGCTCAATTTCCAACGAAGCGATAGTAACAAGGTCTCAATGTCTCAATCTTTCAGATGACCCGTCGGCCACTCCGTAGCTGAAGGGGGCGAAGGGAGGGGAGTAGATAGCGCCATACTGGAGAAGGGCAACGGTATTCACATCGACGGCAGGCGGTAGGGCTCGTTTCTGGTGCCCCGCTAACCGTCACAACAGATACTCGGGAATAGATATTGTTGACATGTAAGGTGGTTTATATATATATTCTCCCTGAAATGCTATAAATGACGAATGTATGATGCGTACTACTTAGATGTGAGATATCTCGGATGCAGGAACGCGATCTTACATGGACCATACCTCCGTCGTGGATATATCTAGTAGATCCCTGTTGACGTAAAGCAATACGAATCTATTTATGACGGAGATAACTATTTCTCATGCAGATTCGAGGTTAACGTGAGAAAGGTAAATAGTAGAAGCAACCAGCCAGGATGGTAGATTCATTCATTAAACCTCGAAATATGTAAAGAAACGGGTAAGAGGATCCAGAGACAAAATAACATCATTTTGTTTCTTTTTTTGAATTGTTTAGGGTTGTTTTAAAGAGACGTGGTAGCAAGGTTATAAGTAAGCAGGTAAAAGGAAAAGGGAGGAATGAAGCATTTAGGTCCGACAATCAAAGGTGAGACAGAGGGGTTAAAAGGAAGACATGATGTAGGTGACCCCTGCAAATCGGGTTCATTAAACGAAGAAAGGTAATGACCATCAGGTTTTGGTATCTAACAAGCATGTACGGTCCATCGCAATAGACCCTTGCTTCCCATATCAAGAAGCCACATAACAAAGACAAACATGAAAAGAGGATAGGAAAAGACGTTAGATAGAAAAGTAATTATGACCATAAACCCCAGGATTAAATGGGATTCGCATGACCGGACACTGATCATGGAAACATAAAACGGACGAGATCAACCGTCACTAGAAAAGGTAGCGGCGGAAATTGAACGAATTTACTCTTGGTCCTGAGGCAGTTGGCTACGGCGAGTCTTCTCAGCCTCGAGGTTCTCGTAGAGGAGATACAGAGCTTTCTCGTTGGCCTGGGCGCTTCCCATGATGGTGAACATGCGCTCGCCGGTCTCGTCGTGAGGGGCCTTCGCAATCGAGATGCGAGCTCCAGAGCTTCTGCGGATCTCCGTAATCTTAGTGCCGCCACGGCCAATGATGCAGCCCACCATGTCAGCCGGGATGCTGATGTTCTGGGTCTGAATCTCTTCGCCGTCCTCGGTGACGAGAGGGTATCCACGGCTGACGTCGGAGTTGGATCGTCGACCGTAGCCACCGGAGTTATCACTGAAATCCGCTCCGTTGCCTGTCCGGTTGTAGGGGCGGCTGCTGTATCCGTTGTTGTTGTTGGTGGGAGCAGGAGCCGGGGCCAAGGGGCCGGGACCGACGGATGAGCGAACCGCAGGGTTGTAGAGCACAGTGCCGGTACCGCGCTGCCAGTCATCGATGAGGCACTTTCCGATCTCCCAGATTGCTTTCTCGATACCATCCGGGGTTCCTTGGACTTCGACGACGCGTTCAGTCGATTGAGGGAGCATTTCCTTCTGAGCAACCATGCGCACACCGGAAGCATCCTGGATGTGCTTGATCTTCAAGCCCTGGCGTCCGATGATGGTGCCCATCTGGTTGTGGGAAATGAGGAGACGGACCGCTGGGGAGTCATTAGCAAACTTTCATTAGAATGAGGGAGAACATTACTTACGGTGAGTTCCGTTGTTAGAAACGATGCCACCCATACCCATCTGCGGAGCACCCTCCACCAAGCTCTTGGCAACAATCGCATAAGCTCTGGCGGTGCCCTGCAAGGGACCGGTGACGGTCAAGACACGGTCATGCACACCGGGGACCACCTTGCTGACGCCAGCTTTGACACCGGTTTCGTCGCGTAGGTCAGCCACATTTTTACCGGCCTTGCCGATGATGATACCCGCTTCCTTAGAAGAGACAATGGCACGAAGAGTCAACATGGCCTGAGCGTACTCTTCTTCGGTCTTGGGGGTGATCTCGATGTCACTCGAGTCGACCATGTTGTTGATATCGGTCATGGGCTCGTCGACGACGGGGGTAGTGTCGTGAATGTCGGAGGCGTCCATGGCGTCGAGTTGGAATTAAGGAATATCCTTTTTTATTTTTCTGTGAAGAAAGTTGGAACTTTTCGAGAAAGGTAGGTAGCCCTTTGTTTGTAAAAGCGGCGTCAAGGTGACAAACAAACTGTATGAAAGCGCAAAATTAGTTCCATGGCTCTTCGCTGCGTGTCGCACGAGACTCGAACGAGGGGGAGGAGGGGCAAACGACAAGACATGACAAAAAAATGAAAAAAGGGTGGTGGAAGGGAGGAGAAAGCAAAGAAGATCACCAAGACTTGAACCAAAGGCAAATCCACACTAGAAATCGGAAGAGTGTTATTCACTTACCTATGAACGGAGAGGAGGGGAAGATTGGGAGAAATAGCGGGATGGTGATTCGACGGATGCGAAGAGTTCGTAGGAGAACAAATGGGGATGACGCGATAGTCAGGAATAGAGGAAGAGGGGAGTAAAGAGTAAACGGTGGAAGGGACCGAGGAGGAACGGCGAAAGAGGTGCTGGTGACGGTGGACGGTGGATGGGACGAAGAAGAGGAAAGGAAGGATAAGAGAGAAAAGAGACGGAAAAAGGACGGAAGAAAGGGAGGAAAAGGAAGAGGGAAGGGAGATGAGGAAGAGAAAAGGATGAAGAAGAAAGAGAGGAAAAGAGAAAAAAGGATGGAGGATGGAGGATGGAGGAGAGGTGGAAAAAGAAGAGTGGGAAGAGAGAAGAAGAAAACAGAAGAGGAAGAGGAAGAGGAAGAGGAGAATTCAGAGATCACGGGTGGGCCCCGTTCATGGCTTTACTACACAACACCTTATCACTTCTATATAATTTTTTTTTCTTATTTAACTCTCAATGCCCCAGTATTTTAATTGATCCAATTTCTCTAGATTTTATTCTATCTATTTAGTTTTTGTTTTTGTTTTCTATTCCTGCCGCGAGCCGGAGCATTGAAGCTATTCCACTGTCTAGGACCATCCAAGACTCGGCAAGCAAGACATTGCGAAGGAAATGAATTATGTATATATATTTACTTATCTCATGCTTCTATACCACAGGGATTAAGAAATCCGAACTGGGGGACCATAAGACGTCTCGCAAGTGCTGAAGAAGCGGGCAAGGTGAAATGATATCAGGAAGACTACATGTTGTACAGTTCGCTTACGTGAATCATGTCAACAATTGCTTCCAAGTCATGCTCCTGTAACGGATAGCTACAGACTGATAGTCTCCCTGAGCTAGCTCCTCATTAGCCTCGAGAATCCGTTCGTGCAACTCGTGGCATCGGAGTCTCAAAGCGGGAGTCCAGTGGAAATGTGTTATATCCATGTTTCGCAAGGTGGAATGGAATAGACAAGAAGACGGGACGATATAAACTGGAGTATAGCAGATTCCATAATTAACCAAGAAATACAGCAGTAAGGATATGCTTCGTTGAAACCGCAGACAAAAAGATATGCATACAACCAAAATCACTCCGACTGCGCCCAGTTCTGTCAGTCTGTAAATAACAAGACATTCCCAGAAGAATAACAAAACAATGCCCCATTAGAACGCCTTTCCCGCAAACACCGTTTCAAAAAAAAAGAGAGAATAGAATGCTCACTGAACCAGTCTGACGCAAGACCCCCTCGAGAGTAAATATGAGCCTGACGAGGAGTAAGACAACAGAACCTCCTCAACACACCACGCAGAGAAGCTCCTCTTCCAGAATAAACTTCCCCTCCTTATATTTCTGCCCAGACTCGTATGCCTTGTCGTACTTCCATCCTACTGTCTCCTTGCATTGTCGGCACGCGATATCGCGAACCACATGTCTTCCGGTTGTCATGCTCCGCTCCACGGCTTCGGATTGTGTGATGTTGACGACAGTATTAAACAGAAATGCCTTGCCATGTTGACCTCGGAAATCCTGTCATAGACATGCCAGGTCAGAGAAAGCACCACCAGCTGAAGAGAGAGGGAGAACTCACCCGGCTCACGATGTCGTTGTAGTCGGCAAGATGGGTTTTGCAATGCTTGCAACCGAAGATCTTGTTGGAGTTGAGGTATACGTTGTATGCGAGGCCCATGATGGCCAGTTAGTTATGGCCTCTACCGATGTGAGAGGGCGATCGGAAGAACAACGGTGATCCGGAGCTTAATAACTCCACAACAGTAGAGCAGGCAAATAGAATCCTAGATGGACTGGAATCCTTCAAAACTACTCTTCTGTTCCTGCAGAAGACGCCTGTTTGTGATCCTGGTGTAACGACTCCTGAAGGTCCGTTTGTCTGAGAGCCTGGTCTGACCCCGTGAGACAGACGAAACGCTCGGTTTATAGTCCCCGTGAAGCTGACTAAAGCACAATAATTGATCCCACTTCCCCGTCGGAATAGTATTTCTAATCCCGGAATGCACGAAGTCGATGCGAAAATAGAAGAATCGTAGCTGAGCTGTGGGTGGTACAGTATACTTGCGGCGGTCCGATCCAGCGGGGCAAGCGAGCGGAGTGTACGGGGTAAGAAAGAACTCGCGGTAACGGAGGATATTAATGGTCTCGATAATGCATTTAAAAGGATTAAGGAGGTATATCCGGTAGACTGGTCAGATAGTAGGGAGACTGAGTGAAGACAATAAGTGGTTGAAGGTGGACGTTGGAGAAGAGAAAGTGAGGAGTCTAGGAGGGGAAATAGGATGGACGCTTTGTTACGCACAGGAGAACACACCGCCGCTGGACTTTGGCGCCACACTTGGGGCTTGACGAAGGTTTGAACAGGAATCAGAATGATGTTTTATTCAAGACGATCATTGATAACGAGATATGGCATTGAGTGAACGCTAGTCCGACAAGAGCCGTATCAGCACGGTTGTCTTATCGTTATCGTCACCAGAGGCGGTCATAGAAGAAATAGGGGAATGACGGAACCACCTTGGGGGCAACATATTACAAAAGGATTCACTTATTTCTAGTGAAACTATTTACTATAGCGTCTCTAATACCTCTAAATGTACAATATTATCACTGGACGGTGTGTTGACCGTGAAGAACAGCTGACGATGATGCCATACTCCCGGCTTATCGCTTTGTTCCGATAACAGTCCGGAAGTACCAGCATCTCTGGATCTTGAGGGATGACTGCGCAGGAAAATGAGTACATTGATCTCGTGATGCAGCATTCACGAGGGCGACAAAGCAAGATCCGATTGGTTTTGATGTCCCCGATTGTGCAACCATGAAACGGATATGTGAATATCGTGTCCACCCCAACATGGCTTATCGCTGGCTAAGTAGCCTCATATTGCCCTGCCAAAATTCATTGCAATCAGTATGCCCCCAATGTTCCGTCCACCACTCCCCAAAGCTATCCTCAACGCCATCGTCCACTTTCGGTAATCGTTCATCCCGTTTCAACCCGCAGAGCGCGCAAGCGTGAGACGCTTTGAGAGCTCCTTGCCCAGCGCTTGCAGTAATAACCCGCACATTCTCCGGAATGACAGGAACCGGACGTTTCCCTGAGGTCTGAACCACAGAGTTGAACAGCGCAGCACGGTCACGCCAGATTGTGATCACGTCAACGGCTTCTTGCTGCTCTTTAATGTCCTCGTTCTTGTTGACTGAACTGAGCTTCATGCCGCCGGCTTTCCCGGAGCGCGCTGGGCCGATTCTCATGCTTTGGCTCAGGATGGCGTCTCGTTTCCATCGATGAGTGCGGCCGGCGATTACTCGTGCGGCTGTCTTCAGGGTGCAGGTGATCGCTGATGCTGCTGCTTCGAGAGCTTCTTTCTGTTGCGCGTTCTTTCTGGCTTGCGTTGCTTCATGTCGTAGTTGATCTAGTACCTGGGGAAATAACCCCAGTAGGACAGATGGTGGAGGGATGTTTGTCGGTCGTACTTGACTTGCAGGAACGCTTTCTTGACCGACCTTGCTGAAAGTTTGTGAAGCGGGTTGCGCTGGGGGTTGCTTTTTCAGTGTCCGTCCAGCTGTAATTTCTGGTTTGCGAGGCTGGCTTGCGAGGCTGGCTGAAATGGATGCTGAAGGAGGCCCATCATCGAAATCCCCCCAATCTTCAAAGGGATCGTCTTCAGGTGGTTCAGGTGGCTTTATGGAGACTTTGCTTTGAGGCAGAGGACTTTTCTTGGCTACTGCTTTTCTCGCCTGAGGTTTCGATGGCGGCTTCTTCTCCTCTATTGATAGTAAATCAAAGTTCCCAGACAGCAGATCAGAACTCTTAGACTGACCCTGAACCCGACCTGGCGCATGAACAGGCCCCGTCGGCTGCTGCTGAGCCAGTGACGGCTCTGCAGTCTCGAACTCCCCCCAGTCATCGGATTCTGCATTCGAAGCCGTCTCCAGCGTCGCATCAAATAATACATTGTCGTCGTATTGAGGCTGCCTTGTTTGCTGGCCTATTGATGGTACCGACGGAGCCGGGCTCGTGAAATCGCCGAAGTCTGCATCTTCCCATGTGTCCAGATCGGGAATGAGAGAACTTGTCTGCGCATGAGCTGTCTGTTGACGAGGGATTTTGGAGGATTGAGTAGATGTTGAATCTAGGCCGAATTCTGCGAATAAATCGGCAGACATTATGGCGAAGCAGCCTGGCTGATCTGCGGGGGTCGTTGTCAACAAGCGCTTCGGTGCATGTGCAATATGTGGAATGTCTGATAGGAGTGAGAAGGAATGGCAGAAAAAGAGAAAAAGGTATCAAAAAGATAAAATTAATAATAATTCAAAACTTTAAGTCGCGATAGTATATGTACGGTAGTCTCGCGAACATGAGGTGGAATGCGGGACGGTGAATCTTAGCCGCTATCAATCAATCGGTCCCTGACCTCATCTTCTGGTCCTGTCAACAACCACTGATTTATACCACTACGCAACGTACGATGCAATGAGGCCTATTGAAGATACTAGGTGCGACTAAGGACGATTTCCCCGCGATAGCTCAGTGCTGAGAATGTCGATAGGAAGAGATGGTCAGTTTTGTTTTGCGACAATGACACCACCTTTGATCTCCGAACCGCTTTAAAGTCAGAACAAGGGAACATATGCAATGATGGCCTGCGGTCGATTTGTTGGAAGGTATGATAATATATATGTGGCCACCATATATTTGGTTTTAACTAACTAAATAGGCATTCTTGCTCTTTGACGACCTCGACCGCACGCAATGGTTACCCAAGATACACGAGACCCGAAGCGCCTATTCCGCACTACGAGAACACTTCCTAAAGTACATCGAGCATCCCGATGACTTACAGTCGACGATCGATCCGCTGGCGGATGATGAGGAGGTATGCTCTTCTCCCATAAACCAATCCGCAAAGCAACCCGTTGGGAGTGCGTTGGAAATAACGAACATGCGCGCGAAAGTCGCCCTGGCAGACACTGCGACGCGACGAACAGATGAGGGCGGATGTATCACAAGATGTCGATAGGTGCTTGCAGGAGAATTTTTTCTTTCGGGAACCCACGACCAAGTCGAAGATGACTGATATATTGTTTATCTACGCCAAACTTAATCCGGATCTGGGATATCGGCAGGGGATGCACGAGCTGCTGGCGCTTATACTGTGGGTTGTGGATCGGGATGCGGTCGAGAGAAATTCGCTAGCGAACAAGGATGATGATTTGATGACGGATTTGTTGGATTCTTCTTATGTCGAGCACGATTCATTTACGCTGTTTTGCTCGGTCATGCAAACTGCTCGAGTGTACTACGAACATGGCGAGCAGAGATCATCGAGTGGTACAATGGACGTCATTCCTATTGTCAACCGGTGTCAATACATCCATCAGGAGCTTTTGATGACCGCGGACTATGAGTTAGCGGATCATTTACAAGCCCTTGAGATCTTGCCCCAGATTTTTTTGACGTGGGTTACCCGATCCTTTGTCCTACATTCAAAATTCTAACACTGGGTACAGCCGCTGGATGCGTCTACTATTTGGCCGCGAATTTCCGTTCGAGGATGTGCTCGTGATGTGGGATCATCTCTTTGCCGAGGGATTACGACCGGAGCTCGTCGATTTTGTCTGTGTCGCAATGCTTCTACGAATAAGATGGCAATGTTCGTCCTGGGTATTTTGACTCGCTTTCGTGATTTCAATTGCTAATTGATATCTCTAGTATTGGCTGTGGATAGCTCGACTGCTTTGACCCTTTTGCTCCGCTATCCATCCCCTCATCCATACGCACCCCAGAGCTTTGTGTACGATGCGATATATATAGATCAGAATCCAACGACTGAGAGAGGTAAATTTATTATCTCGAAATACTCCGGCAAGCCTCCCGAAGCTTTGAGACGGTTTAGCGCAAGGCCTGTTCCAAACAGGCGAGCGCAGTTGCTTGGTGACTGGAAAGACATGAATGAAGTCAATGCATTCTCTAAATCACCAAGAAGCAGCTCCAGGGGCCTGGAGACGATCTTTCAAGATGTCTCTGAAGGCATTCAGCGACGGACCGAATCCTGGGGAGTCGCAAAAGCTGTCCGTGGCGCGGTGAGCGAAGCGCGAAAGAACATGCAGTCAATTCAGTCAGAGGGCTACCCTCGCACGAGATATGGTGATAGTTCCTGGCCACAGGAGCCAGAGACTACCGATTTACGCGAGCGAATTGATCATTTGGAGGAACGAAATCGAATACTTGCCAAGTCTCTGAGCCAGTCTCTGAACGACCTACGCTCACAGATGATGAATATGAATACCGAAAATGTCGACCCGCAAGCTACAACTGCTATGAGGCAGACTCTGACAAGGATGCAGTCTGTGCAGACATGCCTTGAGGACCCATCGGCTTCTCTGCAGCTGACCACTGACATAGAAGCGAAGAAACCAAGGAAGCAGAAAGTCGAACAATCCTCCACAGCTCCTGATAGTGCTGAACAGTCATCCAGGTCATCATCGTCGACTAGTGAACGACCATCGCGACCTGGTCCCAGAAAGCCTGGAGGTCCAACTTCAATGTCCCTACGCCAGTCACCACGCACGTCATTGGCGAATTCTGAATTCTCATGGATGCTGGGAGGTCACGGTAATCGGAACTTATCCGGGTTTGTTAGTTCGGCCTCGGAGCCACCGGAGCAGGCACGACAGCAGAACCAAACACTATTCGGTACCGACGAGGAGAGATCCAAACGGTCTCCTGCCGAGCCGGATGGGTTGGTGATGCGCAGTTTGAGCGGGCCGGAGAGTCTAGAATAAGAAAGACCCTGTTCAGTTGCATTGCAGGCCTGGGGTCTGGACTATTGGGATGGTTCCATGGCCATCTGGGAGTGGTACCGTGGCACGATGAGAGATAGACTAGATCGTCAAGAGAGAAGAAACGCGAACACCCCAAGAGACACCGCCATCTCGGAGAACTTACTTTATCTAGCACAGTTCTTAATACTGTGTCTATAACTGCTACTAGTTATGCCTCAAATTGACATAATTCTCCGAACATCTTAAGAATTGGCCTGGGATGGTCCCAAAGAGGAAAGCATTACATCACCGCCTGGCGCCTCGGGGGTTTTACGGGTTTTTTATACTCTGTTAACAGGAGAGATCCGTTACTTTTCTTCCAATGTATTATTATGCACCCCAGAATACCAGGGAACTGTTAAATTGGTGAAAAGGAGAGCCTGTCGTATTCGTAATAATAGTTCGCAGTGGCTCTGCCCTGACCAAGGGACCTCCGACCGAACCGTGCAGCCTTTGCTTGACGATTCTTCGGGGATTCCTCTCAATCAACCATAGTGCTATTTCTTTTTATATCAAGAAAGCAGAGAAGACTTCTTACTAGTGTACAAAGAAAGAATAAAAGATTGCAAAAGAAAGGAACAGGTGTTATTGACTGTTACTACTGCTACTATTGTTCCCACCCGCCAAAACAAACCCTTCTTCTCCCCCTCCTCTTTTTTTCTTCCTCTCTTCTCTTTCTCTCTGGTCCACGCCTCCTCCCCCAAGGGAACTGGCGCAGACCAACGTCCGAACGATTACAACAGCAAGAAATCACCTATTCCTCCTGTTCCGTCTCAGCCTACTTTCCTTTGCGACCGACGCTTGCCTCCCTTACCCTTTCCCTCGTGCGTGCGACCGCCACGGTCATATAACCTCCGGACCTTTTACCCTCACGAGGCAGCTTCAGCTCTCCCGCTGACCGACCTCGAATTTGGAAAACGAGAACGACGAGCCAAGAAACAACGGAAGGAACAAAACCGAGAAAGTCGAGTTGTACATCTTGGTCGACGAAAAGGACGTTTCAAACCCTCCCGCCTGGACTCATACATACATACATCCCACATCCCATGAACCAGCCTAGACCGATTGTTGTGCAACAATTCTGAACATTCTTTCACATTCACTTCTTTCTATCTTTGTTGACTTGGCCGGCGCTGGTCGCTAGCGATTTGTCTGTCGAGATTGGGAAGGAATTTTTTGAACGGTAGAATTATGGGGACTACACGGACTACACACAATCACTTTTTGGATGGTGAGTTTGTGCTTCTCCTTTCGCTCTCTTTACTTGCTATTATTTCGTTTTCCTGCGCTCTCATTTCCAATGCTCCGGGTGAGAGCCACACGTTGGGCTGAAAGATCGTCGAACGGCCAAGATTCAAGGGAAACATCGGAGGAAAAAGAAAAGGAAGAAAAAAAAAAAAAAAACACACCTGCGCCCGAGTAACGCCCTGGCAACTAACTCAAAGTGACACAACTGGATGCATCAATGCCCTACGCCTTTCGATACGCGCGCAGGACACTATTGACCGATTGATGCGCATTCATCGCAATCCGTCCTCCGGTGAACAGACGGAGCTTGGAAATGAGAGAACGCTGGATGTTTTGTGTTCTACAAAACATATTCCACTGTCCCGCTAACCAGGACTACCGCAACAGGCGAACCAAGTCCCTTGTCCTCTCCGGTAGAATGTTCTATCTCAACATCACCGGAGTCTGACCCTTACGGGGCAGGTTTTGATGAAAGATGTTCCCTGCCTGATTATGACCCTCTCCCAAGGTTAGTCGTCACATCTCCTTGCATTTCTCGGCATAGACCTGCATATTGTTTCGCACACTATTCCCCCCGCTCCTTCTTTTACCCTTTACGGAAGAGAGAAGGAATTTTAACCTGGTGGCAGATCTCCTTTACTGGAGAATGAACATGGAATGGGGGCGTCTGGGTTGGATCGGATACGGCAGCAATTCCCCTCGCGAGTCATGACGCTCCCGAACATATCGGCTTCGTCACTAGTTCCTTCGAATTCGAATTCGCAACATCGTTCGCCTTCTCCACGGTCTAGCTCCACGTCGAGAGCCCACTCCACTCGTGCAATGTCATTTGAAAGTTCGGCCACGTTGGAGAACCTCCATCGGTTTCCCTGCGAGTCACTACACTCATTTTCCTTTGCACAGCAGCCGGAGGAACTTCTCCATAACCGTCAGAATATTCTGAAACGGTCGATCGATTTTATGCGCGGCCGCTTTGGCAGGTCCGTTAGCGGTGTGCAGACCGGCACGTGCAGGGATACAGAGGGTCAATGTACGGTGGATCCTTTCATGCCACAATCAGATATCTTGGAGAAAAATGAGGATTATTCTGACACCGCGGGCTTAGCTCTTGGCCCAATGACTGGGCCTCCGGACGTGAGCGGCAACATATTCGAGAAGGCTTTCATGGACTACGGAAACCCTCCGGAAGCGACTCAAAACCATGCAGCAAATTATAAGGCGACTCCAGAGGTGAGCCATCCGTTGAGTCCGCTGCCGAAAGACCATGTACCGCACCAAAAAAGGGACCCCAAGGCCGACGATCCCTCGTCCAGGCACGTAAAACGTACATATACGGACGGTAGCTCTGCTGGTCCCCAGAGCAAGCTTATGGAAACTTTAGCCCAATCCACCACGGATGCTATGTCAGCATCCGTTGGCTCCTCGAGTCTTGGTTTGGGATTTCCGGTTCCGGCATTGCACACCCACAGCAGCAAATGGAATCCAGTATCTCAGGCTGTCTTCCGGACCGATGCGCATGCGCCATGGACTATATTGGCTGCTAATGATCTCTCGTGTCTTGTATTCGGTGTCACCCAAGCGGAACTCCGCAAGCTAAGTATACTAGAAGTCGTACAAAAGGACCGGCGGCAGTGGCTTGAGTCCAAGTTGCGAGACCCCAGCACTGACGCTGCAGCCAATCTTCGTTCTTCTTCCCCTACCTCGTCCAATAGGACTCGTATCAGTCAGGTAAACTCAAAGTTCGTGGGATCTGGTAATGGCTCAACCGCCAAGCTGTTCAGTAAACCACCATCCTCAAGAGGCGTAAGGAGATCCCAAACAGACAACGGATTTGGCTCCAGCACCCGCATTCCTAGGGATCCTTATCACCCAGCAACAAAATCCCGCGGTGTTCTGCTATGCGGCGATGTGGTGCCCATCCGGAAACGCAATGGTACTCAAGGCTCAGCCAGCATCTGGGTTATGGAGAAGCGTGGGGGCTTGATATGGGTTCTGGAGGAGATCACGGAGAACACCGCTTATGTGGATTGCGATTCGTCATGGAACGTCACAACTGCCCAGGGAGATACGGAAAAGATCTGGGGCCCTGAAGTGGCCCAACCCGGCAAGCGGATTACAGAGCTTCTTCCACGTCTTCCCCAGGAATGCCTCCAGGCGGCCACCGACCAGGCCACGGTCAAGATTTCCGAGTTGAAGTACTTTGCTGCCCGCAATGCCGCCGGGTTCTGTAGTCCTGTGACTGTTGAGAAGACGGAAAACAGCACAGAGCGTCGTCTCCGGGTATCTAGTTTCCCTCATGTTGCTGGTATGATGGTGCTTTCTGCATCGACATTGAAGGTAATTAGCTCGAACTCGGTTTTCTCGGCTGCACTGTTTGGTCAGGAACGCCCAGAAGGATTGCACGTTACCGACTTACTCCCTGGCTTCGACCGCCTTTTGGATGTACTTAATGAAGAGGATGACGGGCCGTTGATGGATGGGATGGTGATTCCCGAACAGAGTCTGCGCAGGGCGAAGACGCTCGCTGCTTTACGAGATGAGAAGAGTAATGTGGCCTCGGTGTTTCTGGAGCCTGCTGGGCTCACTGCAACTCATCGCGACGGCTCGACTATGGCGGTGGATGTGCAGTTGCGGGTCGTGAAGAGTGAGACGATCTTTTCAAAGGATGGGCAAGAGAAGAAAGTCAATCAACATGACGGTGGTGATGATTCTGATGCCGAGAGCGATGACACGGTCGCCGCGACTGAACTTCTTTATGCGTTATGGGTGACCTATTCGCGACAGGTTCATTCAATTGGTCCAGCGTCGAGTTTGCGGTCGTCCAAAGAACCATCTCGCAATACGACTCCTGTGGTCGTTCCGGGGCCTACTGCGGCGACAACAACTCAACCTGAGCCTTCGACCGGTGAAAATACAACAGTGGAGACGCAACTACCATCGTCAACGCTTAGCCAACAGCTCCATGAGGCTGCATCTGAGCCACTGGTTGACAAGCCTGTCCAGCCCGTGACTGAAGTGAAGTCGAATATCCCTGTTACCAAGGACGAGAAACGGACAATTGCGGACTATATGATCCTCGAGGAGATGGGGCAGGGTGCTTATGGAGAAGTTAAGCTTACTTGTCTAAAAAAGAACCCGTCGAAGCGAGTTGTCTTAAAATACGTCACGAAGAAACGCATTCTCGTCGACACATGGACACGAGACCGGAAATTGGGTACGGTTCCGTTGGAAATTCATGTGCTGGATTTCCTCCGCCGCGATGGCCTTCGACACCCTAACATTGTGGAGATGGAGGGGTTCTTCGAGGACGATGTCAACTATTACATCGAGATGAAGCCGCACGGTCTACCTGGAATGGATCTGTTTGACTACATTGAACTCAAGGCCAATATGGATGAGACGGAGTGCCGCAACATCTTCCGACAAGTGGTGGATGCCATTCATCATCTACATATCAAGGCGCGCGTTGTGCATCGGGATATCAAGGATGAAAACGTGATCCTTGACGGCGAAGGGAGGATTAAGTTGATTGACTTTGGAAGCGCTGCATATATCAAGAATGGTCCCTTTGATGTCTTTGTGGGGACCATCGACTACGCAGCTCCCGAAGTCTTGCAGGGCAAGTCTTACGGAGGAAAAGAGCAGGATGTTTGGGCTCTCGGTATTCTTTTGTACACCATTGTGTACAAGGAGAACCCGTTCTACAACATTGACGAAATCCTGGACCATCCCCTTCGGGTTCCTTACCTGCCATTCTCGGAGGATTGTATCGACTTAATCCGGAAAATGCTTGACCGTGATGTTGACAATCGGTATACCATTACCGAGGTTATGGAGCATCCGTGGATGGCTAGCGGTTGAGCGGATTTACGATTTGGATCAAGACGGCAATGAATATCTTGGATCGACAGTTATAGATTCTCATTTGGACACGGCAATATTTCGGTTCTGGTGGTGCAATTGGATTGTGATACGCGCAGGAAATGAAAGAAGCCAGAACAAGTGCCATCAACCAGGGTACCAAACTAGGAAAACAAAAACGAACAAACAAACAAACAAAAAACACCCAGGATGTATGACCGTTGAAAATACAAGGCGACAAGATACCCATCATGACATTGCAATTCTTTTGGGTTAGATTGCTTTTTTTATTTTTATTTTTTTCTTCGCTAATGTTTGTTCATGTTGATATTGCGAGCATGTCTGCGTATCCTTGGGAAAAGGAAATTAAGCATATGGATGTTGTTTTATATTTCATTATATTTACATATATACCCCCCAAGAAAAACCGGCGTTGTGTATCTTGCAGTTGCTAGGTTGATTGTCAAACAGAGATATGGATAGTCATGGTACTTAGGGTTATCTCACATGCCAACGGGTACATAGGACCCTCGTCCATGATATACGTCAAATCTTCTGCCTCAATGTGTATTTTCTAGTAGTTTTTTTGGTCATACATATGGACTGGTTGTATTGAGGAGAATATTAGCTATAATCGGATACGGTTGCTCCAGTAGTAGTGCTTCAGAAATCGGCAATAGTAAGGTCCATCGGCTCGGATCAGGTGTAGGAATAGTTTAACCAAAGTTGATTCAAGAGATATATGTACCTACTCGCGATCCTGAAGCGTTGCAACTTGCAACACCAAGAAATCCGAACATCAAAGCTTCATTTGTGTCTCAACATGTCTGCATCTGCCACGGAAATAATGACCAAAACCAACGACATCAAACTCACTGAGCTCCATCCTGGCTCCATGGCTGAGATCATGGGTCTCGGTTTCGCCAATGGCGCTACTGAAGACGTATCCCGTTTTCTCCAGGATGCAGTTACTAATGTACATCCGCCCATATCACCATCAGTTAACCCCTACGGAGTGGTAGTCCTCTGTGGTACTAAATTGACAGATGAAATGCACATTGAACTCGCCCGTATCTTCGGCGAACTAGACGACGTCAAGCCCTACGTTGTTGCTGGACGCAAGAACCGATTGAAGTACGAATGAGTAGTTTGATGTTAGTAATGTCGTAGAGGATGGGAGACTTGTTGATCCCGAGAGTCTAAGGGGGCAAGCTAATAAGGTACCTCTCCCTTTATTTTCAGATGGCAGTGATGTTTTGGTTCTAGTGCTGATACTGATGCTATATGTAGGGAAACAGCCTCTTCCACGTAGACTCCAGCTTCAACCCCCGCCGCGCAAGCCATTCTATCCTCCTTGTGCACAAACTCCCCCCCCCCCCCCAGGAACAGGCTGCGCAACAGTTTTCTCCAACATACGAACCGCATTCGACGACCTCGACCTCGCTACCAAGATCTACCTCCTAGAAATAACTACATAGCCATCTGCTCTATCCTGTACTCCAAGAAATTCACAGTCCTAGAATTATTCGCCAACATCAACCCAACAGGCTACCCCATGGGCCGCCACTATCTCGTCCAGCACCATGAGCCGTCCGACGGGATGAATTTGTATCTAGCAGCGCATACCCATCACATCGAGGGCCTTTTCTTCAGATAGTTTAGGCATGCTACGGGTGAGAAGTGAGGCAGGGATTGCCTTGATTCTTCCCCCCGTATTGTTGGTTATATGATTTCACATTTAGTAGTGGTGGACAGAACCGGAGTGGTGCAGCTCAGCAGCTCGCCCGAATTGCTTCTCAGGTTCTCCCGCAATTATCACCCCTATTGCCCCTCGTCCCGTCCTGAATTTTTCGGACTTTCAGTAATGCAAAAGATACAAATGTCAAGCTTACTTCCTCACAGTTGTTCTGACCATCGTAACCAGCGACTTACCGGAATACTCGCTAACACACCATTATTGCTGGGATTATACCCGCCGCCTCATGCTTGAGATATTCCTGACACAGCCATGTACGCAGAGATCTCGAACAATAGTGGGGTTGATCCTGCTATCAAATTGGCTGCCACATATCGAAACGGATAGAGCAACATCTAAAGAGCTTGCAGATCTCTCCAGTGAGGATAGGACAGCTTGGTCGCTTATTGGTCTCGAGGTCATCTCTTTCTGCACTTTTTACTGCAAAGAACCTCCCCAGTCTCCAACCCGCTGCAGGGGGTATAGAAAGAACAGAAGCCTATGCATCCGTGCTACAAGTAACAGTCGAGCTCACTTAAATCCTACACAATGTTCATGCCATCCTATACTTATCCCCCGAAAGAACCTTAGCAATGGTCCACGATGGTAATTACAGTCGTTATTTCGATGGTTTCCAACGAGCAGCTACAACATGGCACTCGACATGGAGGAACATCTCAATATTGCAAAATATAAAAAATACATCATCGCTGCGATATATATACCTCTGTCTTTACGCGAATACATTCTCATTTCAGGCTGTTCTCACGAGGACATCTGCTTCGCGGAGACAGGGAAAGAAGAGTCATTTGCAGAGATATTCTCGCGTGGGATCATGTTGCCTCCAGAAGTTCAATATATTTTCGATGCTACAAGCGCGGCCACGAAGATATTGAAGTTGATGAATGGTTCGAACCCGCGGAAGAAGTTGTGTTATTTGCCGTCTAGGTATTACTGGTAAGCTTCTAGCAGTCCTACATAGAATAAGTCGTAATGATTGGATATGTATAAGGTATACGCAGCAGCTTTCCTGTACAAGGCACACTGCATGGTATATTTTAATGATAATCCCAAAGCCGTGAGGCTATGAATCTGGCACTGAGATTTGCAGCTATCATGGGAGATACTACATCGGCGAAATGCATATTAGGCGCAAATAAAGCTGGATGCTGAAGGATCTAACTCGTCGACAGGCACGAAGGACGCCAAGGGAGCCTGCTCAGGAGACAGCAAATCAACCTCGCCAAGAGAGCCTTCAGTCACCATCACAAGACGAGGTCATCAATCACCCGTCGCTCAACGAAGGAACAGGGCTAGAGCGTCTTTTCGGCCATTCGCTGGCACCCGGACAAGGATTTCTTTGATGTACCTTGTCTGGGTTAAGGTAGGTTCAATGCCATCTGGCAGTAAGGTGCCTGGCAAGGCTAAATTCGAAATACAGCCTTCATAGACAGTTGTTATAAGAGGAACAATATGAGTACCAGTGTCACATCTCTAAAAGTGCTACAGATTACATTCTAGTGTATTCATACCACCATGAAGAGCTTCGAACTCCTTTTCCTCCTCGTCCTCCTCTATGTATCTCAACTCAACCAAGCAATCTAAACAGCCACCATGCCACCAAAGCGCTCCCAATCAAGTCGAATTTCTATCGAACGAGAGGGCCGCCTCTTATTAGCTATACAGGCTATTAAACTTCAAGAAATTAGCTCTGTAGGCCAGGCAGCACGTGTTTATGCTGTACCTGAATCAACATTACGAGACCGGCTTCATGGCAAGATCTTTTGCGCCGAGAAACGTGCCAACAACCATAAATTGACATGAAATGAAGAGGAATCACTTGTACATTGGATATCCTCCATGGATTGATGTGGAGCAGTTATCTGACCAGCTCATATTGAAGATATGGCTAATTTTCTACTGTCAAAGCGTGGTCCTGCCAACATCCAAACTGTCGGTGTTGACTGGGTTTACAACTTTATTCGACGGCAAGATGAGCTCAAACCAAATATTCTCGACGCTGTAATTACCAGCGAGCTAAGAATGAGGGTCCAAGAATTATTCAGGAGTGGTTTGGTCGGGTGCAAATTATTCTCATGCAACATGGGATCGCACTTGAAGATATCCACAACTTTGATGAGACAGGATATGCAATGGGCCTAATGGCTACTGCTAAGGTAGTTACTAGAGCTGAAATGACTGGCCATGCCTTTCTTGTACAGCCAGGGAATCGAGAATGGGTGACATCTATTGAGTTTATCAACTCTACTGGATGAACTCTTTCGCCGTGTACCACCTTCAAAGGAAAGGTCCATATTGAGGGATAGTATCAAAATAAGGCTTTACCATGCAATTGGAGAATTGAAGCCAGTGATAATGAATAGAAAACTGATTAGATTGATTAAAATGGCTTCAAGAAACCTTTTTTCCAGATGCAAACGGTTGTATAATTGGAAGATATCGCCTTTTGATCCTTGATGGCCATGGGAGTCATTTGACACCTAAATTTGATGAGATATGCAGTCAGAATGATATTGTACCAATCTGCATGCCTGCTCATTTATCACATCTCTTACAGCATCTTGAAGTGGGCTGCTCCTCACCTTTAAAACGGGCATATGGACGTCTGGTTGACAACAAGGCACGGCTCAACATCAACCAACCATATTGACAAATTTGGCTTTCTTGAAGCCTATCCCCAAGCTTGTACAGAGGCCTTTAAGATGGAAAATATCGGGAATAGCTTTGCTGCAAGTGGCCTGATTCCTTTCAATCTAGAAAGGGTGTTTGGGCAGCTCAATATACAACTCAAGACCCCTACATAGACCTTGACAATGGAGCTCCATAGGAGTCAGGGTCACTCCCAACTCTCATTTCAAGACTCCCATGGGACTCGCGAATTCTGCATAACTATCCTATTTAGGATGGATAAGCTGCTGAGTTATCAAGAGCTTATTTAGTTTTCTACTTCAAAATTAACCAAGTTGTAATGACTTTTCTGACAGAACAAGGATTGTTGTCACTGGTATCGGATCACATTATCCAATCCTGCATGATATTTAAACTAATACCCTTGCTATTCACATCCCGATTTCAGATGGTTTCGGGGATTCAAGTTGACAACTCTCAAGGTTTTTCGATTATGTATCAAGTAGGGACTTCCTGTATTAGCTGCTCCATTACCAGCGTCTATCCCATAGGGCATGGATATCAACAGGCGCCACCATCTATTACATAACTATCGTAATAGATTATTGATTCATTAATGATTTATGCAACAGCCACTCCCTGCGGATTATGGAAGGTATCCTTCGGATCTAACTCCGCCTTAAGCTCCTCCAACCTCGGTAGATTATTTCTCCAGTATGCTTTCTGAGCATCCTTCATTCGCGGATCCGGGCAACCCAGATAAGCATGCTCAGCACTCTCCGGCACCGCATTTGCCAGAATATTGTAAAGGCCATCGATGAAATTATATGTGGTCTGCGAGATAGGTCCCAGAGGGTTTGCGGCAAATATCTGTACCCAATGAAGCACATCGCGGTGGCCGTATGCAGTGGCATCGGCAGGGACATTGTTGACAGCACCGCCTTCGAGACTGAGCGTGATGAACCAGGCCAGAGTGTCGGGTTTATTTTTTTCAATGTAGTCGAAAAGGCCATTGATTGCGGATAAAGGAATAAGTGCTTGAGGAGTAAAGCCGAGGGACTTCGCATAAAAATAAGTGGGAAGACCGCCGGCGACTTTGAGGATTATGTCTTCGAGACTGTGGCTGATCATTCCGAGCCAATCGGTCAAGACGAGGATATTTCCTGGGTTCTTGGGGGGAAACCGGTTCTCCAGATCGAGGGCATCGAATTCCTCCTTACTGCCGAAGAAGATACCCTCGAGAATGATGTCGCCGTTGATAATGTTCATGTTGGAATAGAACTTCCAAGTCAGGTTTTCTTGGGCAATAAACGCTTGCCAGTCCTTGACTAGCTTCGCCTTGCTGGCAGCACTACCCGGATTGAATGTGTACGAATACTGAACCGCCAAACCCGGCGCCGGCTCCGTACGGATCTTGAACTCAGTCACAATACCGAAACTAGCAGAAGCACCTTTAACGGCGAACAAGATATCCTGGTTCTGGGTGTGGGATGCACGGACGATACTTGAGTTTGCCAAAACAACCTCAATTTCTTCAATGTGGTCGAGCGCAAGACCCCATTGGCGTGCTGTAGGTCCTAAACCACCCACAGTGAGATGGCCACCAGTGCGGATTGTTGGACAGATACCGTGAGCCATTGCCCGGCCTCCTGAGTTGTAAAGTTCGGTGTCGACGTCGCCTAGGGTAGTGCCGGGGCCGATGGTTGCGACGTAGCTCGACTCGTCCATGGAAAATTGGTCGAATTTCTTCATGTCGACCACAATGGCGCCATTTGTTCCTCCAAGGCCTGACGTGGTCAACCCAGTTCTGCTAGACAATATGTCGAGGGGAAACGAAGCATACCATAATTACCAAAGCTGTGACCCCCACTGCGAGCTTGCACCTTGTAGTCGTGTTCCGATGCGCACTTGACAACTGCCGCTATCTGCTCCGAGGTCTCGGGAAATGTGACCGCTGCCGGAGACACCGGGATATTGAGATTGTATGCCTCGACTGCGGTGGTCTGATAAAGGAGCTGGTCTTGAAATGCGACGAGGGCTTGATTACCCCCGACGGCATTGACCAAGCAGTCCCGCCCGGTGGCGATGCTCGTGGTATTTCCCATAACCCTGCTTCTTGACTGGATCAGCACTCAAATATCTTAGATCAAGAAAATTTTGGGATTCTGGGACCTTTAGTGCTTTCAGAGTGGAGCCACACGAGCTAAGATCCGGCCCCTATAGACGGGGTTTATCGGCTCGGTGCTGGCGGCCTAATGACATTGTGAGGCCAGTCTATGGGTGGATCGGATATGATAGATCAATAGTTCAATATCGGGGGTCGATCTCATTGGACATATGTGACTAAAGTTGCAGGTATAATTGACCAGGGTCCGCAATAAATTCGGGAGCTCGGATGCGAAAGGGGGCAGAATACGAGTTGCTTTTTCGGTCTCGTAAAGCTATGAATGCTACTACTCCTACTCACCCGTCTTAAACTCATTTTCCAGCTGCTTATAGTAGGCAGACCGGTGCTAAGTATATCCTTCTTCAACATCCTCTGCATAACATATCCAACGGGGAGCCGGGTATGTTGACACTTGCAAACGTCGGGGAATGTCTTTTCCCTGGATATCCCTCAGGGTATGGTACACCTCAGTTTCTCGGTTGTAAAAGTCCAGCGTACGGTAGTGCACCGATATTCCAACCTAAGGGTATTCCACAAGCCTCCTTCTTTCTCAATCAGTTCATCGTCGGTGTTGAGTTTCTTGATAAATTCAGTTACACTGCCGTCCATAGCAAACCGCCGAAATCCCGGTTCAATATCTGGTGCCCAGGAATCATTGTTTCACACCTCCCTAAACTCCACTATAAAGCGTCAATCAAAGAGCTTCAATAACATTTGGTCGCTTAGTCCTAGAACTGACAGGTCAAGTGGAACGAGCACGACACAGGACAGAGTGAATGGTTCGCAGACACGGGCGATTTCGGCCTTTAACGTATTTCACCGCCGAGTGGTCCACCCGCCACTATATATTTTTGAAGTAGATTTTTTCAGCCAAAACGCCGTTATATTCAAAGATTCATCTAGCAACAGGACATGCATTTGCTTTAGTCCTATACCCTTACACTTTCCACATGTCGGTAACCGCCGTCTAACTGGCTGTGCTGGCTGAGCCGGGGGTTGTTGAACCAGTTGAATTGGTGGAATCAGCTGCTGTATTAGCTGCAAGGCCTCTCCCACAGTCAAGCCATCTTCATGTAGTATCTGCTGATTTGAACATATGCTTTTTTTGCCGCTTTTTCTCATTCATGGTTCGTATATCAGCATTTTCCTTTGTTAATAGCACAGCGCTATGCATCGCAAGCTGGCAGCCTTTAATAAGCTGGTTTGACGCTGGATTGGTAGGACTTGGAGGGCTTTTTGAACGTTGTTTTAGGAACGTTTTAATCGAAGAAGCTTGCTTGTGCAATTCAACAATATTTTGTGGTGTTCTTGGTGTAAAAACATTTGATCTGCTGCTTGGTCGGCTACCAGGGGGTGTAGGTGTTCATAGGGATATATTTAACTTTGAAAGCTATTTTGAATATTCTCTGGTTTAAAGGCCTCTCTGCGTGCTTCGGGATATGCTTCTAGGAAATCTAGCTTGTCAATATGGTTGTAACCTGTGCGTGCTTGATTCTCCACTAAACGATCATAGGCGCGTTTTAAGATAGCAAAACACCTTATATCAAGTGGTTGTAGAAGATGAGACGGATGCGCTGGTAGGCAGAGTTGTTTAATAACATTTTCACTGCAAATATGATCGAGTTGTGGTGTAAGATGGCTACCATGGCCATCAAGAATCCAGAGTCGATATCTTCCTTTTGTACGTGTAGTAGTAGCTGGAATAAAGAGTTTTTGAAGCCACTGAAGGCTTATTTTATCGGTAGTCCACCCACTTGCAGAGAGCTCAAAGCGTCAGTCTCCTGAAGGTCATCAAACCATCCTTGGATAAACCTTTTGCCCTTGAAAATCATGCATGGTGGAAGCGCCCATCCAGATGCGTTGATTGACTCAACCACAGTCACCCACTCATGATTTCCAGGCTGTAGAACCACTTGCTGGCCATAGTACTCAGCGCGAATAACCACTTTAGCAGTAGAAACCAGGCCCATTGCAAAGCCTGTCTCATCAAATTTACATACATATCCTCTGGTAGAATACCGTTTTCAGTTAGAAGATGTTGAACAGAGTTAAACCACTTGCGTAAGGCTGTTTAATGCTCATTTTGGGCACGTTAATAATCATAACGTCTTGAAAACCGTGTACGAAGCTCTTCTCGACGTTTAACAGATCTTGATACCCAATTTGGACCGATTGAAAAGGCAGTAGCAGAACCACGCTTTGCAAGGAGAACATTGGCCATTTCTCGCACAGTAACAGGCCGAGGTGCTGCTCCACGTGTATATATGGAGAGTATCAATTGCGTAAGTTGATCATCCCCTATTTCAGTCAATTTATGGCCATTAGAACGAATATCGGCGCGAAATTGCTGCCCACTGATGCGACGTAGTAGGGTAGTTTTTGGCACTTGAAAACGCTCCGCAATCTCACGTATAGATGCAATAGTGCCATTTTGAATTCCTCTGATGGCCAGTGGGATTCTGCCCTCTTGCTCAATAGATTTTCGAGAGGATTGGGAGCGTTTTGGTGGCATGGTCGGTGTTTAAAGAAGGGAGGTGGCAGAAAGCACTCGTTTTCGCGTGTAGTGGACCACTCGGTGGTGCGGACTGCTCGGTAGTGAAATACGTTACAACCTGGTAATTGTGCGATACTAACTGGAGCGATATTGTATTTTCTACCATATATGAACACCTGGAGCGGTCAGTATAATACTAGTTGGTCAGGTTAGTTGGTAAGCCACATTCTGTTTCTTCGTGTCCCATTTTGACGGACATTGCTGTACGATGAGCTTCGAGTCACCAGTGACAGTTGGACAATATTGATATAGCCACAGATTTTAGTAGCTCTTTGCAGACTTGCAATGATTCACTCACAACAACTGAGGTTCTATATGGCAGTCTCTGATGTCGCTAGATACTTGTCTAAATTGTAGACAGCCATGTGACAATTAAGGAAGCATCTGTTTTAGAGCCCTTTATGTACTGTTCCCAATCTCTCTTTCTTCTAGTCAGTGCTGCTTAATATCATATTCATCTTGCATTTCTGGTGTTATCGTCTACGCTGGACAGTATTCACTGAGGAACAACTGGCTCCGATGCTATTTTGTTCACTCAGGTCACCATGTACATAATTTCTGCGGCTAATTACCATTCGGGTCGAAATCAAGCTACTTGGGAACGATCTAATTCTCTTCCAGACGTGAGATTGACCGCAAGAGATATCATTGTAACAGCTCGCTATGAAATAACAACAGATATTATGCTAAGAGCCTTGCTTATTTGACTCAGAGACAATAGCATTCGTATCACCCAATGCCTTGGACAAATAAAGTAAGTACGGAGACAAAAAGTTCACTCTTTGCATTACTTTAGTTGCTGCATACCACTTAATTCTCTAGAAGCCAAGATCCCAGTCGTTAACATCTATTCAAAGAACTTGGCTTAAGTTTACAGTCAAGAATTACGCGGAAAACATCAGAGAAGCTGGGCTGCTATTGGAGCCGACCCCCCAATGAACCAAAGCGCATGGGGACATGAAGGCGGGCAGCAATAGCATATACTGGCCGGGGACCATAAAGGAGACGCGGGAAAAATGGCCTACAAAGCCAAGGTAATTTTCAGGGAAAGGTGGTCCTCGAATGGGACATGTCGGAAGAGAAGCAGCCAACTGATGAAGAGGTGGCCGCGGCTATTAGGAAAAGACTCATGCTATTAAGAGTTGGGTAAAGAGAGCGAATAGGGCGGAAGTGCTGATCTTCAGTCTACGACTCTTCTTATAAGCAAAAGCAGTTGGTACTGAAGACTGTTACTTGGAAAGAAGGATTGATTACTAACATCTGTTGAAAAATCCGGTCAATTCACGAAAGTCTGCGTTGACAATATAAAGAATCGCTCGCCTGCTACTAGTAACCCGCTGGAAAATGTCACCAGGCAAACGGTGACGGGAACGCAGGAAGACGTGCACTGTACTGGATGACATATCTTGTTCAGATTAAAGCCAAAGGCGGCCTAGTCTTGGGCCCGTGGGACATGGCCAGAAAGAAATAGTCAAGCATCTAAAGCTTTTATCTTTTATTGAGAACGAACGCTTGCCATTCTGGTATTGTGGTACAGTGCGTCAGATACCTGGCAGAGAACCCCAAAAATCTTGCTGACTCGGCTCAAAAACAGACCCACAAAATATATCGATACCCTACAAGAGGACTCTCTTGCCTGTTACTGGGGGCCGGTAGGGCACTGGTACTAGGTCCATGACGAGAGAAAGCGGCGACCTACGGAGCTTTTCAACTGAAAATAACCACTTTTATGCAGGCCTAACATGCCGCGCCAAGTCGCTCAGTCCGTTCGAGATCGCTGGGGAAGGTCCGCTAACGCGCTGAAAGAGCTTTGTGGAATATGAAGACGAGAACAGCAACTCAGCTTTGTGTTCCAAAAATTGACTCAAAATCCCTTGTGGCGGTTGCGAGGAGACTGCATAATGTCTACGGAGAATTCAACAAATCTATATAGTCTGAGTGACGTTTCTTTCCCAAGCGCATGGATGTCAGCCTTTTTAAAGAAATATTTCGTTATCTGAATACCTAGTTGGGCCGGGATTATACACAACCAATCAAAAAAGCGCAATTCCCAAAACCAATTCCACGGATTAGGTAAGTCTTAATGCCGTATATCCGTGGTAGTGGAAGGGTTTTATAGCAGGAAGCCCGGCAATTGAAAAATAAGCAAGCGCTCGCTTGACCCTGATACGCGTGATTGGTTCATTTCCCGAGCATACCCCAGATAAGCTAGGGACTTGCCTGAAATGAAAATGTCTTCCCCGGATTCCCCGCATCTCCAGATCCCCACGAGTGTTACGGAGAACAACGTCACTCCTGAAACCCTGCTCACCATGCTCCCGGCTTTACAACACAAGCCGACTGTTCGTGTCGTCGCACAGACTCCGGGAACCATCCACAGACAGAAGGCACGGCATCCAGGCACTAAAGGCTATTCCTGAATAGCCGAAGAAATAGGATATGGCCTTATCCGATATCAAACGCCGACAATGATGTGTTCGCGGTCATAAATAGGGCTCGCGTCCGGGTAATCAGAATTTAGGGAAGCTACAGAAGCTGCTGGCATGTTCCTTTCCACCCTAACGTTCACAATGGTCCTCCATCGTCCATCGAGGCTCTTTGGCCTCTTTCTGCTGTTACAACTTGGCCAGGTTCAAGGAGATACAGTTGCTATTCCTTCCTGTCCAAAGGATACGGAGCCCGTGGCCAATGATTTGCAGTCATTCTCAATTGAGTTCTCATATTTCCCAGACTTCACTGGCAACAAATCACATCCCAATGAGTTCTCAAGGACGTTGCTGGGCAATTTGAAGAATATCACCGGCGTAGCACCGGTCATCAGAGTTGGAGGGACAACACAGTAAAGTTCATCAATTGTCTTGGTACATCCAGTTGAGAGTACTAATCCATTCTAACAATACAGGGACCGTTCTGAATACCATCCAAACCAAAAAGAAACCATCCGGAACATCTTCGAGAATCCAGAAGACGACCAACCTATTAAAACAGAATTTGGTCCCGGATTCTTCGAGTCCTATGAGGTCCTCGGTAACTTCCCATACATCCACGGCTTGAACTTCAACCTGTCTCTGGCCCAAGAAACCAGCTCTGCCGTTGCCGCGTGCAAGCTGATGAATACCAAGAACCTGCATCTGTATGAGCTGGGAAACGAAATAAATATGGAGCCGACCCGGTATCGACCTGCAAACTACTCCATGACCGATTACATCCGTGAATGGAATTATAAATCCACTGCTATTGCAGCTACTTACAAGAAGGTCTGTGGCGGGCCGTTTCCTGGAATGATGGCGCCCAGTTTTATTTTGCCTAGTTTTGATCTGGCCGACTCTACACCGTGGACGATTGAAGGAATATATGCCAATGGGTACGATAAGGATAATCTCACCCGAGAGATTTGCGCTCATCAGTAAGACTCCCGACACCTCCCGTTGACTGGTTCGACAATGGATCCTAATATGTTTGAAGGTACATGCAAATCAACGAGCCGCCCCAATTACCTCCGGCGACCCGTCTTCAGCGTACGTACAAATCTATCCCACTCCCGCGTTATAAATTCATACTAACCATGCTACAGGGATCCTGTTGAACCATACCAATATCGTTGAATCTCTCGAGCCGCACATTCAGCGTGCCAAGAACCTCGAATATCTCGACCATCCATATGTCTTGGGTGAAATGAATAGTATCGCGAAACAGGGACGTAACGGCGAAAGTAACGTCTTTGGCGATGCCTTGTGGCTTGTTGATTTCTCCCTCTGGGCTGCGGAACACGTATGCCTTCTCTTTCTCTCTCTTCCGTACTATACTAACTTCTCGATAAAGAACATCAAACGCCTCAACTTCCACCAAGGCACAAGCTACCGCTATGCCTCGTGGCAACCAATCCTGAACAAGGGAATTGGACCCATCACCAAGCCCCCATACTACGGCCAAATTATGGTCGCTACGGCCCTCGGACGCTCAGAGAACATGCGCATCCGCAATATCCCCCTCTCCGGCCATAGTGAGGCTGCATATGCGCTTTTCGATGATAGCAAGCTGTCCAAACTCGTTGTCCTCAATATGGAGGCTTTCAACTCGACGTCAGACGCTGATTCTCGCTCTAGCCAGGAGTACAAGTTCAAGGTCTCTGGCAATTCGAAGAGTGCTAATGTGCTGCGGTTGATTGCCCCGGGAAGCGACGTGGAGAATAATGTTACTTTTGGTGGCGTTTCATATGATTATGAACTGGAGAAGGGGAATGCAGTTGTCCTGGACGATACGGAGGAGACAGTTGAGATTGAGGATGGGGTGCTTAGCATTACGGTGCCAGATTCTTCGGCTGTTCTTTTGACGTTGGATTAAAGTAGACCGTCATTGCCAATCTCCAACTAGCTCTCGAGTGGAAGTATCGCCGAAGCTGGAAACCGGTATAAAGGTGAAGAATAATCCATGTGAATAAAGTCCTCATAAATAAGTATTCCCGTACTACATTACACTGATGCAAATCACTTTCGTTTGACAACTGTTTTCCATGTTGTAAGAGATATGGAGCAAAGTAATTACCTTAATCCTGTCTCTCTTCACCGTGGTAGTGCCTTGCAGCAACTATGTTACCCACCGCGTTCAACTCCAAGGCCTGAAAATGGCGGTAGCGATCCTCTCGCTTTTGTGGGGAGTCATCCTGCGAGAATTATGAATTGTATTCATGACTGCATTTCTAGAAGATAGCAACTCACTTCATGACGATCTTCTTCGTAGTCTCTGGCTCCAAAGTATCTTTGTGCCTTTTTGCCACCTTGGGGAGGTCTCTGTGCACATTTTCAGCCCAGAAAGACATATTCCCAAGCGTCATTCTTGCTGGCGTAGCCGGCCATGACCCCCCCGTTTGGGTCGTGGTCATACGCGTGGTAACCTCATGGACCTGAACATATTGAGGTTTCCTAAAACGTATGTTGGAAAACATGGGGGGTGTGGATGGAAAACACGAGTTTAAGGGTAAGAGAAGAAACAAAAGAGAGTCATGTTGGCAGTTTGCGAATATTGAGGATGCTGATATTCTCCTATTATTTGTTTCTTTATTCTGTGTTTATTCTTGAGATCGTGTTTTGGGTTGACTACATCCTCTCTTTGTAATAAGAATGATAATGTAAGCATTCTGCTGTGTCTAATCTTCTACCATATGATAATTTTTATTGCTCATAATAGTCATCCGAGCTGCGAAGAAAATAAGCTCCCTCATTGACAGCCCATCCGGATACCTGCGTTACTTCGTCAGCATCAGCAATGACTAAAAGAAAAAAAAAGCACTCACCGCAGTCATAGAATCCATAGATAAAACCCCTTTTCCCATAGACAGATTCCTCTTCTTCTTTCCTCTCCAGATTATATTCTAGTCGACGACCATAATATTTTAGATAGGAATTCAGTTTGTTAGTATCTACTATTCCAAGGCCGTGGCAGCTGGTCCATTTTCCAGTGTCGTTTCGTCACTCAACGGTAGGTCATGCCCAAATGGAATGTTTTTATAGCGGTTGTTTGAGACAGAAGGAAAGGAAGCTCTGTTTTCTTGATGGTATTTCGAGGGAGGACTATGGTATGCAGTTGATGTAGGTTCGACTGTGTATTGAGCTATCCACATATTCTTCCATACCCCGTAGCCAAATACTTAAAAGACGTTAGAGGTGGGAGATAGAACCATGGCATGAATTGCTGTGGATTACAGTAAGGACAACCATCTACATACTCTAAGTCCCCAATTACCTCTATCTCCCGTGTTAGATTGACAGTACCACTATAATCTACCATCTCAAGATACTGAAATGTCGAAAGGACTCCTTTAGATGCTTTGAACAAAGCATGTCTAAACATTATCCTTACATACCTCTGTGCCCCAGGAAAATGAATAATAAAATCGTAGGGATTGAAGCTCATGGAGCTGTGAAAGAAGGATTGCAGTCAAGGCGTAAAGGTCTCTAGACTGAATTGCTCGATTCCACCCAGATGCATTGGACAGTCCAGCTTTAGTCACAATGGCCTGTGCTTGCTCAATAATATAAGCATAGTCCGCAGACTTTATTCCAGATAACTTTATGCCATGGGTGCTCCCACGCTTTGCTGTAAGGTTGGTTTGACGAGCACAAAATACTCACATAGTGGATGGATGACGCTAGTTCTGGGCGCTGTAAGATAGACCGCAATAACAGTTGAATCTTTCGCATAGGCATCGTTTCCCAGTTCCAGGAGATGGTGCGGTACATCAAGGGCACAATGGAGGCATGGAGGTCTTTAGAGAATAATGTAACCGAGAGAAGATCTTTATGTGAGATAATCTAAAACATCCATTCAACACTCAAGCAACTCCTATAACATAATCCACTACGCGCGGTCACGTTATGTAGAAATGAAGGTTTGACTAGATTAAACAATGAAAGAGGTGATGTATTATCTGTGAAGCGAAAACGTATGTTCTTAAGCAGCACATATGTTTCACTCCCAGTGACAGTTATTTTGTCCATAAATAGGGCTGCATACATGTGGAGAATGGTATCACGTGGACTCGATATCCGCTATCTTATCACAACGACCCCAAAGCTCTTCACGAAGACAAAGGAACCCCTCAAGGATACATACAAAAAGCCACCCACCACAATGTCCGACACCATGTCCAACACAACCGCAACCCCCGATTCCCTCATCAACCGCGATGCCTCGATAAAATACTGGAACAACATGCCCGCAACCGCAGGCGGCATGCTCGCCATGCTCGGCTCATATCCCTGGTATACCCGCATTGACCTCCGCGGCTCTAAAGCCTTCCTCGCTAAAGCCCGTCGCTTGGTACCCGGCTGCTCAACAGAGGGCAAGATGAAGCAAGCTGTTGACTGCGGTGCGGGAGTCGGGCGCGTGACGGAGGGGTTTCTCAGCCATGTGTGCGAGGGGGTTGATGCGGTGGAGCCGGTGGGCAAGTTCACAGACGTCATACACGAGAGCCAATTAAAGAAGGATGGTGTTGTGGGTGATATATACACAATGGGTATTGAGGATTGGTATCCGGAGAAGAAATATGATTTAATCTGGACGCAGTGGTGTGTGGGACATTTGACTGATGTGCAGTTGGTTGATTATATCGTGCGGTGTCGGGAGGCATTAAATGAGACGGGAATTCTGGTGTTGAAGGAGAACTTGTCGACGGATCTGGATGGGGTGGATATGTACGATGATGAGGATAGCAGCGTGACGAGGACGGATGAGAAGTTTAGGAAGATTTTCAAGGAGACTGGGATGAATGTCATCTTGTCCGAGATTCAAGGTGGCATTCCGAAGACGATGAAACTGCTGCCGGTTAGGATGTATGCTTTGCGGCCGATGAATTGAATGCGCGTGTCGTGTTACTCATATGCCGTGACCCTTGCAAAGGGCATCTCACGTTCATGATCCATAATGACATTCCTCATTAAAAAAATAGAGCCGGTATTCACAAGAAATAAATTCATGGAAATACAGAAGTATTTGCTATATCAACAAAACTCGTAGACCCGGCATGCATCATATATATCCTTCAATGCTCTAAGAAACAGGATCTACCGTTCAAGCATGTCCAAAAACACTATCATATACCAAAACCATCACTCAGTATCAGTATCTTCCCAAGCAACCGCATCCAGTGCACCTTCGCACAGCGACTTGATCTGCTTCCATCTGTTCAATATCATTGATACCCTTGCACTCCGGCGCTCATCTTGCTCAGCGGCAATGTTCGTCTCAAGGCTTTCAATTGACGTTTCGCATTCTTTCAGGTAAGCGTTGATCCAGTCGGAGATGGCCTTCGCAGTCTTCTGTATGTCAATGCCCTTGTTCGAATTGCTGTCCATCATACTTCGCCAATCGTTGCGATCCATGTATTTCATGCATGCAACTGCCCCTAGGCGGCGGCAAGAACCTGTGGGTGTGATCTCATAGTTACTGCCCAACGAAACCCATGTTAATTTGAATGTGATCAAAGTTGTAATCAGAAGGCGCGTACCCATAGTAATCCCGCTGCTTTAGCTCTTCTTCATCAACTGGACTCAGTTCCCGGCATATGATATTGTCTAGATATACTGCGTCGCACACATTCTGGTCGAGGAAGAAGCCATCTGGTTGTCGTTAATCTATCATTCAGCCACGAATGTGGATGCAGCTTACACTCAATCAATAGAAAGTCATTAGTGTGTGCTCCGTAGCTGATGTATATTTCTTCATCCTTTTCTGGAATGCGATGTCAGCTGCTATGTTCTTCTACTAGTGATACGGGGAATTACCAATTCGACGATTCGCCTTGAAAATGTAATTCGTGCATTTAAAAGTGACATCACAAGTCTTCCTGTTGTCAGTGCTTCGTTTCGACACATATATTCCGGAGATACTTACCCATTCATCTGAATGATTGAAGTAATCCACAAAAGGTACCAGTCCTAGAGCATCATTCCAATCTTCCGGATCCTCCTTTCCCGGTCCAACGTAATAAAAGCTCCTCGTGTTGACAATACACCAATTGTACGAAAAAGAATCCCAGTCCATATCAGGGATCACAGAAACAACATCCTCCCACGAATGCTGAAGACGCATCCGCTGTCGGGAGAGAATATTTTGATATATCTCTTTATCACACTCGCCCAATGAATTTGCCTGGGCTGTCTTCAAGGTCCCAGATGCAGAGGGTGGTAGGATAATACCACCAGCCCCTGAATTGTTCTGCGAGAATTCCGGCCATAACAGGGGCATGCTATCTTCAAATACCTGCCGACTCGGCCATACTTTACGCCATGGATCCCATTTCTTGAGCGATCTTCTATCGCCGCGAGTGAGATATGCAGCTAAAATGGCTTGGGTTGGAGTGCCTGTTCGGAACTTCTTGACAAAAGTTGACGGGACACTGTCAACCGTCAACATCACTGACGATGGAATTGTAATAATAGTCTCATCTTCCTTGAGTATATCGGTTAGTTGATTCGTCCCCCGTTGTATAGACATGATTGTGCTCACTTTTATCGTCCTGGTGGCCACCATACCAAGGCCACGACCGGGAAATCGGGCTGGAGTGACGCCACGGACTTCAGCGCCGTGGGATATCGCCCATTGCATGCACTCAATGTGCTCATTGGGCAAGTCATCTGCCGTCATCGTATAAATATACTCTGGAGTTCGTAAAATAGATGAGACGCGTCGCGATGATGGAAGAAAGTCACGTGAATCACGTGCAAGCGGAATATTTACATTCCGATCACCGTAAAATTGGGGCTTAGGGCTGGCTCACGAAGGGATGACAGAGATTCAAGGATATGATGATGTCAAGGTCTCTAGCCTAGCATTTGCCTATAAACCTTCAGAGAGTATTCCAAGGATAAGTAATCCAATAAGCTTGAACTCTCCAACTATTGAAAAAATACTGCTACGATTGATGATCATCTACAGAACGTATCACAGAATGGAAGAACAATATCTTTCCGAGTCCCACTGCCTTGGTCGAGGCTCTTGCGGAAGCACCTGAGCAGCATCATAGCGCGGGTCATTCTTCAAGGGAAGATGACTCGACGAACCGGTCTTTTGCAGAATGACTTCGACACGCACCAGCGTGTACCTATAAGCATAAACCGATTGATGGAAATCAAGAATATGAGAAACTTACCTGCTAAATGCGACGAGTTCCCGCAAATACAGGTTCCAGAATGTCACGGCTTTATTTAACCAAGTGGTCACTGGTGAACGGCTAACATCTCGAGGCTCCCGGATGATTATCAGCCTTGCAATGCTCTCGAGTCTCAGTACATCCCGCCATTCCCCAAAGCGAGCAGAGAGCTGCTGGTCCAGAATTACTTTACACCCAACAGTAGGCATCAAGCCAGCGCATACAAAGCTAACCGCGGCTGCCTGATCAGCGGCGACGGATACGCAGAGAGCCCTCGAAATTAATCTCTCTCAGGAACCATTCGTTCCATGTAAATTAGTTGGAAGACATTAGCCTGTCGGCGAGTGACATGAGCTTCTATACTGGGACCATGGCGGAGGCTTTGGCTACGCTGCACTGGAATAGTAGGATGGACGGGAATGACGTTGAGTTCGTGTTGGCGCCTCCGGATAGACAACAGCGGGAAGATATTATGGCAAATAATCTGGGTGAGCATACTATGTGGATGTTTGATTTTGGCTTGTACAGGATATTCCAAAAGATGAGGAGGGTGGGCGGAAGGATGTTAGGGCATACTGGCGTTATGATCCGTTTTACCCTCGTCCGGGAAAGAGGCCGTGGGAGGACTGCTGGAATCAGTAATTACAACTAGCCACGAGATTTATGGAAACTCGCAGCTACTGGGACTTTTGAAATTGCTTATCGACTTCATTTAGCAAGGAATAAAGGACTAGATAGTTAATGCAGTGAATGCAATACTTGTTCATGAATAGATCCACAGTCTGAGCACTTTCATTCACGTAGACTCGCAATGTATACACCTCATAAAATCTTACCCCTAGCCGCCTTTAATTTTTCTCTTTTTCTACCGGTACTAGATAGTTCATTCTATATCGCATCAATATGGCATATGTAACTAGAAAAGACAAATGTGCTAGCTTATGGCCTATGCGTCAATCTCTAGCACCTGTTGATCCAGCTTGTTCTGTCTAGGTTTATAATATTATACCAATCTCAGAACGCCCTAGGAGAAATTGGATGGGCGTGCACTACCCCGCTGAGCTTCAGGTACTGACATCTGCAGCAGCCCGTTCTTGATACCTATACTCCACGAACGCCCAGTCTCCGATAAATACGTCTTTTTGATGAAGGTGAAAACAAAGGGAATACATGTTCAGAAACATGAAGCAACGGAGCTGTTCTTTTCTCGGGAAGGTGATCCGAGAAACGTTACTTCTCAGGATGCATTCAAAACTCTGAAACCATACGTTGCTTCCAGGAATCTCTGGAGCAAAATTAAAACTAACTCGACGAAGTAAGAAATTTACTCTACTCTACAACGAGATTGGTAAGAATAAAGAGTGGATAAAAAAAAAAAAATAAAAGCATAGATGCCCACATGAAGCCCGTCGCCGCGACCAAAGAGAGACCATGGGGTTAAATCACAAGTCTGATAATGTTGCAGCATTACGACTTATTTTGCTGTAAACTAAGATGTCTACGGTTACAATAACCGTTTCCCTGTTTCCAAGATGGTAATAAGGTTATACACAGTGACTTTGTTGACGAGACACGTACGATGGATAGTACTTCTGGCTCATTCATGTGCCATATGACACACTTTTGATTTAGAATTACGACAAGCCGGAATGAGAATTGCAGTTAATAATTTAACGAGTCGTTGCTAAGGAGTGAATCTTGATCGGAAACCCTGAAGTCTGCATATTTGTACCCATCTGTGACCAGAGCTACTTCGCCCAATTTCATTAATTGGGGTCCTCACTTCAACCTGCCTACCCTTCTCACCCAATGCCCATTAATATGTCTAATCTCCGTCTCCCTCCCAGCCCTGGGATCCCAGACCATCGAGCAAGTTGTTTCTGCCGTTTGAGTCAAGATTCTGCTTAGAGTGGCTTCAAGTCGCTTAACCTCAAATTGTTCACGAACATCGGATACATTATGTGGTTCGAGCAATGCCAGCACAATAGCGGAGATCTGTTAGAATTTCCCGCCGTGTCTCGGGTAATGTGAAAAGAAAGCCGTTCTTCGTGTTTTTTTAGGGCGCAAGGTGGATTGTGGAAGGCATTTACGGTGAGTTTCTCGAGCTGGACTTGGAAGACATGAATATCAAAGCATGCTATTGCGTTTAGGCGGGGGGCTTGGGGCAGGCTGTGGGAGAAATAATCACATCCTTGGAAGGAAGTATAGTAGTCTTTATCTTCTCCGGATGATGTTGTTTCATGCTGTCGAGGAACAGGCCCAAGGGATATTGCTGCGGGGCCGCGGTGATGTACATGAAAGATTTGCCAGACGTAACGCCGTGCGAGACGACGCCGACAATGTAAGATGGCCTTCTTGTAAATCGGGAAATAGGGCATCATTCATGTCCTCTATCATGTCATATTCATTCTGCAGAAAGAGAATAGTCGAGGCAGGAGAGACGATGCCGGAGTGACCGCAGGGCTGAGACGGCCTGCGTCGCTTTCTCGATACTTTCGTGATGCCTCGTGGTCGACGGAAGCTGGGCTACATACTCCCAGAATCCAGGCCAAATTACGAAGATTGATTAAAACATCTGTCCAGCTGAAAGGGTCTAGAGACCTTTTATTTCGCTCTGCGCAAATTTTTGTACTTGGCGCATGTTTGGAAGCTCATGAATAACGCATGAGCTTACCATAGCCATGAGAATATAGAGAACGGCGAATTCATGAAATGTTGATTGCCCTACGATAGAGCTTATAATCATGAGCTGAACCTCCTACGACACTGAAGCTATCTTGGATTGTCGGGGCTCCTGAGACGTATCAGAACTACATCAGGGCGTCTATGAATAAAATATTGGGCATCTATACGCGTGTCTACTCCTGTCAACGAAGCTGGTATGCAGGCTTAAATGGAAAACGTTCTCACTGGCATACCGAAATCGACGGCGTGGATGTCGATTTGTATTAGCATCCCACTGATAGAAGTACCATTCGCTCTGCCACTCCGTGCATGAAATTCGACGTGCATTAGGTACTAGTACCTTCATGCGTGTCACTGTTTTTGGTCTGAGTTTTGAAAACAGGCTGTCAGCCTATGGGTAATCGATTTCGATGCGTGAAGTGACGTATACCGGATACTATCAAGAAATTTTTCGAAACAAGGTTGCTTAGCCCAGGCTCAACACCAAATACGAACTTTTGAGAGATTGTGGGTTGTTTATACCTATATTGCAAAGAAATGGGTTTGAACGGCGATTTCCTCGAGGCAGTGCTCGCAAACACCCTCAACCGACAGCGCAAGGACGTCGACAATCCAAGTGAGATCGGAAGTAAGATATTTGGTCAGAAAATTCCCTTGAGACTGTCTTGGTAATATGATAAATATCAGGATTTCATGGGTTGCCAACAAAAGTATGCCCAAGGCAGCAATATAATTCCGTATTCAAGCATACAAACTAGTGCTGACTAGTAAGACGCGACAGCACACCGATGGAGCTAATATAAGTTGGAATGTGCATGTTCTCTAACAGTCAATGTCCCCGACGGCGTACAGGAACAACAACAGCGGTCAGGGCTGTTGGGATACTTGTAAATATATGCCTGGTATTACCGGAAAACTGGGTTGATGTTTTTTGTGCCCGATGAATGCGTTATTTGTGAGTCTGATACGTCCCGATACGTGATACATCTCCACTGTCGCAAGGAGAGGAAGTCATAGCGTGACGAGGCTCAGATGACCTACTCTGTACTGTGTAGTAAATCGAGTCATGCCAGACTTCAGCGTGACTTCTGTAGTTGTCTATCTCTGTATCTTACTATCTCCTTGATTTTCTGGTATTTGTATGTATCTGTACTTGTATGTATAGAGGCTGTGCCACAGAGTAACGTACCTCGTAACGTATAGTAAGTGGCTCCCCGCTTTGCACGGAAGTTGGGGTTAGTGGCCGCCACCAAGTGGGTCTGGCGTGGCTCATAGTCTAATCAGCCGATAAGAAGCGCCGATAAGCCGTGTGGCGATACATCTCTCATACAGAATACAGTACATGTCGGTAAGAATAGGAATATTTTTTGATAGGTGAACGGTGTTGATTTCAGGGCATAATTATCCTGATTGGTGAGTGATTGGTACAGCCGTATGGGATGTATGTCGTATATCGGTATAACGGTCAGCTGACCAATACTATCTCCGTATCTCCAACATCTCCTGCTGACACTTTTTTCTCTCACTTTCTCCCATCCCTCCATTCCTCGCAAATTTCCCTCAGATACCTCTTCGACTCCTTCAGTTTCCGTGCTCTGAACCGTGGTGTTTGCTGGCTTTTTGCAACCTGAATGATGCCCGAGTGACGTTCGCATATACCACGACTAGACGACTACTACAGTACTCTCGTGGTTTCGGCCCCCCCGGGTTTCTCACGGCTTCGTAGTTCCATGGTACACCTTTAACCGAGAAACGCCTCCAATATCGGTCTCGGCCAATCTCCCCGAATCGCCTGCGATCCGCGACTTTCGCTTGTCTTCGGTCTTTTACCGGCTGGCGAATTTGATTATCAAATTTGGCCTCTTGACCTGTGCGATCCGGAATACTTTGAACATTCATTGAATCACTCCACATCTACTTTCAGGAACAATTTCGTTATTCAATCGTCTTTTTTTAAGGTTGCGGAAAGAAATTTACGACTAAAACGATATCGTTACTATGGATGCTTAAGAGAACCGTCATTGCGGAATTCCCGCGTGTTGTCATCGAATTGTCGCATTGGGTCTTGAACCCTTAAATCTGCTTTTTACTGTCTGCAAAAAGGACTCTTGAATCCTGTTCTTTTTCCTTTATTCGTCAATTGCGAAAAAGTCCCTGCGAATTTGTTATACGGGCGTCACCATGGCTGTGTCACGAGCTGCGCATTCGCCGGTGAGCGCTTCTCCGGCGAGTCCGACCAGTCCGGCTTCGTCGAACGGCCAAATCCCACTAGGGCAACCTCCGAAGCTCAAGGGACGCCGTAAATTGTTACAAAGCCTCCAGCGCATGTCGTCAAGCCCGAGTTTGATCAGACGCGGTCGATCCCATTCCACCGGTTACCGTCGCGATGGCAAGGCCTCGTTATCCTGTGTTTCCCTTTCTCAATCCGCCTATAATCCGTGTTTAGGGAACGGCAGTTCGTCTCAGGTGTATGGTGGGCTGAATATTCGCCCGGTAACCCCAAGAGTTCCGGGAGAGGAGCAAGACGGAGGTCCGCGGATTCGCGTCGTCGGTACCGATTCTCCCAATGCCTCTCAATTGAGGACAGTGCCTCTTCCGACTGAATTAAGACCGACATCTCGTGGGTCTCCCTGCAATGAGATGGTTGAAGACATCGTTGAAGAGAGCGAATCAGTTGTGCAGTCGGTACCTAAAACGCCATCGACCTCATCAAAGAAGACCTTCGATTTCTGGGGCGATATGCCTAACGAGATCAAGATGCGCATCTTCCAGCACTTGACCCCTAAGGAAATAATCCACTGCTCATCCGTTTCGAAGACATGGCATGGCATGTGCTATGATGGACAATTGTGGGTTAATGTTGATACAACCGACTACTACCATGCCATTTCGAGTGACAGTCTCGTGAAGCTTATTATGGCGGCTGGTCCGTTCATTCGCAACCTCAATCTCAGGGGTTGTGTGCAATTGCGAGACAAATGGTTGACGGACGGTGATCGCATGTCGGAAACGTGCCGTAATCTGGTCAACCTTTGTCTTGAAGGGAGTCGCATTGACAAGCATACCGTCAATCGTTTTCTTCAGCGAAACCCTCGTCTGGAGTATCTGAATGTCACTGGATTGACAAGTGTGACGGATTCTTCTATGAGGAGTATTGCCAATTGCTGCCCGCAACTCCAGATTCTGAATGTTTCCTGGTGCATCAACATCAGTACAAAGGGTTTGAAGAAGATTGTCGCGTCGTGCCTCCAATTGAAGGATCTTCGAGCTAGCGAAATAAGTGGATTTGACGACGAAGAATTCGCGTTAGGATTGTTCGAGAAGAACACACTTGAACGTTTGGTTATGAGCCGCACAAACCTCACGGATGAGAGCCTGAAGATCCTTATGCAGGGTGCCGATCCGGAAATTGATATCCTTACCGATCAGCCCATAGTTCCGCCTCGGCGGTTCAAACACCTGGACCTCCACCAATGCCCCAACGTAACGGATGATGGAGTTGGCAGCATGGCGCACAATGTGCCTAACCTTGAAGGCCTTCAGCTCTCCCAATGTCCCGAGTTGAGTGATGAATCAATCATTGACGTCATCCGCACCACCCCGAAGCTGTCACATCTCGAACTTGAGGATTTGGAACACCTTACGAATGATACCCTCATTGCACTTGCCAGGTCACCATGTGCACCTTGCTTAGAACACCTTAACATCAGCTTCTGTGATTCTCTAGGCGACATCGGAATGCTGCAGGTGATGAAGAGCTGCTTGGGGCTCCGTTCAGTCGAAATGGACAACACCCGCGTTTCCGACCTCACTCTAATGGAAGCCAGCTATCGTGTTCGTAGAAGGGGTTACGACAGGAACCTGCCCCAGGTGGGCTTACATATGGTCGTTTTCGACTGCGCCAATGTCACCTGGGCAGGCGTCAAGGAGGTCCTCTCGAGCAACGCATATATCCCACGAGCCTACAAGAACCAGCAGACAATCGTTACTGTTGCACAAACCCAGGACTCTGAACAGCCAGCATCGTCGACTACCCCCTCAACATCCGCTTCACCACCACCACCACCACCACCCCCAGTTTACCCCAACGAAATCATCCAGCTCAAATGTTTCTATGGCTGGCAGATGACAGTTGACGAACATAAGAAGCGGGTCTTGCGCGGTGATCTCGCTGCTGCGAGTAGACTTGACCGCAAATGGGCGGATTACATGATGGCCACTGAAGAGGCTGGTGCGACTGGCATGGGGGTATGGAGGAGAAGACGTCGCGCGCGCGAAGCTGAGCGGCTTTTTAACGCTAATGAAGATGAGGATGTGTATGGTATCGGGGGTATCTCTGCGTTTGGGGGGAGACGCCGGAGGGCGCAAAGCGGTGGAGCTTGCGCTGTGATGTGAGACGCAGGTCCGTGTCGAAGGGTTAAAAAACTCCCCTCTTCTAAATTAGCGACTTTTCCGCTCTTTATCCTCGCCTAAGTCACACTCATAGTCGCATACGACATGATGATAGTTTGGCCTTGTCGGTCTGGAATTGACAACTAGCACCTTGATGGTGTTGAACTTGGCCTATGATTTACGATTTTTACTCTTCCTCTTATCCTCTCTTCCTCCTCTGCCTTCGTCTACCACTTTCTTCTTCCTCTTTCTCTCTCTCCGGTGTTCTTAGTTTTAGTTTTCGGTTGGGGTTGGCGCGGTCTGCCTTTTGTATTTTGGAAGGGAATGTTCAAACGTGGGGTTTGATTTGGCGCTTATGTGGTAGCCATATATGACTTTTTAGACATTGAATGTTCATGACTTATGACACTTTTCTATCATCAATAGACAAGCTTTTATATGACTACATTTGTAACAACTTCCTGGGTCAAAGTATCGCGAAATTCAACTGCAGTGAATGCCACGTCTTTATAGTTCTGATTGCATAGTTAACATTCGCTTCACTGCCAAGGTACACCTACCTTATTCCTCTATTTCTCCGTCCCCATTACTTATTCCTGTTAGGGGCTAAGCCCGCAGCGCTAATAACTAGCTATCATACAAGAGGTTTCGTTGAAGGAGAGAAGAACGGATGTCTCATCGGACAGCTTTTTATATACAAAAGTACGTTATGCGGGGTAGTAGTCAAGCAACCACTCCGATCATTCCTCCGACTAGCATATCATTTATTCTACAGGCGCAGCTTGTGACAATTCCTGACCATTCAATCCTCAGTCCGCAAGGACCTCATAAGAATATCATTCTCGCAGCATTCGAAGCCAATAACAAAGCGCATACAAGCAAGATAACGTGGCTGTAGCCTACTATTAAAGCGAAGACAACGCACGCATCAGCACCGATCAAACGAAAGTCTCGGCATCAAGGAAGTGGCAATCGAGAACAACGGCTTAAATCCTGCCTACCCATTCTGATGAGTGATTTGCTCATAGTTGTGACGGAAATGCATGCCAACGTGGATGTCGAAGGGAACAACCCTATAATACGCTGAAAAACCGCATCCAGACTTGCAGTAAATCAATTTTGCATGTCCCCAGTGGTAAAGAACAACCACAAGAAAGGCTGCGACTCCTTCTTTCAATCTCTGTACCTATACGACACAGGACCAAAATCAATCAGAGATTGGTAGGTTTCCATAACATCACCCCACCTATACGAGGATTTGTTACTAACATACATTCTCCACATATCTACTTTTATAGCAATCAAGGGATTGAAAGCGTTACTCAACATGCCGAGGAATCCGCCTAAACAATAACCATTGCCTGAAAGTAGAACAGAAAAAATTGCCGAGGAAACCAAGGCGTTGCTCGCAGACGGAAGTTTCGAGCAGGCGAAGCACACCTTTCGAAGCAAAGAATCACTTCCCTTTTCAATGGGACTTCATAGAATCGGAGCTTATAAACACAGATGACCTGAGACTAGCACAGAATAATGCACTTGACGAGCACAAACCGATGCGCTTGGCAAGGCCTTTGCTATGTGCTACTGGGATGCGTTAGGTTGGCCTTCTTTGTGCAGAGGGACACAATTGGTGCTGTAAGTTTCTGGTTTCTGTGTTGCCTAGACTCTACAAGAAACACCGATATTTTGGAGTTAAGGCAGAATGGCAAGACTTGGCAGCCCAGCCATGTGGATCTTGAGATATTGGGGATAATATGGAGATGAGACAGTTTATGGAGATTCTCATTGCAATCACGCTTTGGGATTTTGCGAATTGTCAAGCATATCCCGCGAATTGACTGACACTTAGCTATGATGGCATTAGAAGTAGAAGAAATGAGGGGATCAAGAGGAAGAAAAGATGAAGATAATCAGTGTACTTAATTAGCCTGCTTGAGAAGAAAAATGCTGATATCCCAAACTCCTAAACTATGCACATGCGATATATAACATCTCTATACACACCATCCTGATACAATATGGCATGCCCTGATGGAAGGACATCACATCTCAAAGAAACCACCATCGCTATCATCGCCGTCATCCGTCTGGGCCTTGCGCATGATCGCCTCTTCTCTGGCAGCATTACGCCTGCTTCTTCGATTGACAGGCTCCGGCTCCGGCTCCTGCTTTGATTTGGTGCGGCTGTCTTTCTTTTCCATTGGTTTCTTCGATTCCTTGCTAGCCTTCTTGGCAACGCCCTTCTTCTTCTCCGTCGTTGTCGATGCCTTCTTCGTGTCCCCTCCACTCTCTCCTGGGATGTTCAACTTGCCCTCCCGTAACAGATCGAGCGTACCCTCTTCCATGCACTTCTCGACGGTAAACCACATGGGTGGCTTCTCCGTATTCGCCAGAGTCATCGTCACAGTGGTATCCTTCTCATCAGCTCCAGAATAGGTATCGTCCGCGGACTCAGACTGAGAAGGCTTCTTCTGCTTCTGTTCTGCGTAGAGGGAGATATATTTATCGTTGAGCGGGTAGTAGATTGTGTAGTTGAGGCTGACGCGGGCGGCGTGAAGTTCCTCGTGGAGGGACTCAAGAGCTTCCTGGTCCGTAGTTTCCGTTTCGCGGCGCTGGAGACGCTTGAGGTCTTTGGTTGCTGATTTGCGGTCTTCATGCGACCCGTTAGCTATCTCTCTATATACTTTATAAATGGGGTTCGAGACGTACCTAAGAATCTAACGAAGTGATACTTCTTGATCATCTGCGACCTATCCCGTCGCTGCATCTCATCCTCCAAGTCCTTCTCATACCCTGATAACGCTCGTTCTTGAACGATTCGTGCATCAGCGGGCAAGTCCACCTTCTCCAAGAGTCGTTTGACGGCACGAATACGTCTCTTCAGTTCGTTGACGGAGGGATATTCGTTCTTTTCGCGCTTTTGTGTTCCGAGTTGGATTTTCTTCTTGGCCGGTGGAGCGTCATCGGAGGCTTCGCGGTGTTTGCGCTTGTAGGCGCTACGATCGCGCTGAGCAGGAGATATGTCTCTGGAGTGTCTGTCTTTGGGCATTATCGCGGCCGTGCTCCGTTATGATATGGGAGTGTTCCGTTTTCGCTGCCGGACAAAAAGATACAAAAATCTAGCGGATCATTAGTCGGTCCGATGCCCCCAGATCTTGGTCCAGCAACCAATCAGAGAGGCAGGTTTTGGATGACGCGCGGGTGGATTCCTGTGCGCTTGGCGGTTATTGGAGCTCTCCATCTATTATCAGATAATCCAAATCTCCAACTTCGTCTCTTATCGCTGCTTCTTGTTCCGTTCTGTAGATATACAGGATATCTTAAAACCCTCGTGGGGTATGGGTTGTCGTGGTCATTCCCAATGCGCAATTGGCATCATGCAACACCCTTGAGCTTGATCCACCCGAGCTTTGCAAGCTGCGCTCCAGGCCGTTGGCAATCAGGAGGGGTACAGCGACTACTCTAAACCGCCATCCTCTGCGTTGAAGCTATACATCTGGTGCAAAACAACCACCATGGAAGCAGCAATCCGCTGGTCGCCCTCGTCGACCACCACGGAGCAACGCTTCCTCCTAGCAGACGTGACAGGGAAATCCTTTCGCCTATGCAAAGTCACAGCCTTTGACGGCAAAAACATTGAGCATGAAGTGTTATCAACACATACTAAGGTCCCCTCCTTCCGCGCCTTCGACTGGTCCCCTGTGGATGAGTCGCTAGTCGCAGTTGGGCAGTCATCAGGCGACGCGACCATCCTGCGCATGGGCGTTGGCGGCGAGCCGAGGTCTGAGTCTCAGGAGACATTTTCGTTCCCGATTCGCAGTCAGCGGTATTGTAATGCTGTTGCGTTTAGTTCGCATGGGTTACTGGCCGCGGGACTGGATCGGGTGAGGAATGACTTTTGTTTGAATATCTGGGATGTTAATCAGCGGTTGTCAATGAGGGGGACGAAGGGGTTTGCGGAGCCATTGAGGAAGCTGGCGAGTTCGGAGCCGATTACTAGTATTAAGTTTTTTCAGGATCAGCCTGATACGCTTGTGGCGGGTGTTAAGGGGCAGTTTGTGAGGATTTATGACTTGAGAGGTGCGTCTTTTCCTGTGCATGTGTGTCCAGCTTTTCTGATAGTGGGTGTGCAGAGGGTCCAGGAAATCCATCTTTGCAGTTCCCGACTCGCTGTGTGCATAATCTGGCCATTAACTGGCTTGATGAGAATTATATCGCGTCTTGTTCGTCAGGCAGTGATGCTACTGTCTGTGTTTGGGATCGCCGTGTAGGCTCGCACTATACTGCACCGGCCATAGGCCCAGGTACTGCCCTGGAAACTGGCCAGGATGGCCATGCCCTCGAGTTTAAGAACGTCCTCGCACCAAAGTCGAGCATCTGGAGTTTGCGCTTCTCTCGGACAAAACGAGGTTGCTTAAGTGTCCTCTCCAACACCGGGCATCTCAAAACTTACGATATCGCCAAGGACTATCTACCTGAAGAATATCGTTCTTCCATAGATGAGACTCTCGGCCAGGGTTCTTTGAAGAACTATCCGGAGAAGGTCTACACCAGATACGTGCGCGATGTTTGCAGCCCGTACAACCATCCTTCGCGTGGGTGCAAGGAGTCAGAACGGGTGGTATCTTTCGATTCGCTGAACATGAGTGCATCGAATGAGCCGAGCGCCATAACGCTTGCTGGAAACGGTAATGTTCAGATTGTCACGCTCCAGCCGCCGGCTCCGCCAGTGCGTTTATCTTCCCAGGGAGTTCTGGTGCGCGGAGAATCCAAAGGGGAGTCAGACTTCAAAACAATAGGCCCTTCATCACATCCAGACCTGCCCATCTCGGAGGTTGTTCAGAGGATTCGTGAGCGTGTTCTACCCCGCCTAGAAGAAGATAGAGATGGGCTGAAGAGTCGACGAGTGATCGCAGAAGATGAATCTTCAGAACATCTCTCGACTCGCCAATCTCGGGAGCGTGACTTATTGGCTTTGGGCACGTTAGGGGAGCAATTGACGGCCGAAGAAGCCTTGACGTTGTTGACTGTTCATAGACGCCGGTGCAAAGAGGGGTATCTCTTTGATGGTGCCAAGAACAAACAAATACTGGCTGATGATCCCTATTTACAGGATTTTTGGGAGTGGATGGAGCGTGAGTCTCATGCGGAAACCCAGGGTAGAAGGCGTGCTGATACTGTGTAGGTGCACGTTTGGACTCGGCTGGTCAGTCGATGATTTTACATGGTTTGGACCTTAATTATCTGGGCATTAACAATGTCTGGAATGATGACTTGGGTATGTTGTTTCATCTATTAAAGAAAGAAGGAAATACATACTGACAGTATGCAGGAGAAAGTCATCGGAGTCGGCAAATGGGCACCACCCCTCAGCTTCCCATCCGTGAAGCTATCAACATTCTGGTCCGTGACCAACTCAACCTGCCTGAGACGAAGGTCTGCCAAACAAACCATCCCGAACACCGCCGTCTCTGCCTTCGACTTTGCGGCGCAGCATTATCATACCGCGCACTTGAAGAGCTAGTCAAGACACTATCAGCCGAAAACCAACACACGAAAGCAGCAGCGCTGGCCATCTTTCAAGAGGAACCAAAGCTGGCTTATCTGGCATTACGAAGCCACGAACCGACTCAAGCCCATAAATTGCTTGCCATGGCGATTGCCGGTGCGGGCAGGAACGAAGCAGATCCGGATTGGGAAGAGACATGTGCGGAGATTGCGAAGGAACTCACCGATCCATATGCCCGAGCTATCCTGGCGCTGGTTAGTAAGGGTGATTGGGCTTCAGTGATCCAGGAGACTACCTTACCCCTGAAATATCGTATCGAGGTTGCTTTGCGATGGCTTCCCGACGACGATCTTACCGCATATCTGGAGCGGTTGGCGACTTCAGTGATCCGTCGAGGCAACATCGAAGGAATCGTCCTTACGGGACTCGGACATCCAGCGCTGGATCTATTCCAATCCTACATCAACACATTCAACGACATCCAAACCCCAGTCCTAGCCATGAGCCATACCGTCCCTCGTTTCATCAACAACGAACCCTTCAAAACCCGCTTCGAAGCCTGGCGCGAAACCTTCCGCTGGCAAATGAACTCCTGGAAACTCCAGCTCGAGCGCGCACGATTCGATGTCGGATCCCGTAAATTTGCCGTCACCTGGGACGGCCGACGACTAGTCGACCCGCCACGCCAACAAGTCAGCTTAACCTGCAATTACTGCACGAAACCACTCACCCAGCACGACCCCTCTTCACAAACATCACCCTCAGCCAGTAATGAAGTCATCCACCCAACCATCGGCAATCCTCTAGGCACAGCAGCGATGTCAGGCATGGTATGCCCGCGGTGTGGCCGACACATGCCTCGCTGCGGAGTGTGCAGTTTCTGGCTGGGCGCTCCAGATCCGATGTCAAGAGCTAGCATCGCCGCTGATGCGGCAGCGGCCCAGGATCGCAAACCTACAGAGGATGAATCGGTGAAGAGGTACATTGTATTTTGCATTAATTGCAATCACGGGTTCCATGCGCATCATGCGAGGGAGTGGTTTATGAAGCATAAAGTTTGTCCTGTTGCGGAGTGTAATTGTATTTGTGATCGATAGTCTTTGCTGTTACTTTGGCTTGGGATGGATATTTGGTTTCGGGATATACCCAATACCTGATTATATAGGAGCAAGTGTGATTTCAACTTATTCTTTAGATCTTTAAAGAAATACAGCGAGTGATTTCGATCACGTTCAAATATGTATGTAGATGGTCCCTCTCACTATCTTATCTGACCGCCCACCGATGATGTCAAAATAAAAAAAATAACATCCCACCACAGCATCTTCTACTCTCACCAACTTGCATTTGCATATTTCAAGAGACAAAAAAGCTGCGTGCGTTGATTATGTTACCTGCATGATCATCACATACCACTTATCACAGCCCGAGTCGCATTGTATGAATCAGATTTACCTGTGAGTTACCAGGCCCGTCCTAACCAGTCCTGACGATATTGGAACCACTGCTAACAGACAAGATTCAGTTTATAGGGGAATTTTTAGAAGGCAGCATTCTCATCTCGACTCTCTCCATCTACCATTCCTATTATTGCAAAAACCGAGACTCCGCCTCGAATCACTACGACCACTACAACTACCACTACCACTACTACAACCTCCAACTCGCCCCTTCGCAACAGAACTCTCACTCCGAAAAACAAGAAAGCCTTTTTTCAGAAAAATGTCCGGGAAACAAGACCGCAACCGTAAAAGCAGAGATAACCCCACCCAAGGCCGCGAGATCGCCATCTCCAAGGCCCTGAGCTATATCCTCCGTCATGCAGCCGAGCGCGAGGGATTGAAGATAGATGCTCAGGGATATGCCAACGTGGCTGATGTGGTATGCTTTGTCAACTGCTAATGGGTATGTGGGAAATTAGAGATACTGATGACTAGGATATAGTTAGAATGGCGAAAACTCAAGTCCCAGAAAGCAACGTTCCCCGAGATTATCCATGCCGTCGCGTTATCGGATAAGAAGCGTTTTGCGCTGTTGCATATTCCTTCCGAAGAAGCTGATAAGGATGCTGCGCCTACGGGGATTTGCATTACGGAACAAGAGCCGGGTACGGCTACGGGTACAAGTTCCAGCGCGGAGGGACAGGAGAATAGCACACAAAAAGCACTTACAGTGAAAGACCCTGATCCAACGAATTTCCTCATCAGGGCTACGCAGGGACATAGTATCAAGACTGTGGACGCAGCGGCATTTCTGGAGAAATTGTCGCTTTCGGAGCAGGATAAGTTACCGTCGACTGTTGTGCATGGGACGTATCACTCTTCGTGGCCGGCTATTCTGGAATCTGGGGGTTTGCGCTGTATGGGACGGAACCATGTACACTTTGCAACAGGGCCAACGCTTGAGTCTGTTCTCCCGCTGCATACTGATGGGACGAGTCATACCGTCGAGGGACTAAAGCCCCTAGGTTTGGACGACGGGCGTGTGATCTCAGGAATGCGCAGAGACGCACAGGTCCTTATCTACGTCAACCTCAGGAAAGCTCTGGAAGCAGGGTGTCCGTTCTGGCGCAGTGAGAACGGGGTCATTCTGAGCGAGGGGCTGGCCTCGAGTAAGGATGATGGGGACGGGAACCAGTTGAGCTTCGTGCCTTTGGAGTTCTTCGATGTTGTTGTTGAGCGGAAGGCTGGGTTGGGGAAGATTTGGGAGGATGGGAAGATTGTGCAGGAATTGCCGGCGGAGTTGACGAAAAAGTGGAATCCGAAGATGAAGAATAACGAGAAGGGGAAGAAGAATGACAAAGGGAAGAATAAAGACAAGGGGAAGAATAAGGATAAGGGGGTGCAAGAGAAGGGGGAGAAAGAGGTTGGTGGTGATACCTAGAATATAGAATTCATTAATTTACTGAATCAAAACTAAAGTGGAATCAGTATGAACCGACTCCTGAGAAGACTGCATTCGCTCAATTGCTTGCTACACATACATGTGTTATAGCACGACAAAGTCACTCACTTCACCCAAGTTTCTACACATCATCTGCAGCGAGCTCAGAATTCATCTCCGAAACCCCGCCGTGAAAAGCCAAAGTAATGGATCTTTACGAGAAACACAAATATCTCAAGCAATTTCTCATGTACTATATGACCAGCCCCGCGAGCCGATTGCACGCTCCACTTAGTCGGCTTAACAGCTCGCTTCACGTTACTACCGACGAGATCTCAATTTTCAACGCAATCAAAAAGGACAGTCAGTGCTACAGGAAATCACAGGAAAAAAAAAAAAAAAAAAAAAAAAAAAAAAAAAAAAAAAAAAAAAAAAAGAAAGAAAGGAGTCAGTACAATAAGGGTATACAGGGAAGAGAAAGAAAAAGTGACACTTGCCCTCAGTCGAGGTGTCTCAACCGAGCAGAGACCCACCTTTCCCTAGCTCCTTTGTACTTTCAACCCCCCCCCTTAGGATCTCATA